CATATTAAAATTAAACACCCAAATTATTAAATTTTAAGTTTCAAATTTAAGTTTTCATTCTTACCTTAAATTTCAGTTGGGGACCCAACACAATGCAGTTTAAAATGTAAGCCTTGTACATAAAGATTTTGAATCTGGGGCTGGGAAGGTGGCTCAGTGGTAGAGCGCTTGCCTTGCATGCATGAGGCCCTGGGTTCGATTCCTCAGCACCACATAAGCAGGGAAAAAAAAGCCAGAAGTGGTGCTGTGGCTTAAGTGGTAGAGTGCTAACCTTGAGCTGAAGAGCTGAGGGACAGGGCCCAGGCCCAGAGTTCAGGCCCCACAACCGGACCCCTCACCCCCAAAAAAAGACTTTGAATATGGGGCTGGGAAGGTGGCTCAGTGGTAAGAATACTTGCCTTGCATGGATGAGGCCCTGGGTTCGATTCCTCAGCACCACATAAGCAGAAAAAGCCAGAAGTGGCACTGTGTCTCAAGTGGTAGAATGTTAACCTTGAGCTGAAGAGCTTAGGGAGGGCGCCCAGACCGAGTTCAGGCCCAATGACTGACAAAAAAAAAAGACTTTGAATCTACTCTCAGTCCCAGTTACCAACTAGATCCCCTCTCCATACACGTTCCTTAACTGTGCAAAGGCTTCTTCTGCTATGGGTGGATTTCCTATGTTCATGATTGAAGTTTTGTGGGGTTTTTGTTTTTGTTTTTGCTGGTGAAGGTGGAAGAAAGAGCCCTAATTTGGAGTTTGGAATGTGTTTCCAGGACTTCCTGCTGAGCAGAGTCACAGCAGGCTCTACAGAACGCTTTGCCCCAGGGCACCAATATGGAAGATACAGCTTCCTGTAGACAGCATCAGTTTTTGTTAGGGAAGTGTGTGACATTATGATATAACAACTACTTATTTGATTGCATCCCAGTCATGACAAAAAGTTCCTAAATCTTTTGTACACATGGATATGGGAGAATCTTTTGTTCTAACCTGTGGCTGGGTTCCTGACACCCAGCTCCTGAAACCTTTGTAATTCCCTGAGTAATAACAACTGGCCCAGAGCTCCTAAATACCTTGGAATTTCCTGGGTGATAGGTGCAGCTTTTGTTCTAGAGAGCTGATTCTAGGTGGGCTCCTGGATAACCTCATGACAGGGGCACGTTGCCAGGGCAGCCAACCATGTGATAAGAGGGTGAAGACTTTCAGCCACCCCTTACCCCATCCCTGGGGAATGGCAAGAGCTAAAGGGTGAATTAACCACCATAGGCCAGTGATTTAACCAATCATGCCTAAGTTAAGAAGCTTCTGCAAAAACACAATGGACGGGGCTCTGGGAGCATCTCAGCAGCTGAACTTCACTTGTTCAGGTGCCTGAAGTGTAGTGCCCCTGGAGAAGGTGTGGGAAATTTACACTCCTTCCCATATGCCCTGTTCCACGTACCTGCCTGTTCTTCTATATCCTTTGTCAAATCCTTTATTAATAAATGAGTAAACTTAAGTGTTTACTTGAACCATGGGAACAGCTGTAGCAGACCCAGAGTGAATGGTGGAAACCACAAATCCCAACCTGAGCTGGTGGATGAGAACTGTAGATGACAACCTGTTTTCAACTGGTATCCAAAGTGAGGACAGTCTTTGGGCCTGAGCCCTCACTTATGGGATCCAACACAATCTCCAGGTAGAAGTTGAATTGAGGACCCCCAGCCGGTGCCTGCTTGTAAGGGCATTGGTGTGTGGGAACCCCTGCTCCACGTCTGAAGTGTTGTTTTGAATGGTGTGAGAAAGGAGGAGGAAATATTTTGTGTTTTTCCCCCTCACATTTCTATGAGAGTATTCTTGTATTTATTCCATTTACTTTCTTCTCCATTTCCTCAGTAAAACAAAAGAACAAAGTTCACCCATCATGGTGGCTGTGGTTAGTATCTGGTACACAGTAGGTGATTAGTGGTGTTCTTAATGGTTAAAGTTCTAACATGTACATTTTTCAGGGACACAGGGATCAGTGGGGTTGATTAAAGATGCTTGCTGAGGCACACATGCCCTTAACACATCTTTGGTCAAGACCCTCTCACGATGGGTTTCTCAAAAAAACAGGTCAAAGGCCGGGCACTGGCGGCTCACGCTTGTAATTCTACTCAAGAGACTGAAATCTGAGGATTGCAGTTCAAAGCCAGCCTGGGCAGGAAAGTCTGTGAGACTCTTCTCTCCAATAAACCACTAGAAAACTGAAAGTGGCACTGTGGCTCAAGTGGTAGAGCATTAGCCTTGAGCTGAAGAGCTTAGGGACAGCGCCCAGGCCCAGAGTTCAAGCCCCACAATTGACAAAAAAAAAAAGAAAGAAAGAAAAGCCAGGCCATAGGCAGAGGTATGTGTGTTACCAAGGGTCCTAGAACCTCAATCTATCTTCCAGACTTATTCATTGTAAATAGGTCTGTCTCACTTCTACATATATATGTGTAAACATTTGCTCTTTTGTTTTCTAATGATACCATGCTTGATAGATCTGTATATTGAAGTGTATTATTATGTATTCTTTCTTTGTAAATTACTTCTTTATACTATAGTCTGGAGTATACATATATGTGAGATAATTTTTCTATATAATGTATGTGTATGTATACGTAAGTAGACAATGTTATCAGCTAATTTTCATTTCTGGCATGCGTGAATCATCTTAGGGCTGTTGGGCATTCTAGAATGGAGTGCTCCTGACAAGAGGGTTCCACTGTAAATGAATCCACGTTAACAATAGCGCCTTTTTTCTGTCATCAGTGATAGCCTTGGCTAAAATATGATAAAACTTTGATTTCACAAATATATGAAAAGATAGAGGCCTCCTTGGGGGACCTAGCTGCTCAGACTGTCCAGGGAAGATGCTGGCTTGTGGACAGTCGAACCCTGAATATTGAACAGTCAGCCTGTTGGGGTTCTTTACAAATTAAGAAAAAGCAATAAGGAGAGGAAGGAATCACTGTGTGTAGGGTGCCCCCTGCTGTTGAGAGGGCAGATGCCACATACCCGTACTTAAATTCCTGTTCTTGACTGTACAAACAAAACACTCAGACCTTCACTGGGGGAATATGAAAAAAAAAAAAAAAAGTCTTTGTTTTCAAGTCTAAGCCTACTGTAAAGTGTAGGCATAACTCCCTTGTACAACCTTTTGAGGTACAAAAAAAATAAAACTAAAAGAAAATTTAGATAGCTTACTTGGTAGCTGTACCTTTTCACCATGAGAGGTTTAAGCTGCCTCAATGGATCTTATTTTAAGTGGTAAGAGAAGCCACCACAATGCAGTAAGATCATATTACAGTACTGTGGCTCGCCAACAACACATCTGGTTTGTTGTTGTTGTTTGATTTTCTTTCTTTTTTGCCAGTCCTGGGGCTTGGACCTGGGTGCTGTTCCTAAGCTTCTTTTGCTCAAATCTAGTGCTCTACCACTTGAGCCACAGTGCCACTTCCAGCTTTTTGAGTTTATTGGAGATGAGTCTCATTAACTTTTCTGCTGTGGCTGGCTTCTAACCATGATCCTCAGATCTCAGCCTCCTGAGTAGCTATGATGACAGACCTGAGCCACCTGCTCCCACCACATCACATCTCTTTACTGGTCCTTTTGAGCAGGTTCCTTCATCTTCACCTTTCCTAGATAAAATTCACAGCCACATTCCTGCAATGAAAATCTATTATGCCAAACACAGCTCTGTTCATTCTGCTGCCACCACGGTTCAAAATGTAGGAGCAAGAGGGTTGCTCTGGGAAAGATAAAATATCTAGATTTTTTAAAAATTGTAAATGTAGTGTGTAGATTACAAGATCATTAGTCCATGTCTCCATCTACTGTCTAGATTCTATTCAGGCCATGATGACATAAGAGGCTCCTGGGATTGGGGATTTAGCTGGGTGGAAGAGCACTACCTGGCAAATGCAAGGCCCTGAGTTGTATCCTCAGCTCTGGGAGAAAAAAAAAAAAAAAGTACTTCTTGTTAGCATTAAGCCCACCTTTGGTCCTCATCTACACACAGACCTGAGTTCCTCCCAACGCTTAACAGCTGGCCACTCCCTCTCTCTGCCCAGACCCACCTGAGCACACCTACCTCACTTCCTGCCCCAGACCCTCCTGCTATCTGGGTAGAGATGGATGCCACGTGCTCCCTCTCCTGGGAAAATATGGCCCCTCAAACCTTATAATCTTTCTCCTGTGTCTGCTTGCCTCCGGGTCCCCTAGGATGGACGTGAAGGATCTTTTCACTTGTTACCTGACTTATGAAATGGCAACCCCTCTGTATATCATCTTCATAATAAAACTGAAAAACCACTTTTAAATGTGAGGCTCTTGCCCCAGAAAACGAGTTTGCTCGCAGCTATGTAGAGTCCAGTACGAGGGAACAGTGTAAAGGCTCGGGCAGGGTGGTGCCTGGACCGGGGCCGGGGACACAGAATCCAGGTTAACTTTGTCCTGGGTGTGAGGCCTTGGAGAGACCGGTGGGCCTCTCCATGGCCTACACCTAAGACTGAAAAGGTATGTGTGCCCGAAGGGATCGCGGCCACCCTGGCGCCCTTGGGACACAGGGGCAAGTTTCCAACTCCCACGCAGGACCCGAGAAAACGTAGAGTCTAAGTAAGACGTTCACATGGCCCGCCATAAGCCTGGACTGACACCAGACTGAAAGAAGCGCCTAGGAGACGTCATTTCCGCTTGGCGGGGGTGGGGCGAACGTCCATGCAGGAAGCGGAAGTTCTCGCAAGTGTCACTGGGAAGTGTAGTCCTTGAGGGAGTGGCGCTGAACTAGAGGGTCACGGCCGGCTGAGGAGCTTCACCCGGGAGCCTCTACATGGTGTATGACGAGGGGCGGGGGAGCTCAGGTGCCGCGGTGGCCGTTCTCCAGCTGGCCAGAGGCATGTTATCCAGAAACGAGCCCGTCGGAGGCCAATGGGAGCCGCGGGCCGTCGGCGCGAGGCCAATGGCAGCGAGCCGAGGCGCGCCGAGCATCCTGGGAGGTGTGGTTTCTGCGTCCCGCGCGGAACTTTGGGTGGTGTAGTCCCGGCGCCCAGCTGGAGCTGGGGGCCGGAGCGACCCCCCTTGTCCTTCGGTGGCTCTGGTGAGTGATGCTCCCCTGGGGGCCCTTGTGGCAGCCAGACCCCCTCCTGCCCGGGAAGGAAGGCTGCTCTGTGGCCTAAGTCTGTGGACCCTGAGGGCAGCGCTGGAGTGACTGGGCGCGTCCTCTCCCCGAGGTCTGGTTTTGGGGGTGTGGGCGTCCCTCTCCCAGGGAGTGGGGTGAACCTCAGCGGTGAAACCGGGTTGGTAGGTGGCTGTAGCACACCCAGGCCTTCTCTCCTAGGGTTCTTGTGGGTGGGGACAAGTTCAGCCTCTCTGAAATCGCTTTCTTGAGAGACGAAGTCTCTAGTCGCTAGGTTTGTGATGGCTTGAGTAAGGAGCATTGTTGGACTCTTCTATTTACTATGTAGTTGGGGTGAGACTGCACCAGGGGCCCTGGATCACCGGAGTTTTGGTTGCTTGGCAGCCGGTGGTCTTTGGGTCCAACTACATCTTGGCCTTATTGGAGTGGGGAAGGGAGGCAGCAGACTTAGTCAAATGAGTCCAGGTTTCTCAAGAGTGTAGGGTGGTTACATTGACGCAATCTTAGTGCCTGTTTTGTCGGCCATAGGTTAGGGCCTTGAAGAGGAGGTCAAACTGGGTAAGTTTTTCAAAGTAATATTACCACAAAAATCACAGAATTAAAAATTCCATTTGCATGTTTTATTATGGAAAACTTCCAGACAGCCTGAAACAGAACTCTGAAGACTTGTTGCCCAGATTCAACACTTTACCTTATAACTAATTTTGATTCATCTCAAAGTGGACACAGTGGCCATCTTTATAGTCCTTATCTCCACAGTCACAAGTTGGCACTTCATAGTCTTGTCATCTTGGTAAGAGGCTGCTATCAATCTGCCTCACTACTCATCTGTTAAATGATTGTAGCACCTGCTTCATTGAGATGCACAAATAGAAGGAGGTAAAATAGTCTCTGGTATATTCCAAGATTACCTTTCATTACAGCATAGGATCACTTGGTGCTCAGTGACCACAGCATGTCTGTCTGGGTAACCTGAATTGTGGGACTACTCCAGCTCTATAACTAGGAAGCCACCCCAAATTCTTGTTTTTTGTTTGTTTGTTTTCCTCCTTCTTCTGTTAGGTCCATTCCCAGTACTTTTGAGCCACAAGAGGTGTCATGTGATTGGAGCTTGCTGATTTCCAGTGACTTGAAAACCTTATTTGTTCTGTCTCCCATGATCCCTGGATGAGGAAAGGAGGACTCTTTGGGACCTGACCCCAGTTTCAGGTGAGTACCACTTAATTTTGCATTCATGATTGGGTTTCCTTTGCTTTGTTTTAATGTCTTATGTTCTGTAATGTCCCTTTGGGAATCAGTGCCCCAGCTGGTTCCTTCAGGAAAACAGGCTTGTTTCACAAGAAATATTCCAACCAAGTCCCCTTATTCATTACACTTTCATCCTTGCCCCTGCATTTTTTGTTTGGTTGTTTGGTTTTGAGGGGTCTTGAACTCAGGGCCTGGGCACTGTCCTTGAGATTTTTCGCTCAAGGTTATTGTCTACCACTTTGAGCGACAGTGCTACTTCCACCCCTGCATTTCTTTTCTCAGCATTTGTTCAGGTCTTGTCAAGTGCTGTGAAGTTATCATTCAGTTCTGTGTGCACTCACTTAACTTTTCCATGCTAAAGTAGTTTGCCGCAAATCTCAGTTATTTCATCTGCAAATACCTCAGTAGGCATGTCTATATATATATAAATTTTATTTTAATATAGGTCCAAATCCTACCTGTATGACTTTATTGTTAGACCCAATATTAATAATGTTACTATTATTGAATACCTAATCTATATTTAATTTTCTTTAGTTGTTTAAAAAGTAAAATTTTCATTGGGCGCTGGTGGTTCACACCTGTAATCCGAGCTATTCAGGAGGCTGAGATCTAAGGATCACAGTTTGAAGCCAGCCCAAGCAGGAAAATTCGTAAGACTCTTATATCCAATGAACCACCAGAAAACCGTAAGTAACACTGTGGCTCAAAGTGGTAGAGTGCTAGCCTTGAGTGAAGAAGCTCAGGGACAGTGCTCAGGCCCTGAATTCAAGCCCCATAACCAAACACAAAAAGTAAAAATTTCTTCCCAGACAGAATAGCATGGCCAGAAGCAGGAAAGAAGTATCTAAATTCAAAATGATGGTTTTCCCTGCCTCTGGCTTCCTGCTCCTGTTTCTCCTGATCTTACTGATCTGTGACCTGCTATAGCTTCTACTGCATGATACAAGAGCTATCTACTCTTAAGGTTTTAGATATCTGAGGTTCAGCCAAGATCTCTGCCTTTGGCTCTACTCCTTTGTCTCTGCTGTCGACTTCACATTTCTACTTGGATATCTTGCATGTATATCAAGCCTAGTATGTCCAACAGCAAATTCCATTCACCTCTTCCAAACAGACTTCATCCTAGTGAAGTACATATTGTTCTTTGAAAAGGAGGGATTGGAGGTGTGGCTTAGGTGGTAGAACATACACTAGCCAAGTGTTCTTTCCTAATTAGCCTATTTCAAAATCTCAAACTCCACCCTGTTTCTGTTACTACTTTTCTTCTTCCAAGCTTTCTTTTTCTTTTCTTATTTTTTTTGGGGGAGGGGTCATGGGGCCTGAACTCTGGGCCTGGGTGCTGTCCCTCAGCTCTTCAGCTCAAGGCTAGTGCTCTACCACTTGAACTACAGCACCACTTCCAGCTTTTTTTTTTCTTTTTGCTTATGTGGTACTGAGGAATCGAACTCAGGGCCTCAGGCATGCAAGGCAAGCGCTCTACCACTGAGCCACCTTCCCAGCCCAAGTCTGTTATTCTTTATTGTTGCTTAATTTATATATTTTATTTGAACTTCTGCCGGGATTTAAGGTTCTTAAAACTTTGAGACTCTTTTTTTTTTTTTTTTGTATACCAGTTTGAATATATAGGTTCACAAATGCTGCCAACTAATTATAGACTGGTTTAAAGGTCGTGAAACACATGGTATCAGGATGTTGATATTTACTGCCTCCCCCTGGGAAGCATTATAAGCCATGTATAAGGTTGGCTCCTGGGCAAACAGGGATGGTTGGTTTTTGGTTTTTGGTTTTTTGTTTTGGTCAGTCGTGGAGCTTGAACTCTGGGCCTGGGTGCTGTCCCTGAGCTCTTCAGCTCAAGACAAGTGCTCTACCTCTTGGGCCATAGCACCACTTCCGGTTTTCTGGTGGTTAATTGGAGATAAGAGTCTCTAGGCTGGCTTTGAACAGTGATCCTCCTATCTTAGCCTCTTGAGTAACTAGGATTACAAGTGTGAGATCCCAGTGCCTGGCTAACAGGGCTGTTTTTTATATTACAGGCACCTATGGCATTCAGGGATGTAGCTGTGGATTTCTCTGAGGAAGAGTGGAGCCTGCTAAGCCCTGCTCAGAGGACCCTTTACAGAGAAGTGATGCTGGAGAATTATAGCAACTTGGTCTCTCTGGGTAAGATATGGATATAGATATATAAGATATAGATGTACATCTTAGGACTTGCATTTGCACTACAAGAACTTTAGTTTTTGCTGTGCTTGAGACAGCCATCTTGCTTTCTGACTTGGCCTTTGGGAGGACCCCTTTTATTTTGTGTAGGATGATGCCACCTACATAACCCTGTTGTTAATTCTTTTTGGAAATACCCTCACAGACACACCAAAAGGTGTGCTTTACTGATCTCCTTCTCAACTCAGTCAAGGTGGCAAGCTTAACTGTCACAAATCTACGCTTTATCAACTTGACACCAACACAGCTCTTTTAACCTTTAACATTACAACCCCAAAAGGATCATGTACGTCTCATGAATGCATAAATGTTCAGTCCATTTTGAAGAGTCCTTATAGCCTTTATAATTCCAACATTGTTTAAAAGTCCATATCCAAAGCCTTCTGAAATCCAAGACAAACACTTAACTGTGAGCCCTGTAAGATTTTTTTTTTTGTCGTGGGGCTTGAACTATGGGTCTGGGCACTGTCCTTCAGCTCTTCAGCTCAAGGTGAGCACTCTACCACCTGAGCCATAGTGCCACTTCTGGCTTTTTCTGCTTATGTGGTGCTGAGGAATCGAACCCAGGGCCTCATGCATGCAAGGCAAGCACTCTAACACTGAGTCATCTTCCCAGCCCCACCCTGTAAGATTTTTAAAGCAGGTTTATTACTCCTAGAACACAGTGGCAAAGAATAAACGTTTTTGATTCCTAAAGAGGAATGGAGGTACAGAAGGGGTAGGAACAAAGCAAGAACAAATCCCAGAAAGGAAAACATTAAATCCTATAGAACCATCTCCTACATTTATTGCATATGGTGTCATGATGTGTGAGTGCCAACAGGCTTGGGCAGCCACACACCTATGGTCTTGTCATTTACAACCCGCATGACCTCTCTCTTGGGCTGACAGTGCTGTCTGTCTGAAGTTTTCTTGAGCAGATGTTCCATATTCTTAGCATCTCAAACTTCCTGCAGGTTTCCACTGTGACTTCAGCTTTACCCTCTCCGCTTTACATATTGCCCTTACCAGGGGCTACCTGCCATACACTGACCTAGCCTCTCGGGCCTTTGAAATCTGGGTGGAAGCCTCCATGACTCCAGAACTCTTTCATTCTGTGTGCCTGCACAATCATCGCCACATGCCAAAGCCAGAGTCTGCTGCCAAAACAGTAACTTGATCCACTTGGCCTATGAGCTGAAGTACCTCTGACTTTCTGGACTGTTGAATCTGAGGAAACACTTCCCTAGGCAACTCTGCAACTAGGGCACCCAGCAGCACTTTTCTCCAGAGAAAGTGTTTGCAGTTAGTGAACACTTTCACACCCTTGATCTTGTGATGGGTGGGGTCTCATTGATTTTTGAGATGTTGTGGCATCTTCCCTGTTAACCCAATGCAAAGTACTTGGCTTTTTAGTGACTCTAATCTCTTTAATACCCCAACTTTCCTTGTCCACAACTTTAAACATGCTTCTTTTCTTTGCCTAAGCTATTTTTTTTTCTCTCTACTATTTGCTCCTAGTTCTCACTATAAGCCTGGCTAAAAGCAGACAGCAGTAGACATTCCACAGCCTGAATGCTGGGTTGCCTTGTCGTTTCGTCATTCAATTTAATTAGTCCACCACCTTTAAACACAGCCTCTACCGTTTCAGGGAATGGACAAAATGTAGAAAAGTTCTTTGTCAGAATATGACACAAATTGCCTGTAGTCCAATTCCCAGTATAGTTCTTGTTCCCTCTGAAACCTAATGAGTCCGGTCTTTTGGTCTTCATTTATATTGGCATTCTGAAATCCTGCCAGAATTGCCCATTAAGGTCTGCTTTTAGCATTCTAGGTCTTCTTCTCTAAGCTGTCTTCAAATTTCCACATTCCTCTTGGAAACCAGTCCCTCTATGTCTTTAGAACTACATCATCAGGTAGCTACAGCAGTGACACCATTTCTCTGGTATAAATGCTCTGTGTTAGACTTTATTGCTGTGATGAATAAGCAAAACAGCTTAGAGGAAGGAAGCATTTATTTTGGCTCATGGTTTCCGAAGTTCCACTCCATTGTGGCTGGAAGAGAATGCAGAGCATCATGTCGTGACCAGGGAACAGGGTGCCGATGAGCAGGCCTGCACGTGCTACTGGCTTTCTCCTTTATTCCCTTTTATTCTATTCAGGCCTTTAACTTCTGGGATGGCGCTATCCATATTCAAGGCAGGTTTTTCAACACCCCATTTAGTTAACTCTCTGGAAACACCCTCACAAACATACACTGAACTATGCTTCACAAATCTCTTAGGTACTCCTTCACCCAATCAAGTTGATAGAGCTATGCTTCACAAATCTCTTAGGTACTCCTTCACCCAATCAAGTTGATAAATCACAACCATCAGAGAAGCGTACATCCACCCATCATGGAGTAGAAACCATGTGTTCCCATCCAAATTTACCTTCTGTACTATTTCAGGTCATTGTACTATCCTTTGAAGTTTCTCAACCAGTTTGGGTTCTGAAATCTTCAGTTGGCACCAGACCTGATAATCTACCACCATCTTACTTTCTTTTCCTACGAGCAGGAATTCCATTTTCAAAACCAAAACTCATCACTCAGCTGGAGCAAGGCAAAGAGACGTGGAAAGAGGAGAGAAAATGTCTACCAGCTCCCTGTCCAAGTGAGTGGGCAAATGTGGCATATAGATGTCAGCAGCCTAGAGGGTTGGGAGAGAGGATACATTGACCAGGGGCTGGGGAGGGAACCTGTCCACTTGATCTTACTTTACCTTAATAAAATGATCAGATACTAAATGGATGTATGAAGTGAAAAATGTGAAAACAGTGTATGCTTTTTGTATTCAGTAGTCCTCCTTGTTTAGTATAAATAAAGCCTGCTACTTTTTGGATAGCCACAAAATTAGTGTACATATTAGAGACCTGGATTCACCTAAGGATGGGTAAGGGTATTTCTTATATCAAAGTCAGCTTGCCAGCTTTTCAGGACACAGAAGTTCTTTCTGCTGGCAAAGGACCTACTTGCCCTGTATCTGTTACCTCCTATGGAGGAGAATATAGAAGGAGATAGTAGTAATTGTTTTCTTTATCCTTTTGAATAGGAAAAACAGCTAACAGAATTTAGCGTTACCTACTGTAGTCTCAGGGTGATTACTGGCCAGAAATAAATACAAAATCAGCTTCAAACAACCTATATTTTACAAAATGAACTTAGTGAGAACTCTGTGAAACAGGATTCAGTCTGGAGTGACTGGGTGGGAGAGATGGGTATCAGGCAAGACCAGTGGCTCCTGAGACTCGTGCTAGCTTAACGCAAAGACCGCTAAAGCTGCTGAAAGGAAGGAGTCGGGCTTAGATATTTGATAGGCATTGAAACAGGGAGGGGTAACTTTTTTTTTTTTAGTAGTTTACTGGCAGAAAGGAGGCAGGAATATATGTTTTTGATGATACTAGGGTTTGAACTTAGGGCCTCAGAATTGCTAGGCAGGTGCTCTACTGCTGAACCACACCTCCAGCCTCACCCACCCCTCAACTGATTTTTTTAAGATAAGATCTTGCTTTTTGCCCAGACCTGCAAGTGGACCACTGTCCTCCTATTTTAGGCTTTTCACAGCTTCTTTCTTCCCTTGAAATGGAGTCTCATAAACTCCTGGCCTGGAACTTTGTGATCTTCCTGATCTTGTTTCCTGAGAAACTACAGTTATATATGTGAGCCATGGTGCCTGGATTAAAAAGCAGGAATTTTTAAGTATTATGAAAGAGTGATTATACTAACTATAATTATTAGCTAATTATTACTGTGCTAACTAGGTAATTCAGTTATAATTGAAAAGCTTTATATATATGATGAAATAGTTCTGGCATGTAAATATGTCTACGGTTCTGATGCCTGATTATTCATTGGCAAGAAAAGTTTAGGCAGATATGGTAACATCTATACTAGTTTCTCAAAATGCCTGGTCTTTGATTCCTGTGAGCTGACTAGAACCAGTGGTGATGAAACAATATATTCAATGATAACATTTCTTTCTTTCTTTTTTTTTTTTTGGTCCAGTCGTGGGACCTGAACTCTGGGCCTGGGCGCTGTCCCTCAGCTCTTCAGCTCAAGGCTAGCACTCTACCACTTGAGCCACAGCGCCACTTCCGGCTTTTTTCTTTTTACTTGTGTGGTGCTGAGGAATCAAACCCAGGGCCTCATGCGTGCAAGGCAAGCGCTCTACCACTGAGCCACCTTCCCAGCCCAATGATAACATTTCTTATACTAGCAGTATAAGGTGGAATTTTTTTCTTTTCTTTTTTCTGTTTTCCTTTCAGGTTCTAGGGATCAAACCTAGGGCTTTATGAATGATAGGGAAGTGTTTTACTACTGAGCAATATCCTAAGCCTGAAAATTATCTTTTCTTTCTTTGTTTTTGGCCAGCTCTGGGCCTTGACCTCAGGGCCTGGGCACTGTCCCTGAGCCTCTTCTGCTCAAGGCTAGTACTCTACCACTTGAGCCACAGTGTCATTTCTGGCTTTTTCTGCTTATGTGGTACTAAGGAATTGAACCCAGGGCTTCATGCATGCCAGGCAAGTACTCTGCCATTAAGCCACATTCCCAGCCTGAAATTTTTCTTTTACACTGATTTCTGGGGGGAATTTTCATCTATACTAAATATGGCAGTTAACAAGGGCTTAGAGATAGCAAGGGGTACAAGGTGGGAGCACCTTTCACTCTTATGCAGCTTCTCACACTGGGCTGCTCCATCCAGTTCAAATGATTGTTCTCTCAATCTACCCCTTTGTCCTCATAAGGAAATTAGACCCCATGGTTAGCTAGCTCTTGGTCAAAGTAAAAACCAAACCAAATTAAAAAAAAATACTTGTAGACATAGTTCCTATCAGTGTGTGGTTCTTAGGCAATTTTAGTATAGTTGGCTTTAAATTTTTTGTTTTTTGTTTTTTTTTTTTTGGTCCGGTCGTGGGGCCTGAACTCTGGGCCTGGGCGCTGTTCCTCAGCTCTTCAGCTCAAGGCTAGTGCTCTACCACTTGAACCCAGCGCCACTTCCGGCTTTTTTCTTTTTGCTTATGTGGTGCTGAGGAATCAAACCCAGGGCCTCAGGCATGCAAGGCAAGTGCTCTACCACTGAGCCACCTTCCCAGCCCCGGCTTTAAATTTTTTGTAACCTTACTTAAGTTACCTGGATTGTAATAGGAGATGTAAGATAAAGTGATGGAAAGCAGGTCATGTAAAGAAGTGTTGGAAGCCATATGTTGGTGGCTCATGCCTCTACTCCTAGCTACTCAGGAGGCTGAGATCTGAGAATCCAGCACAGGCAGGAAAGCCCATGAGACTCTTAACTCCAATTAACCACCTGAAAACTGGAAGTCAGGCTATGGCTGAAAGTGGTACAGTGCTAGCCTTGAGCAAAAAAGCTCAGGACAGTGCCCAGGCCCTGAATTCATGTCTCAAAACTGACCCCCAAAAATTAAAAAATTAAAAAGATGAAGAAGCACCAGGTAGCCCTCTCAAATCCCACCATCAGATCAGGCACAGTTGTGGAGCTGCCCTACCAAGGCCTCCTGTGTTGACTCAGACCTTTCTCTCTGCAGCAGAACCAAAACCAGAAGTCTACCCCGATTCTTTCTGCCCTCCCGATTTTCCCAAGTGTAAGTTCCCCTTGCAACATATGCTACGTAATCATCCCCCCTGGATCTTCACATGCCTGTGCACAGAAAGTCAAGTTGAGCCAGGAGATCCACGCTCAAGGGTCTGGGAGAAGCAGCAGCAATCCTCTGATAGAATCTCCTGGAGAGATAAAGGTTTATCTCCTGGAGAGATAAAGCCCGAGAAAGGAGGCACCAAGCCTTCATTTGGCCAAACAGAGAAAAGCACTTTGGGAGCCTTCTCCAGACTGCCCCAGAGACAGGCAGTCAGCTCTCGGAATGGCATCCGAGTGGTGGAGAAGGAAGCCAGCCCAGCTCACACACAGAACCCCGAGGAAACAGACAGATTGCTGAAGAGGATAGAAGTCTTAGGATTTGGAACAGTCAACTGTGGAGAGTGCGGCCTGGGCTTCAGCAAGATGGCAAACCTGCTGAGCCATCAGAGGATCCACTCCGGAGAGAAGCCTTATGTGTGTGGGGTGTGTGAGAAAGGCTTCAGTCTGAAGAAAAGCCTGGCCAGACACCAGAAGGCACACACCGAGGAGAAGCCTATGGTGTGCAGGGAGTGTGGTCGAGGTTTTAACCGCAAGTCAACCCTCATTATTCACCAGAGGACACACTCGGGGGAGAAGCCTTACTCGTGCACTGAGTGCGGGCGAGGCTTCAGTCAGAAGTCCAACCTCATCATACACCAGAGGACACACTCTGGGGAGAAGCCGTATGTGTGCCGGGAGTGTGGGAAATGCTTTAGCCAGAAGTCAGCTGTGGTTAGACACCAAAGGACACACTTAGAGGAGAAGACCATTGTGTGCAGTGACTGTGGTCTCGGCTTCAGTGACAGGTCAAACCTTATCTCCCACCAGAGGACACACTCCGGAGAGAAGCCTTACGCCTGCAAGGAGTGTGGGCGGTGCTTCCGGCAGAGGACCACCCTCGTCAACCACCAGAGGACCCACTCAAAGGAGAAGCCTTACGTGTGTGGCATCTGTGGGCACAGCTTTAGCCAGAATTCAACCCTCATCTCTCACAGGAGGACCCACACCGGAGAGAAGCCATATGTGTGTGGGGTCTGCGGGAGAGGGTTTAGTCTCAAGTCACACCTCAACAGACACCAGAACATTCACTCCGGGGAGAAGCCAATTGTGTGCAAAGATTGTGGTCGTGGCTTCAGCCAACAATCAAATCTCATCAGACACCAGAGGACACACTCTGGGGAAAAGCCCATGGTGTGTGAGGTGTGCGGGCGAGGCTTCAGCCAGAAGTCAAACCTTATTGCACATCAGAGGACACACTCAGGGGAAAAGCCATATGTGTGCCGGGAGTGTGGGCGAGGCTTCAGCCACCAGGCAGGGCTGATCAGGCACAAGAGGAAACACTTACGGGAGAAGCCGTACGTGTGCACACAGTGTGGCCTGGGCTTCAGCAACAAGTCAGCTTTAATCACACACAAGCGGGGATGCTCAGAAGAGAAGCCTTGCACATGCAGAGACAGTGGCCCAGGCTTTTTCCACAAGTCCCACCTCACCTTCCCGCAGAGGGCACACAACGGGGAGAAGCCCTACATGTGCAAGGCCTGTGGGCAGAGCTTTCAGTGGAAGTCTCACTTCAGCAGACACAGGAAGATGAAGGGTATCCACCACAAGCAACTGCAGCCTGACTTGGAGGCCTACTTGGAGCAATCGTCTGACCCCTTGTATTCTCTTTAAAAAAAAAAAAAAGATGAGAGGACTGTCAAAAGTTTTTACACTTCCATAAAATAGAAAAATACATTCCATAAGGGATGATATAAGATACTTAGTTTGTTCCCTACTAAATCTTTTCCATGTTTCATGGCTTTTTGTTCTAATAAACTTTGCTTCTGTACAAATATGAGTTTGTTCTTTGGTTTGAGGCTAGAGTTTTTATTTTCTACGATCTGTTTTTGTTCCTTGTATTATGTTCTTTGAAAATATTGAACTTAGCCAGGTGCTGGTGGCTCACACCTGTAATCCTAGCTACTCAGGAGGCTGTCTGAAGATTGCGGTTTGAAGCCAGCCTGAGCAAGAAAGTCCATGAGACTTTTTGTTGTTGGTGGTGGTGGTGGTCATGCGGCTTGACTCTGGATCTGGGCGCTGTCCCTCAGATCTCCAGTTCAAGGCTCGTGCTCTACCACTTAAGCCACAGTGCCACTTCTGGTTTTCTGGTGGTTAATTGGAGAGAAGAGTCTAATGGCTTTTCCTGCCCTGGCTGTCTTTGAACCGTGGTCCCCAGATCTCAGCTTCTTGAGTAGCTAAGATTACAGGCAGGAGCCACGAGCATCTGGCTCATGAGACTCTTATCTCCAGATAACTACTAAGTAGAGCTGTGGCTCAAAGTGGCAGAGCACTAGCCTTAAGCAGAACAGTTCAAGGACTGTGCTCAAGCACTGTTCAAGTCCCATGACCCTCTCCCCCCCAAAAAATATCTGAACTCTTAGTTTATAGGACAGAATAGTAATTACCCAAGATTGTCTCCAGTTCTGAGTGTCTTACTGTTTTGTTTTATAACTTTCATTTTTAAGAAAATAGCATTCTTCCCATTGCTGTAAATAGCATAAAACTCAACCATTTAGGAGCTGGAAATCATTATATTAAATGAACTAAACTAGTTCCACAAAGACAAATGTTACACATTTTCTTTAATATGTGGAATCTGGAGGGAAACAAAATAACTAAGGCCATGAAAGTAGAGTGTACCAGGGAAGGAGAAAAGAAAAGGGGAGTAAGGAGGGGAGAAAGAAAAAAAAGTAATAGATGATGTGAATATTATCAGAGTAGTAATATATATATATATGTGTGTGTGTGTGTATATATATATATATGTATATATATATATATACATATATATATATATATGCATGGAAAATTTGTAGTTGGTCAGGGAACAGCAGAAACTTGACTGAGCCATTTGGGGTGGAGGTGGGGGACAGGAGTGAGTTGCTAGGACTGCAAGAATGCGGGGGGGAGCCAGGCCAGATGCTGGTGGCTCACACCTGTAATCCTACCTACTCAGAAGGCTGAGATCTAAGGATTGTTGTTCAAAGCCAGCCCAGGCTGGAAAGTCTATAAGATACTTATCTCCAGTTAACCACCAGGAAACCAGAAGTGGTGCTGTGGCTTAAAGTTAGCCTTGAGCAAAAGAGCTCTGGGACAATGCCCAGGTCCCAAGTGGACAAAAACAAAAACAGAAAGAAAGAAAGGAAAAATAATGTGGGCTACAGTCAGCTAGGCATGCTTACCTGGGTTGGAAACATGGCTCAGAGGTAAAGGAACTACCTAGGAAGCAGAAGATCCTTCATTTAAAGCCCAGGACCACCAAAAAATAAAAATAAAAAACAAAAAGGCAAAGACTTGCTTTTGAAGGTACCATGCTGAGATTCCTGATGCTGGGGCGCTAGTCACTAGTTAGGGACCCCTCTGTGCCCAGATTATAGCTAGAGGATATTCTACTGCCCCCAAGAGAATTGTGTTTCATACTACAATGTTTATGGTACGTATCCCAGTTTTATGGAACTTGAAATGCAGGATCCTCTAGGTCTTCCCACAGAAAGCAGGCTTCTATGACAGTAATGTATGGCTGTTCTAGAAACCCAACCACTGAGATTGCTGTTTTAAGCAAGAATCGATTGCTATTGTTTCACGTGGCTTAACGGATCTGTTTACACAAAGTGTATTTTAAAAATACTTTCTAAGCTGGGTGCCAGTGGCTTACTCCTGTCATTATAGCTACTCAGGAAACAGATCTGAGAATTATGGTTTGAAGCCAGCCCAGACAGGAAAATCTGTGAGACTCTTATCTCCAATAAGTTATCAAAAAAGCAAGCTGGAAGTAGCACTGTGGCTCAAAGTGATAGAGTGCTAGCCTTGAGTGAAAAAGCCCAGGGACAGAGCCCAGGACCCCTGAATTCAAGCCCCATAACCAAAAAAAAAAAAAAGTTTTCTACCCAATATCCCCATGCCATTTTCTTGTCATTTCACTAGAACAGCTTTGAGAGAAGAAACACCATATCAGAATGATGGTCTAACTTACTCCAGGCACTTTTTTTTTTTTTTTTTTTGAGGGGGGCGGTCATTATAAGATAGGATTCCTCTTTCCCTGGGTGGGGATATAACTCAGAGGTAGTGTTTGCTGAGCATGATTGAGGTTCTGGGTTCTATCCCAGCACCACTGAAAAATGATTGCCTTTCTCCATTTATTATTCCTCATATCATCCGTAAGTCCTCGAGAAAACTATTTAAAGCTTAATATGGCACACTACATTATTTACAAATGATAAAAGCAAGGAAATACACAACAGCGCTAGTGGCTGTCTTCCCAGAACTAAAACTGTGCCAACCACTATGAACTCCAATACTCGTTTCACACACAAGAAATCAGATGACCAAAAGAACTATTTTGGGAACATCTAATTAATACTTCATGGGTTTTTTTAAATTTTATATTTATAGCAAATCTGATACATATCTTGCTCCATTTAATTTATTTTTATTTTTTTTGCTGGTCGTGGGGCCTGAACTCTGGGCCTAGGCGCTGTCCCTCAGCTCTTCAGCTCAAGGCTAGCACTCTACCACTGGAGCCACAGCTCTACTTCCGGCTTTTTCTGCTTATGTGGTGCTGAGGAATTGAACCCAGGGCCTCATGCATGCAAGGCAAGCTCTCAACCACTGAGCCACCTTCCCAGCCCCATCTTGCTCCATTTAAATGGCTACCAGCTAAACCAACCTCAGATTTATCCTCCCAAATCAGACACTGGTGACTTCTGGAAACCAGGGAATAAATACGAGTTTGATGAGTTAAGGAATGATGACTTTGATTCCTCCTAGACCCGCTTTATTTTCCTTCTTTCTAGCTTGTGACCAGGTCTGTGTGATCAGAGCTAGGCAAAACTGTATGTTGTACACAACTAGAGGTTCTGAGTAGAGGGAGCTACAAGTCCTATGTTGGGCTGAGTGTAGTAGGGGAGTCCTGAAGCTCAGGAAAGACAAAGAACCTGGGTGAAGCACCTGCAGGCCTGCTGAGGAACTTGTTTCCCCCCCCCCCCCAACAAATGGAAGGAAAAGGATATTAAAAAGGTCATGTTCATGATCATGTTTTATAGACCCAAAGGCCTGGAGATGCGAAGAACAGGAATGGGAGGGTCCTGAGGGGTGGTGATTTGTTAAACCTGCAAGTCCCTATCCTTGGCTAAGCCAGTGGCTTCAGAAAGAAAAAGAGGAGACAATTTAGGAGATGAAACTTGCAGGGCTTTGTGGCTGGATGTAAATGGGAGCAAGAAGGAAGTATTATACTGCATCTTGAGGAGAAGTCTTGGGCATGTTGCTACTGAGACAGAAAACAAGGGACTCAATGTGAGGACTCACTCTGGTGACACAGCAGAGCAGGGTGTGTTGCTCAGCTTTTTGTTGTTGTGGAAAAAATACCTGGCTGGGGTGGGGGGAGCAGGGAGGGGTGAACCCAACAACTTAGAGGAAAGATTATTTTTTCCCTCATAGCTTCAAAGGCTTCAGTCCAAGGTTGGCGAGCTTCGTGAGTTGAAGCAGGTATCATGGCATCAGCAGTACATGGTATTGAAGGCTGCTCACCACAATAGGGACCAAGAAGCAGAGAGGGAGAATGGAAGAGGGCAAGACATGCCTCTCAAGGACAACCCCACTCAGTGACCTACTTCTTCTAGCTAGCCCCTACTTTCTAAAGTTTCTGCCATCTCCCAATAGTGCTACCATCTGGGAACCAAACTTTCAAAGCATGAGCTTTTGGGGGCCATTTCAAATCTCTAACAGGCTGAGCCTCCCTGTGGGGATTCTTCTCCCCCAAAGTGGTCAAAGGCTCTCTCTAGTTTCAAACTCACTATCTCAGTCTGTTCTGTTACTATAACAAAATATCTGAAACTGGGTAATTTATAAAGTAGACATTTACTTTGCTCATGTTTCTGGAAGCTGAGATGTTCAAGAGCATGGCACTGGCATCTGGTGAGGGCTTCCTGTCCCAATGTCCCCAATGTCTCCAATGTCACAGCAAATCCTCATGCCCAGAGGTCATTTCTTCCTCCTCCTCTTCCTCCTCCCCTCCCCTTCCTCCTCCTACCCCCCCTCCCCCGTCCTCCTCCTCCTCCTCCTCCTTCTTCTTTTTGTCAGGCATGGAGTTGTTTCTCTTTCTTTACTCCCAAAAGAATAAGCATACACTGGGGCTGGGAAGGTGGCTCAGTGGTAGAGCGCTTGCCTTCCGTGCATGAGGCCCTGGGTTCAATTCCTCAGCACCACATAAAGAAAAAAGTTGGAAGTGGCACTGTGGCTCAAGTGGTAGAGCGCTAGCCTTGAGCTGAAGAGCTGAGGGACAGCACCCAGGCCCAGAGTTTAGGCCCCATAACCGGACCCCCCCCCCCAAAAAAAAAAGAATAAGCATACACTGAATGCTTTCAGATAGAGTTCTTCTACTTCCTAGTAAAGCTAGTATTTGATTTAAAGGAATTCAAGGAAAAAAGAACACAGAAGAAGCAGATGAAGCTGGATGCCGCAGTATAAGCTGACAATCCCAGCCATTGGGAAGCTGGGGCTGGAGGATCACAAGCTCAAGGACAGCATGGGCCATGTAAGTGAGCTGGTGACAAGCTTGAACTTGAAAGAACTTGTCTCAATAAATCCCCCCTCACCCTTGAAAAAAAGAAGCAGGTAAGATGATTCCTTCTCTGACAGCACGATATATTTATTAATTATATATATAATTTTTATTCTTACAAGGAATGTGTATTTTAATATATTATTCAACAAAAATAACTGCACAGAGCCTATGAGAAAACTATCGGTGGATGGGATATTTCATTAGCTTTTCTTTATTTGAAGTTTCTGTATTGTTTTAATTTCTTACAATAAACATGAAATGTTTTATGAAAACAATTATTTGACAGGATAAATTGTACATGGCTTAGTCTGTCAAAGTTTGATGAGCCTAAGTGTCTATCTTGACTACAGTGGGTCCAAGAGGTACATCCTAGTAACAATTTTACTTATGTCACAACACATAAACCCACATAAGTGAGACATTATTTTAACTTTCAATATTTACTTAGGAGAGCTAACACCCAAATATTTTCTAGTTTACTAGTTTTCTAGTTTACTAGCAGATACGTTTTAGTCTAACAACTGTAGTTAAAAATGCTTTTCAAACTTGACAGCCAGGACATATCTGCTGCAAAACCTTCCTTTTGGTGCAAATATCATTTGTGTATTAAAAAAAATACCACACAGTGAATTTTTCTCAGCAAGATTCCTGAAAACTTACTGTGTGCTAGAACCTAAAATTAAGCATAGGGTATGATCTTGACTATGGGTGTATTAGGTTTCCATCACCAAAACAAAATACCAGAGACAATCAACTTACAAAAAGTTTCATTTTAGCCAGATGCCTGGTGGCTCACGCCTGTAATCCTAGCTACTCAGGAGGCTGAGATCTGAGGATCACGGTTCAAAGCCAGCTCTGGCAGGAAAGTCCATGAGACTCTTCTCTCCAATTAACCACCAGAAAACCAGAAGTGGTGTTGTGGCTTAAGTGATAGAGCACTAGCCTTCAGCTGAAGAGCTAGGGTCAGACCGACACACACAAAAAGTTTCATTTTGGCTCACAATTTTGGGGGTTTTAGTCAGTGATCAGTTGGCTATATTGCTTTTGACCTTTGATGAGAAAGCACATTGCGGCAAAAACAAACCACTCACTTCATCATTAGAAGGCAAAAGAATGTGTGCTTAGTGTGCTTGGGTGGAGGTAGGGCAGAGAGGCAGAATATCACTAGCTCCTTCAAAGGCATGCCTCAACTCTTCTCACTAGGCTCCACCTCTTAAAGTTTCTACCACCCTCAGCAGTGCCACCTTGGGGGGACTATCTTCTAATATCTTTTATTTTTATTTTATTTATTTATTTTTTTTTTGGTCCGGTTGTGGGGCCTGAACTCTGGGCCTGGGCGCTGTCCCTCAGCTCTTCAGCTCAAGGCTACCGCTCTACCACTTGGGCCACAGCGCCACTTCCGGCTTTTTTTCTTTTTGCTTATGTGGTGCTGAGGAATCGAACCCAGGGCCTCAGGCATGCAAGGCAAGCACTCTACCACTGAGCCATCTTCCCAGCCCTTCTAATATCTTTTAATACATGGGACTTTGAAGGATCTGAACTGTAGCAAACATGGGCTGCTGACTGCTGCTGTAAGTTAGATTAGAAGCTATTCTGGACATATAAAGGGAAGTGCCTGATTTGTTCTGTGGGGCAGGGTGATGGAGGAAGACGAGGCAGAGTAGCCACATGAGCAAAGATCAGGGCCAATGGTGTGTAGGCAGGTAACCTTCCAGCAACAGTCATAATAGCAAACAGTAAGAGAAGAGGTATTCCTCTATTTTTATCTGTCCTCATGAGTGAACTTTAGGATGTTCAAGTCACAGAGATCAAACCATTTCTAAATAATAAGAAACTTCCAGGACTTCTTCAGGAACATGACACAGAAACCCGTGGTATGGTCCCTGTTACTAAAGGGAAATAGACCAGTTATTCTTTTTTTCTTTTTCTTTTTTTGACAGTCTTGGGGCTTGAACTCAGAGCCTGGGCACTGTCCCTGAGCTTTTTTAGCTCAAGGCTAGCACTCTACCACTTGAGCCACAGAGCCACTTCTGGCTTTTTCTGTTTATGTGATATTGAAGAATTGAACCCAGGGCTTCATGCATGTTAGGCAAGCACTCTACCACCATGCCACATTTCCAGCCCAGCCCAGTTATTCTGACATAAGACATTGCATGCAGTCATAAATTCTGCTTCAATATGTTAAGTGAGGAAATGCAAGAGATCACTCAGCTCTTTGCTGTCTCCTGTAGATGTCCCAGGTCAGTAAGAAGGTGTAGCTTTGTTCCCGATAGGGTACTCTATCCCTGATGGATGAGTTAGCTGAAATGCTACTTCCTCACTTATATCTGAAAAGCATCATTGTGATTGGAGCTGGAGCTGAAGCCAACAATCTAAAACTTGTGAAAGGCCTGTGTTCATTGACATTAACCTGTGCCTGGGTTGTCTGAGCAACTTTCAAACCCTCAGGCTTGACAACCAATGATGTGGATATTATTTTGGCTCATTACTTTGGTAAACCTAAATCTGATTCAAATCTTGAGACTGTGTATTTCCCAAGATATCAACCAAGAAAACCTACAGTTCTTCCTGGGTGCCTATAATGCACACAGAAACCAGGAGAGTAAAAGATACATACTGAGCCACAATGAAAAAAAAAAAAAAACATCAAAGATTCTACTTTACTGGTGGTAGGGGACAGAATGCAGTTTTCACTTCAACCCTATAAATCCAACTTTGCTAAAGACTGAAGACTATGAAGTACTGACTGAACCCTTTGAGTTTCTTTTTGCAGGGCATATCCTATGCCAGATTTGTTTCCCCATTGTGAAACACTCAACCTGGATAAAATCAGCTCTGGAGAAAGTCACTTCAGTCAGTCTGTCATCAGCAGTCAGTCAGAACTCAAAGATCCTGTGAGCTCCCGGAAGTCCTAGACAGATTACAGAGGTGCCCTGCTGTACAGATGTCCATCTCCTGGGTTATGCAAGTCCATCCTTCACATGAACACTCTATAATAGAATATTTCATCTGTCAGTTGGCTTCCACTATCTTTCACTGATTGGATAGCCACTGAACATTTTTAGTAGCCCAAGTTTATCATTCTCTTCTTACACACCCTTCTTTTTATTTTCAAGAACCACATCCTTGCCATTATTATGCCATTCCCATGTCTTTAGCGGATCCAGTTTCCATAGCTTCTCTTGCGAGCTTTCCCTTCACTCCCCAACTATGTACCTAAGATTGATTCCCAACTCCATGTGAATGCAAGTGTATCTGTGTTTGTGTGTGCAAAGTTATGTAATTTTAGACATACTTTCTTGTAGTGCTTCAGCAAAAAACAGAAATGTGACTTTTTAGATTCTCAATAGTGTGTGTTTTTTAAGGGAATTTTGGAGAACAGATATTTAGGCAGTGTAGACCACTAGATTCTCTTTGGGCTCCAAATTGGTCAATACAATTTAAAGGGAGACAGCAGTTATGAGGAATGTAGAAAATCACACTACAGTTTGGATTATTGATAGATTCCGATTGACAGTAGAAGGGTTGCCTGTCACATAGACAAATAAACAGGTGGCAGCCACCTCCTTTGTGTCCAAATGGATTCATATTTGCTATTCTATAAACAAAAAGCAAGGCTATATCTCATTAGAAGCATATGAAGGATGAGAATCTCATCCAACATTAATTTTCTCCAAATAAATAATTCGACTACTAGACTCTTAGCAGACAAAAACTCAGACTAAAATGCCAGCTTCTACTTTGCAGACAAAAATTTCTGTCACTGTTGTATCTGCTAGCACTTGCCAGTCATCCACACATCTGTAGGACAACCCTCCCAGGTCTGTGATGGAGGGTGGTTCTCTATCCTTCAATCCAAAAATGAGAAAGGAAGAAAAAAATACAAAAAGGGGAGAGGTATGGCCTAAAAATGACACTGATGGCAAGTATGTGAGCCAGGAGAGGGGGAAAGGAGCAACCATTAACAAGATGTCACATGAAGTGAGTGTATGTACCCATGGCTCCAGAAGATTTCACTGAAGCTAAATTAAAGTAACATGGAACCCATTTCTAAGAAAAGGTCTTAATGCTATAATTCCCTTTTTGTAAGAGGGAATGGGCTGATCTGTAAGGCAGCTTTGCCCTGGTAGAATCTGTTTCAACCCCTCATGCATTGTAGGTGGGGAGGAGGCTGTCTCATCAGTCAGAAAGGCCACTGGACGAATGTGAAAGTATCAGAGGCCACGCATCAAGGGCATAAGTAGATGGTAAGAGCAGGAGATGTAACTTGGGGTTACCCAATTTCCAGTTTTAGAAAGACACTTCGCAGACATATTGTTTGCTCTTTGTTAAGATAAGGAAAGTATAACTGCCAGAATACAACTTTCAAAAAAAAAACCAAGTTATTAGAGCTACGTAAGTCTCATTGTTACTTGAAGATAAACAGGGGTAAAATATATGTGTGTGTGCTATGTATTTTTGTATAGCCCACGTGTACATGCACATATACATATATACATGCTATCTAATGCTATACCACCCCTGGAAAGATGGGGCCAGCCCTGGTGTCACTGGCACCGCTGAGAAAGGGAGTGGTGGCTGTCAAAGACAGGAAGAGACTGTTACCTAACACTGTATACCTTTCAGCTTTGAACCATGGGCAATTACTATTCATTGAAAAATAAAGTTAAAACGAAAGGCTACGTTAAAAAAATAGGAATTAACTATGAAAAAGCATACATGACATTAATCACAATCCAAGGTACGTTGGGAGCCATGCATATGGCATTAGAGATGTAACACTAACTAAAAAATAATCTAATGAATTCCTCTCAACCTCAACTCCTAATCTAAGTACACATTTCACAAATGAACAAAGAGCCAGAACAGGGTGATTTCCTCTTGGCAAAGCTCCATGGCTACCTCAGATCTTACAGTCACTCAAGCTGAGGTTCTTGGGTTGGGTGGGTTGGTCCTCAAGCCCTTGGCTGAACTTAGTGGCAAAGAGCTTGATGATGAGGTCATCCGCAATTTCCAGAGCCACATCGTATGCTGTCTGGCCTCTTGCATTCTTCTTTTGGATGCTTGCATTGCATCTGGAAGGAAATGGAGAAAAAGGAGCCCTGAAGTGCTCAGGCCCATGACCCCCAAGGCCCAACTCTTCCCTGACACAAAGGCCAGACTGTTACCTATTGGTCCTACCTCCTCAGACCTGTCCCTAAGAGGCCACCATGGCTCTAAGCTGTCAGTGGTGACTCTACTTGAGACCTTTTAAGATATTGTATGATTTCAAAATACTCAATTGTCAGTATAGCCATTGGTTCCAATTTACATCAAAGCTCTTCAACCAATGTTTAATGAGGGCAACATTTTTATTGTGCTTCAAAATCCCTGACTGGCAGAGGTCACAAGGCAGCATGGTGGCCCCTATTCACAAAGGTAGCAGTTTAGGAGCTGGGCTCCTCTAAAACGACCACGGGTAGGTAGAGAGATCACTCTGGCCCTCAGTAGTGCCCACCAGAGGCCAGGGAACTTACCCTAGTAACATGGCGACACTCTCCTCCAGGCCAAGCAGGGTTGCTTCATGAAGTGCTGTATTTCTGAACCTGTTTGTTGGGCAGGGGCAGGGGCAGGGTGTAAATCCTTAGTATCCTCAGGAATTGGACCAAAGGTTGGTGGTTTCACTCATTAACCTACTCACCTGGGAAATATCTGTCAATCTCTCTCTCTCTCTCTCTCTGACACACACACACACACACACACACACACACACACACACACACACACACATAGCTTTGTACTTGGTAACCAAGTACTCTACCACTTAAGTACACCTCCAGCCTGAACTTAGGAAAATCTCAAGTATCCCTCTGTGCCCCTTCCCTTGGAGGAATACTGTATACTGTGATGGAGAAGCTTTGATATCCCTTTGATATCCCTCCCTCCCTCCCTCCCTTCTTTCCTTCCTTCCTTTCCTCCTCCTCCTTCTTCTACTTTATGTTACTGAGTATTGAACCTGGAGCACATTGTACCTGCTGGGCAAGCACTCTGCCACTGAGCTACACCACAGCCCATCATCCTTTCTTTCCCCCTTTTTTTTCTTACCTACCCTTCCTCCCTCCCTCCCTGTGGAGAGCTGCGGGAGCCGACCAAAGATGGCGCGGCCGCATGGCATGGCCAAGCCAAAGATGGCGCTGGCCTCCGCCTTCCGCCTTCCCGATGGCGAGTGCTCTCTGTGAAAAACAACTCCTTATATGGCTATGGCTTGGCTACTGGCTTGCTTCCGTGTTTGCGACCCTATTGGTATATGCCACGTGGCACCTCGGGATTGGCCATCCAGGAGGCTTATAACCGGAGTGCGGGTGCGGGGCGAGAGAGAAGCTAACAATCAAGGTTCCTGAATAAACTGCTTTGAGAAGAATCCCAGGTCGTGTCTTCCTTGCTGGTCGAGGTGGATGCGACACCTCCCTTCCTCCCTTCCTTCCTTTCTTCCTTCCTTTTTTCTTTCTTTTCTTTTCTTTCTTCTCTCTTTCTCTCCTTATTTCTTCCCCATCTCTATTTTTTTGTGTGCTGGGCTTGAACTCAGAGCCTAGGCTTTGTCTTGAGCTTTTTTGCTCAAAGCTGGAGCTCTACCATTTTAGCCATAGCTCCACTTCTGGCTTTTTGTTGGTTAATTGGAGATAAGAATCTCGGGGGGGGGGAGGTTTGGGTGGGAGGGGAAGAGCGGAGGTGGGTAGGATGGGAAGGGATGGGAAGGGGAAACAAAGCAGCAGGCTACAATGCTTGATAAGAAATGTACTCATTATCTTGCCCATGTAATTGTAACCCCTCTGTACAGTATTTCCACAATAATAAAAAAAGAATCTCTGGGACTTTCCTGCCTAGACTGGCTTCAAATCTAAAACCTTTATCCTTACATCTTAGCCTCCTGTGTGGTTAAGATTGCAGGCATGAGCCACCAGTGCCTGGTCCAATCTTTTTTTTTTTTTTTTTGTCAGTTATGGGGCTTGAACTCTGGGCCTGGGTGCTGTCCCTGAGCTCTTCAGATCTCAGCCTCCTGGGTAGCTAGGATTACAGGCATGAGGCATTTGAAATCAGTTTTTTTGGTTGGTCATGGGGCTTGTACTCTGGGCTTGGGCACTGTCTCTCAGCTCTTCAGCTCAAGACTACCACTCTACCTCTTGAGCCACAGTGCCACTTCTGGTTTTCTGGTGGTTAATTGGAGATAAGAGTTTCAAGAACTTTCCTTGCCTGGGCTGGCTTTGAACTGTGATCCTCAGATTTCAGCCTCCTGAGCAGCTAAGATTAGAGGCTTGAGCCACCAGCATCTACCTTTCTTTTTCTTTTCTTTCTTTCTTTTTTTTTTTTTAATAATATGAGAACCCTGTAAGAATCTATTTTGGACTTCATTTAACAAATGCTAATTAACACTATTTTAGCAAATTTCCTGAAAAAGGTTTGAAATAAATTGGACATAGTGTCAACTTTGTAAAAGGTGAAAGATTTATGCAATCTGAAGACAAACCAAAGAGTACAATGTCAACTTTGGATTAGGTCTCTTGGATATTGTCTATATGGATCATTCTTCAGGCATGAAGCTCTTAATTTTCGATGCCAGTCCTGGGGCTTGAACTCAGAGCCTGTGTGTTATCCCTGAGCTTCTTTTTCCCCACAAAGCTAGTACCCTACCACTTTGAGCTACAACTCTACTTCCAGCTTTGGGGTGATTATCTGGAGATTAGTCTCATGAATTTTCCTACCTGGGTTAACTTTGAATCCAGATCATCATTTCATGTCCTTACCCAGGCTTTATTTTTCTCTGTAGCATGTAGTTTCTGAAATTACTTATTCATTTCTTTACATCTTTACTGTCTCCTCCACTAAACTGGAGCTCACCACTGTGAGTCTAGCAAGTAGAATGGACTAGCGGACTAGCATATACTAGGAACTCAGTACCCACTTGTAAAATGAGAATGTCAATGGAGTGAATGAACAAACTGAAGGAAAGGTGTTGCCTCCAGGACTGAAAGCCACATACATCTCAGGTAAATGTCCGTGAACCTCTCCACTCAGTTGTAGAAGACTAATCCTCTTAATTAAAGCAACCAGAATTGTCCAGTTAATGAGATAGCTTTACATTTCCCAAAAGTTAACAAGAAAGAATCTTTTCACTGTGCAAAACTCTCAGCATCAAATCCTACCTAATGGTTTTAGGCTTTATGGTGCACATAATTTAGCTACTTAAGTAGTAAGTAAACACAGTACTGGAGAAAGACCAAGCAAAACCCATAATCTGTTCCATGTCAAGGATTCATGTAGTGAACTCAGGGTGGCCGAGTCCCTCCAGCTGGTGTCAGCATCCAGAGACAGCTGTGTAATGTTGTCTTTCTGCACTAACATCATGAGTGTGTTTCCATGGGAATATACTGGAGCCTCTCTTCCCTTAGGATTGATCTGCACAGTTCAGATGAAAAAGACTGCTGGATACTCCATATCTTAGTGATTTGTTGGCCTTATATCACCATTTATAAAAGATGAAATTAGGCAACTCAACAGACCATTCTTAAAATTCTGTTTTACCCTCCTCTTACTTAGGTTCAAATAGATTTAAGTGGCTTTAAGTGGTTCTTATTGAACAGGGTGTGGGTGCTGATTGATTCTGTTGCAACAGACCCTTGAGCTGTATCTGCTTATGACAGGATAGCTAGTGGACCTGTCAGCGGTTCACTTACGGTCCCCACTGCTGGTCGATGTCTGCTCCTCTCTGAGCGAGAACTGGAATGGCTTCATGGTGCTTATTCACAACAGCCACAGTAATAGCGGGCCGGCCTTCATTATCACTGCAGTTGGGGTCTGCTCCCTGTAGGACATGGAAAGGGAGAAACACACTACAAAATCCTGAACTCAGCGTTTTCTCACTGCCATCCTACTAAGTATAACAAGTGTTCTGTTAAAGAAATAGTGGAACTAAAGTTGACCTCAAGACCCAATCTGGACATAGCTGGGAAGACTTCCATCTGGCTTGGTTTGGAAAACAGGCTGAAGGTCAAATGGGGTCATGGACCAGGAGTTCTGTCCGGTCTCATGCATGTTACTTGGGCTCATATGCATGTTACTTGGGCTCATATGCATTTGCCTATTATCATTGTTGTAAACACTAGCAATAGTGAGTCTAAAGCTTTTGAATGGCCAATTATTCTCAAGCAGGTTAATCCACAGGCACCAGGTAGAATGACAGGCTGAACTAGGTAGAGCAGTCACACTCACTTCATCTAGCAGCTGTTCAAGCACAGAGACTCTTCCTTCTCCTGTAGGGCCGACTTCCTCCAGCAGGAGTCTGTTTTCAGGCTGCAGAATTACACAATGTGGTCATTCCCACTCCCTCTGTGTATCTGTACTATTTGCGTCCCAGGCCTCACACTCAAGCAATGCTCCCTTTTCGAGCTTAGCAGTAACATTCCCAGTTGAGTTCAAGCCACATGGATGGGGGATTCTGAGTGTGAGTGTATGTGTGTGTGTAAGAGAGAGAGACTGTGTGTGTGTGTGTGCACACATACATAATATTAAACAACCAGCCGCATAAACATTTGTATCTAATATTAAGGACACTGCACTGACATTAATTTATATTATTAAGGGCAGAAGTGCAATGAGAAACCTCACAAAAGCAAAGAAACTCCACACTACTTTTATTAGAAGAAAAGCAGCCAAATGAATTTACTTTATTTTTTCTGTGTGTGTGTGTGTGTGTGTGTGTGTGTGTGTGTGTAGTAGGCAATTGAGCCCAGAGTCACACACACACACACACACACACACACACACACACACACACACGACAGGTGCTCTATCACCGAATTACACTGCAGCTTTTCTTTAAAATAATTTTTTGAGACAGAGTCTTGCTAGGTTGCCCAGGCTCACCTTGTGGTCCTGCCTCAGCCTCCCAAGTGATATGGGGATGCACCACAGCTTCCAGCTACTCTGCATGGTTTATAAACGCTTCAACTTTATATAAAACCATCTGGGAAATGGGTGAATTAATTGTTTAGAAAAAAACACAGCTTTCATGTATCATCAGAAATCAGAAGAATCTTTTATATTTTCAAAATGCTATAAAATGCATTTTATATATGAAGAAGACTGAAGGAAATAAGCCAATACATATTTCTGTCTAGGTCTCATGGATGATTGTGGGTGGTCACCTTGTATATGAAGTGGAAATAAAACCCACATCTTGTCTGGTAGTAGTAGTAGCTCATGCCTATAGTTCTAGCTATTTGGCAAGCTGAGATATGGAGGATCAGGGTTCAAAGCCACCCTGGAGAGTTTGTGAGACTCCATCTCCAAAATGACCAGCAAAAAAAAAAAAAAAAAGCTGAGCTGGAGATATGTCTCCTGTGGTAGAGTGCCATCTGAGCAAGCAAATTAAGGTACAGGCAAACAAAACAAAGAACAAAAACAAACACTTTTCCCTGGGACTCTAAGCCTTTCAGAAGATGCTGGGCCCAGGCTGTCACCTTCACCTCTCCACCCCCATCTCTCTGCTGAGTACTTTCGAGCAGGGTTCTCTAATCAATAAACCCTCAGGGGGTATCTGGAGAGATATTTATGTTTATACTAAATTCTAGTCCTTACGGAAAAATGCACTAGAATATTAGCATTAAGAGGCATGAGAGACTTGGTCATTTTTCACTTTTTTTTCAAACACTTAGAAACATGTTTGGGATATGTGTGCCCAAAAGTTAACATTATATTAATGAATGGGTGTTACTGTGTTTCTCATACTTAGCCCTTAAAAGCAGATGAGAGAGTAGAGGTATACAGCAGTGGGACATCAGGTCACTTACAGGGGAGGGTAGAATCCCTGAAGTTGTAGACTGTTAAGTTTGAATAACTCTAATACTTCTCTAACACCCATTTCAATATTTCAAATGGGGAGGTGGAGAGTACAAGGAATCATAAGCAACTGGATTTTAAAGAATTCTGAAGGGCTGGGAAGGTGGCTCAGTGGTAGAGCGCTTGCTTGCATGTCTGAGGCCCTGGGTTCGATTCCTCAGCACCACATAAGCAAAAAGAAAAAAGCTGGAAGTGGCGCTGTGGCTCAAGTGGTAGAGCACTAGCCTTGAGCTGAAGAGCTGAGGGACAGCACCCAGGCCCAGAGTTCAGGCCCCACGACCAGACCCCCCCCCCCAAAAAAAAGAATCCTGAAGTCTTTGTCCAAATGACCGGGGTTGACTACATGCAAAGCACATATTGGGAAAACCAAAACAAAGTCCTGTCTTTGAAGAAATTTCAGTGTAAGCGAATCGGCCAATGAGTGCATTGCTGAGGAAGTTCAAGAGTCTGGGGGAAGCAAGGATGGAGAGATGGCACCACATGTGCCCATCTCCATGTGGGACTAGGCTCAGGCTTTGGGGCTTATTGCTAATCACAGCTGGATTCTGTGTTGCAGCCAAAAAGAGCCAAACAAAAGGCAAAGTGGAACCAGTGGTTCACATCTGTAATCCTAGCTACTCAGGAGGCTGAGATCTGAGGATCACAGTTCAAAGCAAGTCTGGGTAGAGAAGTCCATGAGATGCTTATCTCCAATAAACTACTCAGAAAAAGCCAGAAGTGGTGCTGTGGCTCAAGTGGTAGAGTGCTAGCATTGAGTAAAAGAAGCCCAGGGACAGAGCCCAGGTCTAGAGTTCAAGCCCCAGGACAGTCAATAAAAGAAAAAAGAAAAAAGCAAAGTTGAGGACACTGTAGTCGATCCAGTCTTTTCCTCCAGAGTTCCCTTGAGAATTAAACAAATTTTAAAAAATTGGGCGAAAACAAACTCTATAACTTTGGTGCGGGGGGGGGGGTGTTTGCAGGGAGGATTGGGTGGGAGGATGGGGGGAGGATGGGAATGGATGGGAAGGGGAAACAAAGGAGGAGGCTACAATGCTTGATAAGAAATGTACTCATTATCTTGCCCATGTAATTGTAACCCCTCTGTACAGTATTTTCACAATTAAAAAAAATTGGGGAGGGGGAGATGGGAGGGTAGGGATGGTAAGGGGAAACAAAGGAGGCAACAGTGCTGGATAAGAAATGTATTCCTGGGGCTGGGAAGGTGGCTCAGTGGTAGAGTGCTTGGCTTGCATGCATGAGGCCCTGGGTTCAATTCCTCAGCACCACATAAGCAGAAAAAGCTGGAAGTGGTGCTGTGGCTCAAGTGGTAGAGCACTAGCCTTGAGCTGAAGAGCTGAGGGACAGTGCCCAGGCCCAGAGTTCAGGCACCATGACTGGCAAAAAAAAGAAAAAGAAATGTATTCCTGGGTTGGGAAGGTAGCTCAGCGGTAGAGCACTTGCCTTGTATGCATGAGGCCCTGGGTTCGATTCCTCAGCACCACATAAGCAGAAAAAAAAAGCCAGAAGTGGTGCTGTGGCTCAAGTGGTAGAGTGCTAGCCTTGAGCTGAAGAGCTGAGGGACAGCGCCCAGGCCTAGAGTTCAGGCCCCACGATGAGACCAAAAAAAAAAAAAAAAAAATGTATTCCTTATCTTGCTCATGTAATTGTAACCCCTCTGTATGGTATTTTCACAATAAAAAACTTATTAATAAAAAAATTCTAGCCATAAGAAACCCTGACAGAGTTCCTATCATTTTGAGGAATTCCAGTAAGATGATAGCAGACAAAACCTGACAGGAAAAGCAAAGCAATTCCATCTGTACAAAGAGGTCTATGTGGTTTCAAGTGGAGCCCTGCAGAAGCTGAAAGTTAATTAGTAAGGAAAGCAGATGTTGGCTGCAGACTGAGCCCAGGTGTATGTTATTGTTAGGAGCTGAGATAGCTGTTTCCTCTCCCCTTCTATCTCATATGAAAATGGCAGAAGATTGCACTCTTAAACTGGGACAACTGCTTTCTTGAATGCACCTGATTTGTCCAATAAATACTTCTATTAGGAGAAGGGCACAGCTCAGATCTCCACAACAGAAAAAGGGGTGGGTGTGGAGGGCAAGGGAGGAAAGACAGTGGAGGGCAAGGGAGGAAAGATGGTCCCACTAAGGACTGAAATACACAAAAGCACATCACATTCCCAACATCTTCCCAATTAGAGAAAGGACCTTCTTCACTGACCTTAAAGGAGACCCTAACACTTTCTCCCATCCCCTTCCAATAGCTCCAGGGAAACTAGTCTCACAAAATAGCCTACACATGGACTTCAACCCACATACTCACGTTGGATTCCCATGCCATGCACTGGTTTTATTCTTTTTTTTTTTTTTTGGTGCCAATCCTGGGGCTTGAACTCAGGGCCTTGGCACTGTCTCTGAGCTCTTCTTCCTCAAGGCTACCACTCTACCACTTGAACCATGGCAACACTCCCCCTTTTCTATGTATGTGGTACTGAGGAATCAAGCCCAGGGCTTCAGGTATGGTAGGCAAGCACTCTACTATTAGAACACATTCCCAGCCCTATGCTGTTATTTTTAAAAGAGCAGGAAATAAGGAAGTGTTAAGGAAGTATTCTGTTCAAAAGTGTCAAAATAAACATTAAAATAACAGAACTATAGAGACTAAGAAATACACATACTACAAGCTGTTCTTTCCTTTTGTGAAATTTCTTGGTCTTGGGATTCCTCATCCTCTTGACCCTTTCCGAGGTGTCTGATGTACACTGGCTGTAGTCACTCACTGAAATGACAAAGAGTTGTAGACCAAAATGACCACTCCCTCTCCACTCCCTTCATGTAAGATGCCACTTCTACTGTCATGCCCCTCAAAAGTCAGAAAGATAAAATGGATTGTATACAAATTTCCATCTTAATAAAACTGGCAAGAGTGACCCCTGAAGCCACCCTACTTCCCTGTCTAGGAAACAGAGGATGAGTAGAAGGAAGGGAAATAGAAGAGACTTCAGTTTGGGAGCTGAAAATAATATATACACCTCACCCTACCTCCAAAAAATGAATCTCCAAACCCTATGAAGGACTTCAAAAGTCTCACCGTGATTTCAGAAAAGGAAGATAAATAAAATGGCTGAAACATAACAGTAATCTTTGTGATGGGGCTGGAAATTTTTATGTGAGTCCCTGCCATACTTGCCAAAACACTGTGCTCCTGGTCATTGTTGTAACGTCCCCAGGAAAGAACGACTCACCCAGGCTGGACCTGCTGCCGTACAGCCCATTACCGCCCTCAGCAACACTGCTCAGAAAGTGGTCGCTGAGATCCACAGCTTTGTTCAGATACAGGTTCTGGCCAATGCAAAAATTCAGGTACCAGGAATGAGGAGGCTGCTGTGTCCTGACACAGCATGATCTACCTTGCTAACCTGCTTCTATTTGTTAGTGCTTGCTCCCTTTACCCAGAGAGTTGAGCCTGTGTAAAGCCAAGACATCCTTCTATACCCTTCCTCACTTTCCCTCCCAGGCTGAGTCATCCATTTTTGCCTCTTCATCAACCCCTCAGTGGGACCTACCTGTTCTCCATCACTATCTCCTCTCATTGGGCCCTTGTTCTCACACAGGGACTATTTCAATACATCCCAACAGCCCTTTACCAGTCAGGGTTAAAAGTAAATGTGTCCTTCCCCCATAGAAGTGCCTTAAGCATCTTGGGGACTGTGGAAGTACAATGGGAGGCTTAAGGCTGCTGGTTGATTCCTGATTCTGTCACTTACTAGTTTAGTGTCCTTGGAAGAAGCAAGTTACTTCTCTGAACGTATTTCCTCACTTAGAAAATTGAAATACTATGTGTACTTCAAAGGGACATATTAAATGTTAGTTCTCTCCTTTTCTTTGCCTTCCTTTCCTGTCTTTTCAGTCCAGTAATTATCCTTTTGCCTATTCTGACTTGTCCAAGGCTACTGATATGGGTCAGTTAATATCTATTAATGCACTTATAGGCTCTGGGGTAATGCCCTAGTCCTTATATAAAAGGAGTCTTGGTTACAAAGCTTAGTTTAAAAAGCAAATGAGCAAACGTGTATATATGTCATTCTTGCTCCAAGTCAGTTATATCAAGATATGTCACAAGACTTAAATGAGTATGAATAAGCCAGACGACATGACTTCGCACGGGTGATAATTCCTGCTCTTAACTATATCTTTCTATATCCAAAAGCTGACTTCTCTGAGATTAAACTCAAGTATTTATGTGATTTTATGAAATTGTTGCCTACCATCAATATTTAGAACTTCTTTTCTATAGATTACACAGAAGCATTCCTATAAATTATAAGCTACGATATACTAATTCAAAAGGTTAATATTAATTCTAAAGGTTTACTTACCTTGTTAGAGACTTGAATATAATTCAGCCTGATGCTAACTTCACAGCCATCCTCATGGACAGTAGCAGAGATGAGCTTTTAAAGGAATTTCAAAAGGAAATCTTAACTGTGGGTGTGGGACTCTAGGCTTACTGCCTTGAGCAATGATCTAGAAATTTCAAGGTGTCAAATTTAAGTTCAATCAGATATGTTTTAACACAAAATAATTTAATGAAAGAAAAACTGAAGTACAAAAATGAGATATGAGTAGAAAACAGAGAGTAAAATGGTAGATCCAAATCCTGCTATATCAATAATTGCATTAATTATAAATAAATACTTTAAAGGGCACAGATTTTTAGACTATACCCTTTGATTAAAGGAAAGAAAGCAAGATCCAAATTTATACTTGCTTCAAGAGGCACACTTTAGTTAAACCATATGACTGGATGTGATGGGAAAGGTACTGTGGCGGTTGGGGGATGCAGTACAGAGCCCTGGTAATTAAAATAATTAAAATAATTCACAGTTGAGAAGATTTCTCTGTAAGTAGCAGAAAAAATTAGATTAAAACAGGGGGCAGGAAATGTTTTTGTGAAATGTTACAATAATTTTAGGTCCTAAGGGCCATAAATTCTGTATTACGAATACTTAACATTGGCATTGTATCACAAAGTAGCCATAGATAACATGTAAAGGAATGCACGTAAGTGTGATCCAATAAAGCTTTATTTTAAAATTGAGTAGCAAGCCATATTTGTTCCACATGTCATAGTTTGCAGACCTGTAGATTAGCTTATTAATATTTTTTAAATCCCAATATCGTTTATTAAAGGAAATTGTGAGAAGTTCTTGAAAATGAGGCACTGTGACAGTTTAAGGCAAAACCTTGAAGGAAGCCTGATTACCAAGAACATTCTAAAGGAGAAATTTCATCTTACTCACCTTTCCCATCCTGGGTTCAGCGATCAAGGCCCGGAATTCAGGGTTGTTCTGAGCGTAAGATCTGAGGTGAGCAGAGATGTGATCCAACTGTTTCCTCCAGTATCCTAAAAAAAAAAAAAAATTAGAGAAATCCAGCTATATGGATATTTCTTCTGAGACTAAGGAAGAAACATGTGGAATATACATTCTCAGTGAATTTTTTTTTTTTTTTTGGTTGGTCATGGGGCCTGAACTCTGGGCTTGGCCACTGTCCTTAGCTCTTCAGCTCAAAGGCTAGTGCTCTACCACTTGAGCCATAGCACCACTTCCGGTTTTTTTCTGCTTATGTGGTGCTGAGGAATCGAACCCAGGGCCTCATGCATGCAAGGCAAGCTCTCTACCACTGAGTACCTTCTCAGCCCAAGTTATTTTCATCATGATCATTTTCCCTATGAACATCAGTGGTACACGAATAAATTTCATTCCCCTGCTGGCTTCAGAAAACAGATGATTGATCATGGAATATTACAAAATTTCAAAAGAATATCTTTTGATTGTCACACGTGAAGACAAAGTCATATAAAATAGGTTTCTTTTCAGTTTCTTTTATGAACCTCTCTGCTGATTTTCATGGTGTTTCCACTAGTTTGCATCCTCATGAAAGGTGAATGAGAGTTCCTTTCTCCCTGCATCTTCACCAGCATTTATTTATTTATTTGAACTCAGAAACTGAGCAATGTCGTAGAGTTTCTTTTGCTCAAGGCAAGTTGCTCTACCACTTTAGCCACTTCCAGTTTTCTGGTGGTTTATTGGAGATAAGAGTTTTACAGGGCTGGGAAAGTGGCTCAGTGGTACAGTGCTTGCCTTGCATACATGAGGCCCTGAGTTTGACTCATCAGTACCACATAAGCAGAAAAAGCTGGAAGTGGCACCATGGCTCAAGTGGTAGAGCGCTAGCCTTGAGCTGAAGACCTGAGGGACAGCACCCAGGACCCACGACCAATGACAAAAAAAAAAAAAAAAAGAAAAGAGTTTCACAGACTTTCCTGCCTGGGCTGGCTTTGAACTGTGATCCTCAGTTCTCAGCTTCCTGAGTAGCTAGGATTACAGGTGTGAGCCACTGGCGCCCGGCCTCCCTCTCTCTTTTTCTTTTCTTTTCTCTCTCTCTCTATCTTTCTTTCTGTTGGTTGTGGGGCTTGAACTTAGGCACTCCACCACTTGGAGTCACAGATCCACTTCTAGTTTTTGAGTAGTTAACTGGAGACAAGCATCTCACAGGGACTTTTCTGCCCAGGCTGGCTTTGAACTGCGATCCTCAGATCTCAGCCTTCACTGGCACCTAACAGTTGTTTCTTTTGATGTGCAAAACCTTTTTGATTTGATGTAGTCCTGTTAGTCAATTCTTGCTCTTATTTGCTGGGCAACTGAGTCTTATTCAGAACATAATGACCTGGGCCTATATCTTCCAGAGTTTCCCCTAGAGTTTCATATCTTTTATTTAAATATTTGATTTAGAGTTGATTCTATGCAGGATGATAGGGATCTCACTTCAGTTTCCTATATGTAGATAATCTATTTTTTCCAGTACTATTTTTGAAGAGGCTGTCTTTTCCCCAATGTATGATTTTGTGGTTCATTAAAAAAATTAGTTGTAGCTGTACAATTTGATTCCTAGGTAGTCTCTGTAGTATAATTTGAAGCACTGTATTGCAATGCCTCCAGCCTTGCTATTTTAGTTCAGGATTATTTTTGTTATTCAGGATCTTTTATGCTCCCACTTGGATTTTTTTATTTTTATATTTTTTGTGAAGAATGACATTGGGATCTTGACTGATACTAAACAGAGTCCATAGATAGCTGCTGGTAGTAGGGCAATTTTCATTATATTAATTCTGCCAATCTGTAAGCATGGAAAGTCTATCTTTAGGATGTCTTCTTTAGTGTCTTTCTCCAAGTTTTTAATGGTTTTCATTGTAGAAGTTTTCTACCTCCGGTTAAGGTTATACCTAGTTATTTTATTTATTTATACGTATATGAATGCACGTGTATATATGTGTGTGTGTATTGTGAATGGGATTGTTTTCTTCATATATATATATATATGTAATATATATATTATTGTGAAAATACTGTACAGAGGGGTTACAATTACCTGGGCAAGATAATGAGTACATTTTTTTTTTTTTTTTTTTGGGTCCTGTCGTGGGGCCTGAACTCTGGGCCTGGGTGCTGTCCCTCAGCTCTTCAGCTCAAGGCTAGCACTCTACCACTTGAGCCACAGTGCCACTTCCGGCTTTTTTCTTTTTGCTTATGTGGTGCTGAGGAATCGAACCCAGGGCCTCTGGCATGCAAGGCAAACGCTCTACCTCTAAGCCACCTTCCCAGCCCCAATGAGTACATTTCTTATCAAGCATTGTAGCCTCCTCCTTTGTTTCCCCTTCCCATCCCATCTTCTGCCCCTACCCCCCCACTTATTTGTTTTTTGTTGTTGTTGTTTTGGTCATGGGGCTTGAACTCTGAACTCTGAGCCTAGGTGGTGTCCCTGAGCTCTTCAGCTCAAGGCTAGCACTCTACCATTTGAGCTACAGTGCCATTTCCCTTTTTCTGAGTTTCACGGACTTTCTGTCTGGGCTGGTTTGGAACCTCAACCCTCAGATGTCAACCTCCTGAGTAGCTAGCAGTCACCAGCACCTGGCTACTTATTTGTTATTGTTATTATTATTATTATCTTTAAGTAGTTATAAACAAAGCATGTTTTCCTCACTTTTTCTCAGTTTATTCTGGGCTGGTCCTGGCACTTTAACTATGGGCCTAGGTGCTGACCCTGAGCTTATTTTGTTCAAGGTTAGCACTCTACCACCTGAGCTATAGCTCTACTTCCTGCTTTTTCTGAGTAGTTTTACTGGAGATAAAAGTCTTAAAGACTTTCCTGCCCAGGATGGATTTGAACCACAATCCTCAGATTTCAGCCTCCTAAGTAGCTGGGATTGTAGGCATGAGCCACAGGTGTCCAGCTCAGTCTGTTCATTCTTAATGTGCAGAAAAGTTATGATTTTTGTATGATGATTTATATAACCATCAAGTCTAGTAGGTTTTTTATGGTGTGGAATCATTAGGGTCTTTTATTTATTTATTTATTTTTTGGTCCGGTCGTGGGGCCTGAACTCTGGGCCTGGGTGCTGTCCCTCAGCTCTTCAGCTCAAGGCTAGCGCTCTACCACTTGAGCCACAGCGCCACTTCCGGCTTTTTCTTTTTGCTTATGTGGTGCTGAGGAATCGAACCCAGGGCCTCAGGCATGCAAGGCAAGCACTCTACCACTGAGCCACCTTCCCAGCCCCTCATTAGGGTCTTTTAAGTATAGATCACATTATCTGCAAATAGGGACCATTTGACTTTTTTCTCTATTTAAAAGCTTTTCTTTCCTTTTTTTTTTTTTTTTGCCTTATTGCTCTGGCTAGGTTTTCTAGTGCTAGGTTGAATAAGAGTAGGATGAATACCCTTGTCTTGTTCCTGACTTTAGACAAAATAATTTCAGTATTTTCATTTATGTTCAGGTACATACCTTCTCTTCAAAGTTTCTTCATAGATTTTATCATATAAGGATATGCTGAATTTTGTCAAAGGCCTTTTCTACATCAATTGAGATCTTCATGTTATGTTTTTGATTCTGTTTATGTGCTTTATTATATTTACTAATTTACATATATGGAACCACTCTGGCATCCCTGGAATTAAACCAACTTAATCACTTTATTGTGTTGTTGAATTCTGTTTGGAAGTATTTTTTTTTTTTAGAAACAGCTGAATTCTTTTGTGACTTGTTTTTCTCTTTTTTTTTCTTCTTTTTGTCTGTCATGGGGCTTGAACTCTGGGCCAGGGCACTGTCCCTCAGCTCTTCAGCTCAAGGTGAGTGCTCTACCACTTGAGCCACAGCACCATTTCCGGTTTTCTGGTGGTTTACTGGAGATAAGAGTCTTACAGACTTTTCTGCCTGGGCTGGCTTTGAACCGAGATCCTCAGATCTCAGCCTCCTGAGTAGCTAGGATTACAGGCATGAGCCACCGATGCCTGGCTGACTTGTTTTTCTTAATATACAATTTACAGGGCTGGGAAGGTGGCTCAGTGGTAGAGCGCTTGCCTTGCATGCATGAGACCCTGGGTTCAATTCCTCCACATAAGCAGAAAAAAAAAAAAGCTGGAAGTGGCGCTGTGGCTCAAGTGGTAGAGTGCTAGCCTTGAGCTGAAGAGCTGAGGGACAGCACCCAGGCCCAGAGTTCAGGCCCCACGACTGGACCCCCCCCAAAAAAAATTTACAAATAAGTTAAAAATTGTACAGAGATAAATTCATATAAAATACACTCCCATTTTACTCATGTAAAGTTAAACAGCAGTAAAAATGAGATACCCAATGCATATGAAAATGTCCTTATTGTGTTTGAAGTATTTTTAATTTTTTTATTTTTATCTTATTTTTTGTCAGTCCACTGAAGTCAGGCCCTAAGCACTGTCCCTGAGCTTATTTGCTCAAGGCTAGCACTCTATCACTTGAGCCACAGCACTCCTTCTGACTTTTTCTTTTTTTTTTTTTTTTGGGGGGGGGGGGCGGGTCTGGTCGTGGGGCCTGAACTCTGGGCCTGGGCACTGTCCCTCAGCTCTTCAGCTCAAGGCTAGCGCTCTACCACTTGAGCCACAGCGCCACTTCTGGCTTTTTTCTTTTTGCTTATGTGGTGCTGAGGAATCGAACCCAGGGCCTCATGCATGCAAGGCAAGTGCTCTAACCACTGAGCCACCTTCCCAGCCCCTCCTTCTGACTTTTTCTGTTTATGTAGTTCTGAGAAATTGAACCCAGGGCTTGCATGCTAGGCAAGCACTCTACCACTAAACCACATTCCCAGCCTGCTTGGAAGTATCCTAATTGAGAATGTTTATACTTACGGTCATCAAAGAGATTGACCCATAATTCAAAAATATTGTTGTTAATGTTTTGTCCAGTTTTGGAATGAATACAAAACTGGCTTCATAGTTGAGTTCAAAATATCTGAATGAATTCATTGGTGAATCCATTGGTTCCTTTGCTTTTCTTTTTGGAAGATTTTTTAATTAATACTTCAATTTCATTGCTCATTATGAACCTATCGAAGTGGCTTTTTTTTAATCATCCTGGTTCAATTTTGGTAGGTCAAATTATCTAGAAATTTGTCCCGTTCTTCTATACTTTTCCATTTGAAATAGACTATGACAAGATTCTAAGAGGCCAGCCACAAGAACTACAGAGTATTAAATAGCTAGAATCAGCAAATCCATGGACAGACAGTACATTAGTGGTTGCTGGGCACTCAGAGAGGGAATGTAGACAGTAGCTACCTGACGAGCATGGGGTTTACATTTGGGATATCAATTGTACATTTTAAAATAGTAAATTGGTAATTTTATGTTATCTAAGTTTTACCCCAATAAAAATGTGATAATGGTGGATGTGGTATCACACCTCTGTAATCCCAGTTACTGAGGAGCCAAAGATCAGGAGGGATGTGATTCAGGGACAGCCCACATAAAAATTTAGACACAAGCTGGGTGCTGGTGGCACATGCCTATAATCCTAGTTCTCAGGAAGATGAGATCTGAGGATCACGGTTTGAAGCCAGCCTGGGAAGGAACGTCTGTGTGACTCTTATCCCCTTAACTACCAAAAAGAAGCCAGAAGTAGAGCTGTGGCTCAAGTGGTAGAGTGCTTAAGCAAAAAGAAATTCAGGGATAATGCCTAGTCCTTGAGTTCAAGCCCCAAGATCAGTGCACACAGAAAATTTAGGGATAATGCCGGGTGTCAGTGGCTCATGCCTATAATCCTAGCTACACGGGAGGCTGAGATATGAGGATCATGGTTCAAAGCCAGCCTGGGCAGGAAAGCCCGTGAGACTCTTATCTCCAATAAAACCACTAGAAAACCAGAAGTGGCGCTGTGGCTCAGGCAGTAGTGAGCTTGCCTTGAGCTGAAGAGCTTAGGGGCAGTGCCCAAGCCCAGAGTTCAAGCCCCACGACCGACCAAAAAAATAAATAAATAAATAAAAGAAAAAAAAAGAAAATTTAGGGATACCCCATCTCAACAAACAAGTTAGGTATGGTAAAACGTGTGTCAATTCATCTGTAAAATAATTAGAGCAAAAGGGGGACAGTGTGGCTCAAATTGTAGAGCATCTACTTCTGAGTGAAAGGCTTAGTTAACAATAAAGTAATAATGTCAGATGATAATAGTGATGAAGACTTACAGTGTGTTTACACAATTGAAGGAATCTATGTATGCACGGATTATTAATCAGAATAACCCCTTCTAATTTGATTGATGAGCTAAATAGCAGGGCACTGAGTCCAAATCACTACTAATCATACAGGGAAACTACTTCAAAAAATCAAGGAACTTCAAGAGAAAAGATGAGATGCTCTTCCAGAAAAAGGATGTTTTCTGTCCCCTCACCTCTTCCTGGGCTGATGGCTGTGATGAAGGGTTTGTGGTCATTCATCTTCTCCAGCCTCTGCTTGTGAGAAGCCATTTCCAGTTCCTTCTGTGCAAGCAGCTTGCCAGATGGGTAGAACAGGCCAGCAGTTTGTGTGCCCGTGTTCTTCCTGGTCCCATCATGAGATATGGGGACACTTAGAGATTGCCAGGCAGGTCGAGGCTATCAACAAGGCAGAAAACATTTTAAAATGAGAATATGAAGGAATTAATCTTCCAGTTCCCTCTTACTCATTGAAAACAATTTTAGCTGGGCACTGGTGGCTCACACCTGTAATCATAGCTGCTCAGGAGGCTGAAACCTGAGCATTGTGGTTCAAAGCCAGGCTGGATAGGAAAGTCCACGAGACTCTTATATCCAATTAACTACCAGAAAACCAGAAATGGTGGTGTGGCTTAAAATGGTGACACATTAACCTTGAGCAGAAGAGCTCAGGGACAGCAAGCACCCAGGCCCCAAGTTCAAGCCTTATGACTGAGAAAAAAAATTAATCAGGGAAATGTATCTGTTAGACCAATGAGCTTCATTCCCATAGCTTAACATGCTTCTTCTCCTTCCTATAGCTTAGCATGCTCCTTTCCTAGGCAACACTTAGGACCATTTAGTAAAGGCATATCTCTGATACATTCTCCACATCTAAACACAGAAACCAAAAAAGTCAACATATAAGATTGTGTAAGCTACATACTGCACAATGTCATTTCACTTAAGGAGCATTATTTACACAGTAAGCAATTATATCTGTATACTTATTTGGCTATAAAAGAAAATGTCAAAGAAGTTTCATACATTACAATCAATTTCCAACAGGTGGCAGTCAAGTATTTTGAGAAAAGAACACCTTTGTCTCATTGACACAGCCTTACATAAAGGCTGGTGGCAGTCCCACAAGTATTCTCATCTTGGTTAAGAAAGCCATGGACTCTACAACTGTATGCCAAGTGCTGAGTACTTGCACTTTCTCGAGTAATTACCACTCTTCAATATCTTGTAATAGTGGGATAAGAAGAAACCTCTGACTTAGGTAAACTCACAAAGCTAACAGGAAACTGGTTGTTTAACTATAAATGCTGGTGAAAATGACCACATGAGATTTCTCTCACACACAGCTCAGATTTTTTTTTTTCCTGTCCATCATGGGGCTTGAACTCTGGGCCTGGGCGCTGTCCCTCAGCTCTTCAGCTCAAGGCTAGCGCTCTGCCACTTAAGCCACAGCGCCACTTCCGGTTTTCTAGTGGTTTATTGAAGATAAGTCTCATGGACTTTGCTGCCCGGGCTGGCTTTGAACTGTGATCCTCAGATCTCAGCCTCCTGAGTAGCGAGGATTACAGGCGCGAGCCACCGGCACCTGGCACAGCTCAGATATTGTCAATGGCAAAAACAACCTGACATACGTAGTACAAATTGTCTAAATAGAACAGAGTAGGGAATAAAGTTCCCAGAAAGCTACAGGAAAAAAAAATAAAGAGAAGACCATTTTACCTACATATTAGAAGTTTATTTCTCCCTAGTGGCACTATGTCCATTATCTTGCCAATGCTTGCTATACCTTAGGCTACATTGGACAGGAGCCTATTTTAAGGTGTTGGATTATTCTGAAGAAATCATCCAAGTGTTTAAAACCTAAATTGATTGTGTTTACTTACCTGGTTGAAAGTCCATGTGAAAGGTAGAAGTCTATTGGCTCTGTTCCCTGGATGGGCCCTCAGGGTAGTGAGCATAGATTCTTATTATATCCTATTCCCAGAAACCAATTCTTTCCTTTTTCAATTTAAGGATTTAATACCATTGTGCAAACAAGATTTTAAAAAGGCCAGTGGAAAGGGATCATGAACAACTGTATTTTCACAATTCCAGCTCCTTCCTACAACTATCTTCAGTTAGGCTGGCTACATCAGTGTGCTGAGACTTTCTTCAGGATTTGGATGACCTTGACCTCATTGAATTCCAAACAAAGAAATTCATATTCCTGTCCACCTTTCCCAAATTCCAGCTTTATTATGGCAACAGGGGTATGTATTTGTGCTGAGTGCCTCGTCTGAGACTTGCCATCAACTTTCCAGCCCAGGCCTCTAAGTCCATTGTCCCAACAGCTCTGGTTCTTAAGGTTCTCTTGGATTTTCATCTTGTGGCTCTTCCAAAACTTAGAAATGACGGCAGCTTTGTCAGATGTGATCCCACCCTGCTTTTTGGTTTGAGCAGTAAAAACAATGCCTCAAGCTGGTTGAAATCCTTGTCTGCAGATGCAATAGACTTAAGAATCCCTCACCTTGGCCAGAAAGGGGTGGAACTCCTCAGGTGGCACATCTGGGTAGAACTGGCTCTGCAGTAGCTCCTCAGTGATGCTCAGGTGCCCGTGGAGGGCGTCCTGAGCCAGGCTGCTCAGAAGCCCACTCAGCGGCTTGATGCTCTTCAAGCTCGCCCACTATGATTGGTGGAGGCCCCGCCCTCCAACCCAGAAACCAATTCTTATCACAGTGCAGGGCTCACCTCAGGAAAAGGGCAAGGTTCTCCAGCAACTAATGCCAGGCTGTTGTCCAAGCTGAGTCTTATCCTAGACTTCACATAAATGCCACAGGAGCCACAGAACCGGGCAGACAGGTGATTGCTGGCCCCACATTTAGGGCAAACAGAGTGGCTAGCAGGAAGGCTAAGCTAGAGGACAGAAAAATGTTTTAGAATACTATTAAGAGTTCTAATTTATCCACCTAAAATCATAGCCAACAAAATAACATGCTCCTACTTCTGACCCAGCAACCCATCTTTTAGAATTTTTCTGATGGAGGGACAAGTTCTTACAGAGTATATACTATTGACATTTCTTGCAGTACTGTGGTTTTAGAGGAAATAACTGGAAACAACCTAAGTGTTCAGCAATAGGGGATAGTCTAAATATACCATAGTATGAACATACAGACAATGGAATGTTATGAAGGGACTGGGAAGAATGAAAGCTTTACTAATGAGGTAGGTTGCTAGGTGGAGGAACTGGAACAGGGTTCATCCTAAGCACCAGTTCATGCATAACGGCACTGAACACCTGAGAAAAACATCTCAGAAACTGGGAGTGACTGAGATAGGGAGAGGAACTGTGAGGACTGAGATGCGAAGGGAGATAACACTTCACTCTAAGCCTTTTTAGTATTTGCACTGCAATAGTAACTCAGACAAATTATTAACCAATAAATCTGAGCCTTCTGCTTAAAAGGTCAGCAAAGTAGTCATTAAAAAAAATGCCAGCGGCCAGTAAGTAAGCAAATAGGTTTAATATTGAAGGAATGGCAATCAAAATGTCACAGAGAGACATTCCCAATTATTTAAATTCTTAGATACAGAATCTTACAGGGCTATGGAAGAAGAGCCTGTGTCTTCCCTAGGCTGATGGTGATGTAGTAGTACAGAGGGTTTTTTGTTTGTTTGTTTTGTGGTTGGTTTGTTTTTGCCAGTCCTGAGGCTTGAACTCTGAGCCTACACACTGTTCCTGAGTTTCTTTTGCTCAAAGCTACTGCTCTACCACTTGAGTCACGGTGCCACTTCCAGCTATTGTTTGTTTGGTCGTCGAGCTTGAATTCTGGACCTGAGAGCTGTCTTTGACCTCTTCAGCTCAAGGCAAGCACACTACCACTTAAGCCACAGCACCACAGTTTTCTGGTGGTTTATTGGAGATAAGAGTCTCAAGGACTTTTGCTGCCCAGTCTGGCTTCAAACTGCAAGCCTCAGATCTCAGCCTCCTGAGTAGCTAGGATGACAGGTGTGAGCCACTGGCACCTGGCTAGAGGTTTGGTTTTTAAGTATCATTAGAGCTCCACACCGGTGCCAGAAAGGATTCATCCCAGAGGTTCCAGCAACCTTACTGAGAACAGGAAATGATCTCCCCTTTCTAAGAAGGCGTGAGAAGGGCTTTATCTCCACTGTACATTGACAAGGGGGGACAGATGGCATTTATAGGCAGGATCAATATCTGATTCTCTAGCCCCATCCAAACAAAAAGAGGATTAAATCCATGAAACAATGTAAGGACTAAAACTATGATGCATTTAGCTAATTTATAAAGCAATTCAAACAAAACCTATTCCTGTAATCCTAGCTACACAGAAGGCTGAGATCTGAGGGTCATGGTTCAAAGCCAGCCCGGGCAGGAAAGTCTGTGAGACTCTTATCTCCAACTAACCACCAGAAAACTGGAAGTGGCACTGTGGCTCAAGTGGTAGAGTACTAGCCTAGAGCTGAAGAGCTGAGGGACAGCGCCCAGGCCCAGAGTTCAAGCTCTAGACCAAAAAAAAAAAAAAAAAAAAAAATCTTTGCCTTCATGGAGATCACAGAAAGCCAATAAAACTGATGCCTTGAACCAGTTTTCAATAGTCCTCAGTATCCATAATATCAGCAAATGTACTGTAGATTTACTAGGACAATATTAATGAGTACCTCTTAGATACCTAAGGTGACATGATAGGTTTAACCTCTATCCTTTGGGATTCTGGTTTCCACAGGGAAATGTGGGTTTACTTTCTATTCTTGTGTTTTTTGTTTTTGTTTTTGTTTTTGTCGGTCGTGGGGCTTGAATTCTGGGACTGGGCACTGTCCCTGCGCTCTTCAGCTCAAGGCAAGCGCTCTACCCATTGAGCCACAGCGCCACTTCCTGTTTTCTAGTGATTTATTAGAGATAAGAGTCTCACGGACTTTCCTGCCCAGGCTGGCTTTGAAATGTGATCCTCAGATCCACAGCTCCTGAGTAGCTAGGATTACAGGTGTGAGCCACCAGCGCCCAGCTACTTTCTATTCTTGACACATGAAGAGTTATTTTATTTTGGAGAAAAAGGTGGACTCTACTGGGTTAATATATAAGAAAGACTGGAATCTTTGCTGCTGCTTCTTATTCACTGTTGCCTGGCACAATTCCTAAATGGTGATGCAGTGATAGCTGCCTGGTAGTCTGCCCATTTTACAGGAGAGGTCCCAGGATTTGAAAAGCCATCCAACTCGATAGCCTGCTTTTCTCCAGGACTCAATTTAGATCCATTAATATGAAAGCATCCTCACAAGCACGTAGGAATGAATGCTTGGCATTGGCTCAAGTTCTACTTGTCAGCTTCCTTCCCTTCCCATCTTTCTCTCCAGTAGATTTTTGATTCTTCTAAAAGAAAGGATTGTGACTTCACATTCTCTTCTCAAATATAATACCAGGTTCCTTGACACATAGGTGTCAGTCATTAAGATAGGATTGAATCAATGGCTGATTCAATTGATATTTGAATGTGTGTATTGCTGTATATTCTTGTGTCCTATTAAGAATGTGTTCTGGGCTGGGAATGTGGCTTAGTGGTAGAGTGCTTGCCTAGCAAGTATGAAGCCCTGAGTTTGATTCCTCAGTACCACATAAACAGAAAAAAGTGGAAGAGGCATTGTGGCTCAAGTGGTAGAGTGCTAGCCTTGAGCAAAAGAACCTCAGGGATAATGCCCAGGCCCTGGCAAAAAAAGAACATATTCTAAGGACAATTTTCCCTCAGAGGTGCCCATTTTAGTTACTGAATTTGCCCTACTCTATCCTGTTTTGCTTCAGGGACTTGCAATTCTAAAACAAACTTTTCTAGACAGAAGTTACTAACCCCTAGAGACTGAGGAAGAGACATTTACACCACTTCTGTGTAATTAAGAGACTATTTGGGGCAATTCAAAAGAGAAAATCTTTGCAAACTTTTCCTTCTCACTTTGCATTTCAATTATCCTCATGTTAAAGTTTTGATAGAAATTCTGCCAAGCTACATCCCTAAACACAAAGCCTTCATGTCTTTCCTAGAAATGTATCTTACTGTTCAAGTGGATTTTTTAAAATATGACATTGTTTAAAGAAAGAAAATTTATCTTACCCCATCATATTAATGCTGCTAAACAAAGAAAAGACATAAAACTATCAGATCGAATATCCATTTTTACTTCTATAGTGCTGTGGTAAATACTGTCATGCTAACATCTAAATTCTGATAAATTCAGATACAAGTACAACTTTTAAAACAAGTTCAATTTTGGTATAGTTCATTGAAAGATGAAACCCAGAAACAATTGTATTATTGACAGTTATTAAAATTAAGTCAATTCAAACGATTTTACTGTTTGTATAAGAAGTTCAGAAAGCCTGAAGAGGGCTGGGGTTGTAGCTCTGTGGAAGAACTTTTGTCCACCATGTGTGAGATTTGGGTTCAAGCCTCAACAATGCAAAGAAAAAAAAATTTCCAGAAGGCCCGAGGAAGGGATGAGAAAAGAGATTGGGCGGGGATTGGGGGGTGGGAGGGTAGCGGAGGCCTGAAACAGAGTTTTGCTCTTCTAGCTCAGGCTGTCTTCAAACTCATAGTCTGCCTGCCTCAAGCTCCCAAGAGCTAGGATTATAGGCATGTGCCACCACATCTAACTTAAAAAATAAGCTTTTTGCTTAGCAATTTACTTAAATATATCAACAAAATCATTTCAAGTGCCACTGTCTTCTATTTTATGCTTTCCTACTCCCACTAGTATTCATTCTGGTGCTTTGGAAAGTTGTATGGTATAATTTCATGATGGAAGAATGAAAGTAAAGTCTGAAACCACATTACCAGACAGACAAACCACCATAAACAAAAGATTACCTAACATTATATAAAATTTGATTTGGGAATATATATGAGTAAATTCACTAGCTAATTAGTATGTTTTCATTCTCAGCTCTCAAAACAAATGTTGTGTTACAGAAATAATCCTTTAGAAAACAACACAAATTTTCTTTCTGGTAATGATGGAGTAAGACTGTAATAAAATCTTCTCATAATATAAAGAAGTTTTGGAGAATTGATGGAAGCAGGTCAATCTAGTACATATGCCTGGGAAGGAGGGAACTTCTAGACATGGGGTGAATCTTATGCGCTTCAGATGGTGCATAAGACATTGGGAACAAAAAGTACTGAAGCTGTCCTTAAGTGCTGTAATTTTCCCCTCACCTCCCATACACTTGTTTAAAGCAGGAATTAAAATGTTCTCATGGGGAGGGTTTATAGCTGGTACATAGGGATAGGTTATGCATACCTACAACATAAAAGATGATGGGGAGAGACATTAACTTACCTGGCATAGAAATCTCACAACTATAATTCAGTGTCTAATGAAATATATCATACAAAAATTGGACCAGATTCGCAGTTGAAGGTATTTCACCCATGGTATCATTTTCCAACTTTTAAGTTTTCATTGGCAAGTACAATGTCTAATATATAGATATATATGTATATATTTGGGCACATGAGCTAATGCATTGATACATTATGGAATTCTCCAATCAAGCCACTAAACATAAATGTTAACTTACATACTTGGTTTTTTTTAAATTAAGAATGCTTAAATTTGATCTAGCAAGTTTCAGATGTGCAATATATTGTCATTAACTATAGTCATCATGCTGTATAATAGATCTCTTGTTATTCCTTCTGATTGAAATTAGTCCTTTCACCAACATGTGACCAACCACACTATCTCCCAGACTCTGATTATCATTTTACTTGCTATGGGTTTGATGTTTTTACACTCTGCATATAAGTGATATCATTCAATATAAGACTCTTCGTGCCAGACTTACTTCTACCAACATAATGTGCTCCAGGTTCATCTGTTGTCACAAAATTTTCTTCTTACAGGCTTACTAGCATTCAATTCTGTATACATATCATATTTTATCAGTTTATCTAGTGATAGATATAAATTGGATTCCATGTCTTGGCTACTGTGAATAATGCTGCAATGAATGTACAAGTGTACTTATCTTTTCATCATACTGATTTCAATTCCTTTTTTTTTTTGGTCTGGTCGTGGGGCCTGAACTCTGGGCCTGGGCGCTGTCCCTCAGCTCTTCAGCTCAAGGCTAGCGCTCTACCACTTGAGCCACAGCGCCACTTCCGGTTTTTTTCTTTTTTGCTTATGTGGTGCTGAGGAATCAAACCCAGGGCCTCATGCATGCAAGGCAAGCGCTCCACCACTGAGCCACCTTCCCAGCCCTGATTTCAATTCCTTTTATATATATCTAGTAGTGGGATTACTGATCATATAGTAATCTAATTTTAATTCTTCCATACTTTTTTTTTTTTTTGGTCCATCTTGGGGCTTGAACTCTGGGCCTGGGCGCTGTCCCTGCGCTCTTCAGCTCAAGGCGAGTGCTCTACCGCTTGAGCTACAGCGCCACTTCCAGTTTTCTAGTGGTTTATTGGAGATAAGAGTCTCACGGACTTTCCTGCATGGGCTGGCTTTGAACTACGATCCTCAGATCTCAGCCTCCTGAGTAGCTAGGATTACAGGCGTGAGCCACCGGCTCCCGGCCCATACTGTTTTTCATTGTTTGTACTAACAATATGAGTTTCCCTTTCTCTACATCCTAGAAAGCATTTGTTATTTTTTGTCTTTATAATAGTCATTATGACTAGAACAAGGTAAGACCTCACTGTGCTTACATTTCCCTGCTAATTAGTTTTATGACTGTGCCTATTGGCCATTTGTATTTATTCTCTTGAGAAGTGGCCTGCTAGATCTTTGACCATTTTTTTCCCTTATGACTGAGTTATTTTACTTTGTTGCATGTTTTAGATATTAACTCAAAGAGATGGTTTACTAATATTTCCTCTCATTCTTTTTTTTTTTTTTCCTGGTCATGGGGCCTGAACTCTGGGCCTAAGCGCTGTCCCTAAGTTCAGCTCTTCAGCTCAAGGCTAGCGCTCTACCATTTGAGCCATAGCGCCACTTGTGGCTTTTTCTGTTTATGTGGTGCTAAGGAATCGAACCCAGGGCCTCATGCATGTGAGGCAAGCATTCTACTACTGAGCCACCTCCCCAGCCCTATTTCCTCTCATTCTATATGCTATCTTTTCACTCAGATTCTTTTTAAAAATTTTATTATTTTATTGTTATTATAAAGGTGGCATACAGAGGGGTTACAGTTATATGTCAGGTAATGAGTACTTTTTTGGACAATGTCACCCTGATGATTGATTCTTTTGTGTGAAGAAGCTTATTAGTTTTATGTAATCCTACTTGTCTATTTTCAGTTTTGTTGTTTCTATTTGGGGTCATATCAAAAAAAACAAACAAACCAAAATCATTGCCCAAACCAATATCCTGGAGTTTATTTTTAGTCAGTTTTCAGTTTCAAGTCTTATGTTTAAGTCTTTAATCCACTTTGAGCTGATGGTTGTATATGGTATAAGGTAAGTGTCTAATTCCATTCTTCTGCATGTGAATATTCACTTTCCCTAATACTATTTGAAGAGACTATTCATGGATTAGAAAAATTAATGTTGGCAAAATGTCTATATTACCCAAAGCAATCCACAAACTCCTATCAAAATTCAAATGGTATTTTTCAGAGATAGAAAAACAATCCTGAAATTCATGTGAAACTACAAAAGACTGAACAGCCAAAGCAATCTTCAGCAAAAAAGAACAAAGCCGAAGCATCACACACTGAGACAGCCAACAGGCCATAATAATCAAAACAGTCTAATACTAGCATATAGACAGCCATTTAGACCAGTGTGGCACTATGGGAGTACCAGAAGTAAACAACAAGCTTAGCATTAATTGTTTTATAGTAGAAAGACAAAATGGACCAAGGATACTCTCTGTCTGCACTTGAACATCCCCACTGATTACCGCCAGCTTCTCATGCAAAGGTCTTAACAAACTGTAAGGAATCAATGATTCTACTAAACCTTCTTGAAGCTAAGACTCTCAGGATAAATTGGTGTTGATGAATCTGTAACTGATCTCCACCTATTGAAACATTGTTTCAATTTGCTTTTTTTCAAATTCTTTATTGTGATTAAGTGAGTATATAATTTCCCAAATTTCACAGTATTGTGAGATAGTGATGCTTAGTTAAAGTCACAAACACATTCTAACTTTCATGGGGCAAATTGTCTATCATGGTCTATAACATTTATGAGTTGTATGAGCTTTCAATTTGCTTTTTATTTTTGTTTTGCCCCTCCTTTTACAACGCAGATTATGCTTCTCTATTAACATTAACACTGAATATTTAGTAGCCACTAAATACAAGTCTGCCTCATGCAGTCAACCTACCTCTTGTGATGAAGGCAGGGCCCCCTCACAGGTGACACAGTATCGCAAGTGAGCAGGATTCCCTGTACCACAGCCACGGCAAATCACCTTCTCCTTGTCAATAGGGAACAAAATAATGACAGAACTAACAGACACAGTACACAGAAACTACTACGTGGTCTTCCAGTCAATCAGCCAATTACAGACCTCAGTGTAACACCAAGGCCCTGAATGCTGACTCAGTTTTGGAATAACCACACATAAATAGTGTCATATGAACATAGTTCACATGAACTATGGTATCATAAGAACATAGTTTTAAAAGAGGGGCTAATTGTATTTCATGAAGTTATTTTAAAGACAAGATTATAACTCAATGTGAATTGGAATGTTGAAATTTAAATACATAGGTAAAAAATTATGTCGTAATTTGTTCCCATTTATGCCTAAATATCTTTCCTAATATTATAGGTCCTATAGGCAAGTTATATACGTGGGCCAATATACCTTTCCAAAAATCTGGATAGATTTAATTCATATATTAGCCAATCAGTTACTAGCACATTCTACCAGCTGACTTTTTCAAATGTTATTTTTTATATAATTTATTCACATTTCTATAGAATCAGATTTTATTACCTTCAGGTGGAGACTAGCCTGTGGCCGCAGCTGCGGGGCAAGAGGGGCCTCACACACCACACAGATGGGGATGTTCATGGGTACCATGCTCCCGCATTCTACACACAAGCCCAGCTGCAAAAGGAAAAGTTCAGGTTTCTCTTGGGCTGCAAGTATTGAGAATATCTTCAAATTAATCTCTATTTTCTTTTCTCAGAAACAAATTTAATATAATTACCTTTACTATCATTTTATTCCTATTAGGAGTAAATAGATGCTTATTATTTTTTAAGTGTTAAAAATAATCACAGAAATTAACTTACCACACAATGGAGTTAGGAAATCAATAAATCTCTTCCTCAAAATGTAATTATAAAGTTGGATAAAGCTATCAAAAAAGTCAACCATGGGGCTGGGAAGGTGGCTTAGTGGTAGAATGCTTGCCTCTCATGCATGAGGCTCTGAGTTCAATTCCTCAGCACCACATAAGCAGAAAAAGCCGGAAGTGGCATTGTAGCTCAAATGGTAGAGCGCTAGCCTTGAGCTGAACAGCTGAGGGACAACGCCCAGGCCCAGATTTCAAGCCCCATGACCAGAAAAAAAGAAAAGAAAAGAAAAGAAAAGTCAACCACTGCTGTTCAGAAAGCTGATGTCTGAAGATTGCTGTTCAAAGCCAGCCTGGGCAGAAAAGTCTGTGAGACTCTTATCTTCAATAAACTACTCAGAAAAAAAGCCAGAAGTGGCCCTGTGGATCAAATATTAGAGTGTTGGGGCTGGGAAGGTGGCTCAGTGGTAGAGCACATGCCTTGCATGCCAGAGGCCCTGAGTTTGATTCCTCAGCACCACATAAGCAAAAAGAAAAAAGCCAAAAGTGGCGCTGTGGCTCAAGTGGTAGAGCGCTAGCCTTGAGCTGAAGAGCTGAGGGACAGCACCCAGGCCCAGAGTTCAGGCCCCATGACTGGACCCAAAAAAACAAAACAAAACAAAACAATCAAATAATAGAGTGTTAGCCTTTAGTACAAAGAAACTTAAGAGGCAGTGCCCAGGCCCAGCGTTCAAGCCCCAGGACCAAGAATAAAAAACGTCAACCACGAGCACTCTGTCAGTGGACCAAAGGTAAATACAAACAGCTGGAATATTCCTGAAAAGGACTGAACTCCAGATAAGAACACTACAGTTACTTGTGGTTCTTGCATGAGGCTGCACTCCTCTCCTCTGAGTCTAGGCAGTGGTACCCTGAGGACAGGGCAGGCTATGAAAAACCTGCCTACAGGGCTGGGAAGGTGGCTCAGTGGTAGAGTGTTTGTCTTGCATACATGAGGCCCTGGGTTCGATTCCTCAGTACCACATAAGCAGAAAAAGCCGAAAGTGGCACTGTGGCTAAGAAGCTCAGGGATAGTACCCTGAGTTCAAGCCCCAGGACTGGCAAAAAAAAAACCTGCCTGCTACCAGACAAGAATGACTTAGTTTGGAGCACCTTAAGGTGACAATCTCAGTGGCAAGTAGGGAGAATCAGTGGGAGTTCCTACAATCTGAGATTATGGTCTTTTATTTTTGGGGGTGGGGGGAGGGGGTCCGGTCATGGGGCCTGAACTCTGGGCCTGGGCGCTGTCCCTCAGCTCTTCAGCTCAAGGCTAGTACTCTACCACTTGAGCCACAGTGCCACTTCCGGCTTTTTTTTTTCTGCTTAAGTGGTGCTGAGGAATTGAACTCAGGGCCTCATGCATGCAAGGCAAGCACTCTACCACTGAGTCCTTCCCAGCCCGAGATTATGGTTTTGTTCTTGGTAATCAACAGACTAGTAATGGGACCAAGGAGGTAAGCCAATTATAGAGACTTGATAAATTTTTCATTTACCCTTAGGTGACTTGAGTCTATGAAGATATTCTTCATGAAGGAAAGGGGGTTCGGGATACCCATGTATTCTTAGCTGATGGGAATTTTGTGAAGATGCAAGGGAGTCCAGCATAGGTAGAAGTTTGGGAAAACTCTGAAGTTTAATGTGCTTCCCAGCCCACACATAGATCAGATCCATCTTCAGACAGTGGAAGTCTTAGCGACTCCAGTGTTTGAGTACAATGTTTGGCCAATCTCCAATTGAACATGAAAGCTATAGAGACCCAAGGGCAGCTCCAGGTTAAAAGAAAGAATTAAGCATGTGTGGGAGGAGGGGAAAGTAACCTAAGCTGAGTGGGTACATGTTCAAGAGACAAGACGTTACAGATTTAATTTAAATTTTATTTATTTATTTATTTAGTCAGCCATGGGGCTTGAACTTGAACTCTGGGCTTGGGCGCTGTCCTCAGCTCTTCAGCTCAAGGCTAGCACTCTACCATTTGAGCTACAACACCACTTCCAGTTTTCTGAGTGGTTAACTGGAGATAAGAGTCTCACAGACTTTCCTACCTGGGCTGGCTTTGAACCATGATCCTCAGATCTCAGCCTCCTGAGTAGGTAGGATTACAGGCCTGAGCCACTAGGGCCCCACTAATTTAAAAAATTTTAAGTGAAAGGGGCAAAAGTCAGAATCTAGATTTATTATTAAAATGTCCATTATTTAAGAAAAAAATTGAGACATGGCAAACATAAGAATGCATCCAGGTTCTGAACAGTAACGTCTAATTGGTAGGAAGTATTTACTTATCCATGCATAAAACAAGAAGGTTTCAATCTTTCAGTCTGTGTTTCTGCAAGGCTACATAAAAGAAATGGTATTGTAAACAAAATTTTTCATTTCTAAATTGGAATCTGGATAGTAAGAGATTAATCTGCTCTTTTTTTTTTGTTGTTGTTGGTCATAGGGCTTGAACTCTGGGCATTGGTTCTGTCCCTGAGCTCTTCAGCTCAAGGTAAGCACTCTACCACTTGAACCATAGCGTCACTTCCTCTGCTTATTATTCTTTCTACAATTGTCTATGTTTTTGATATGTGTGCCAGGCACTGTGTGACTGCTGCAGATAAAGAGCTCATATACCAACGTAAGACTTGTGTGTGTGTACGCCAGTTCTGGGGCTTGACTCAGAGCCTGAACACTGTTCCCAAGCTTTTTTGCTTAAGGCTAGCACTCTACCACTTGATCCACAGCTCCACTTCTGACTTTTTGGTGGTTAACTATAGATAAGAGACTCATGGACTTTCTTGCCCAGATTGGCTTTGAACTGCAGTCCTCAGACCTCAGCCTCCTGAGCAGTTAGGATTACAGGTGTGAATCATTGGTGCTCAGCAGTGTAAGATGTTTTTAAGAATTCTGCAGCTCACCTGAGCTCCTTCTGGGGGTGGAAGCCGACAGCCAAAGATGGGTGGGACAGGAGCTCCACATTCTTGACAGAAGCGAGCATAGGGATCTGTTGGGTAGGGGGCCAAGCAGTGGGCACACCTACAACAAAACAGGTTCCCAGTGGGCCAAGTGGTTCTACATTAAGAAGGCTGGTGAAAGTCTAAACACACATACTCACACTCACCTTAGCAGCTATAGAATAGGATCAAGGCCTGAGATTTGTTCTTTTAAATGGTTATAAAAAGGATTTCTTCATTACAGCATTCTGGGAATATATATTCCATCCTATATCAATTCACAAGTGCAACCAAACCATTCAACCAGCAGATCCATATAGAATTCCTTATGTGGTACATGATTCTTGTCTAGGTCATTTCACCACAAAATAGCTGCATAGCTGAAACTTATGGTGCTTATTCCTTGTAGGTTAGACCTATGCCACTTCCTGGCTGTGGCAGGAAATTTATCAGCAGCCCTAATTCCAATGTTTAATTGACTGTGGCTTGTCCTATTACATTGAATTTGGCTTACGTGATGGTAAACCTGGGGAATTCCAATCATGTTTACAGTGCATTTTTCTCACTTTCTCACAAAATCTAGTCTGAGTATCAGATTTTCATGATGGCATTCTGGAACGTAAGAGTCAAGCTCTGCCTTTCCTTTTCATTCACCTGGCTAGATTTCCAAGGCCCTGACCCCATTTCCTGAGCATGTAGATCTCATGGGCTAGCCCCCATAATGTTTCTGTGTATATGTCTATACAACTAAAAGGATTCTTGGGATTAGACTACCCTGTGAACACACTGCTGTTTCCATGCCCTTCCTTGAAGGTTGGTTCCCTTCTTATTCCCTTATAGTTTCTTCTTAACAACTATAAAAAGAATTCATGGATACTGGACACTGGATTGTATGGTTGTCTGCGCTCAACTCCACCATGGCCTCCTAATGATTACTAGCCATTATAGTTGAGTTAACTCTCATAATCTTTATTCAATTCCATCCTTTCTAGCAAGGCAATGGTCACCAAGGTTTAACCATGTCTCCTGACTGGGTTCGCCACCAGATCAACAGGTTCCCTCCTACTTATGCCAAAGCTCATGACTTGACTATGTCATTGTTTCTTCATTGAATTGAGAGCATAAAGCTGGGAATCTGACAAGAGTCAGACTCTTTTCTTTGTCAGTCATGGGGCTTGAACTCTGGGCCTGGGTGCTGTCCCTCAGCTCTTCACTCAAGGGTAGTCCTCTACCACTTGAGCCACAGCACCACTTCTAGTTTTCTGAGTGGTTTATTGGAGATAAGAGTCTCATGGACTTTTCCTGCCCCAGCTGGCTTTGAACCATGATCCTCAGATCTCAGCCTCCTGAGTAGCTAGGATTATAGGTGTGAGACACTGGCGCCTAGAGCAACTACATTTTTTTAAAGCAAAGAATACCAAAGAAGAGCTGCACAGAGAGCTTCAGAACTTGTCAGAAGGTCACTCTGAAGTCTTCAAAAGGGTACTACTGCCCTGACATAAGAAACTACGTAAAGCCAGGAAAGAAACCCTAAAGAGGGTTTCAAGAAACAATCCTTAGGGCTCAGGTATTGTTGGGAAATTCATGCTTATTGCTGCCAACATGAAAAAAAATTCATATGTAATGAGGCACCAGTTAGAATGGTTTGCATACTCTCTAGAATGCAGACTGCCAAATGTAATTTTTTTTTTTTTTTTTTGTCGGTCGTGGGGCTTGAACTCTGGGCCTGGGCGCTGTCCCTCAGCTCTTCAGCTCAAGGCGAGCGCTCTACCACTTGAGCTACAGCGCCACTTCCGGTTTTCTGGTGGTTTATTGGAGATAGGAGTCTCAAGGTCTCTCCTGCCCGGGCTGGCTTTGAACCGAGATCCTCAGATCTCAGCCTCCTGAGTAGCTAGGATTACAGGCGTGAGCCACCAGCGCCCGGCTTCCAAATGTAATTTTTTTTAACCCAAGACCAACTAACCTTAAGTAATGGGACAAAAGTATGTTAAGAGGGATAGAATGTGTGTGTGTGTGTGTGTGTGTGTGTGTGTGTGTGTGTGTGTGTGTGTGCGCGCGCGCGCGCCATACAGACATTAGTCTAAAAGAAGATTTCTGAGTAAAAGGTATTACCAAAATTAAATTATTTTATAATGACATAGGAGTCAACTCTGCAACAAGATGTACAAATTCATAGGGTTGATGTACTTAATATTAGAACCTCAAAGTACATGAAGAAAACATTTATAGAAATAGATACATAATTATAGCCACAGATTTCAACATCACTATCTCAATATATGACTATTCTACAAAAAGTAGAATATCCCTAAAAATAGAAAAGGCTTAAACAATTTTACTAGTTCTTTTTTTTTTCTTTGTCATTCGTAGAGCTTGAACTCTGGGTCTGGGCGCTGTCCCTCATCTCTTCGGCTCAAGGCTAGTGCTCTACCACTTGAGCCACAGCGCCATCTCCAGGCTTAAAACAATTTTATTAACTTAACCTAATTGATATTTATAATACACTTATACCAGCAGAACACACATTAGTTTAAAATGCACACAGAATATTTAACAGTAAATTATATATGTCATCTAACCAAATGAAGTTTAACTTGAAATAGAAACCAGAAATGTATAAGGAAAATCCTTCAATATTTGGAAATTTAACAAAAGACTTCTAATTAACCCATCTGTCAAAAATAAAAAGGTCAGGCCGGGTGCTGGTGGCTCATGCCTGTAATCCTAGCTACTTAGGAGGCTGAGATCTAAGGATCATAGTTCAAAGCCAGCCTGGGCAGGAAAGACAGTGAGACTCTTATCTCCAATAAACCACTTAGAAAACTGGTAGTGGTACTGTGGCTCAAGTTGTAGAGTGCTAGTCTTGAGCTGAAAAGCTGAGGAACAGTGCCCAGGCCCAGAGTTCAAGTCCCATGACTGACAAAAAAATAATAATAATAAATTAAAAAATAAAAAGGTCAGGGGGCTGGGAAGGTAGCTCAGTGGTAGAGTGCTTGCCTTGCATGCATGAGGCCCTGGGTTCAATTCCTCAGCACCACATAAGCAAAAAGAAAAAAGCCGGAAGTGGCGCTGTGGCTCGAGTGGTAGAGCGCTAGCCTTGAGCTGAAGAACTGAGGGACAGCACCAGGCCCAGAGTTCAGGCCCCATGACCAGACCAAAAATAAATAAATAAATAAAAAGGTCAGAAACTGACCTGAATGAAAATTAAAACACAACACATAAGAATGTGAGGGACATGAGTAAAGCAGTACACAAGGAAATGTAAGGTCAATGATGTAACTGACAGTAATTCAATATTAGGAAAGAAGAAAAGACTTCAAGCCAGTGACTTCATCTTTAGTAAGCAAGAAACTAAAAAATAAAAAGGCAAGTAAAGTCCAAAATTCACTCAGAAAAGGAGATAAACATGAATGAACCTATTATTAAATTGTATATATAGAAAAAGGCTTCTTGAAAGAAAAACTCCAAACTCTAGTGATATCACTGGCAAATTCTACCACACATTCATGGAATAAGTAACACTAATTTATACAAACTCAGAATATTAAAGGAGAGAGAAACTTTTTCCTAGGTCATTTTTTTTTTTGGGTGGGGGGGGTCAGTCGTGGGGCTTACACTCTGGGCCTGAGTGCTGTCTCTCAGTTCTTCAGCTCAAGGCTAGCGCTCTACCACTTGAGCTCCAGTGCTACTTCCAGTTTTCTGGTAGTTTATTGGAGATAGAATTTCACAGACTTTCCTGCCCGGGCTGGCTTTGAATGGAGATCCTCAGATCTCAGCCTCCTGACTAGTTAGGATTATAGGCGTGAACCACCAGCGCCCAGCCCCTGGTCATTCTATAAAGCCAAAATTATCCTGACACCAAAACAAAACAAAGACAACAGCAAGTAAAGAAATTCCTTAGAGCTGGGAGGCATGACCCAAGCCAGAGACACACATGCTTAGAGAAGCGTACAATACAATCATAATAAGCTTCTACTACAATCCCACTAGTTACCAAAAATCAAAATCAAAGTGTTGATGAGGATGTACAGAAATTGTAATTCTTCAATATTGTTTATGAGAATGCAAAAATGGCACAACTACTTTGGAAAACACATAGTTTCTTAAAAAGTATAACATAGGACTGGGAATGTGGCTTAGAGTGCTTGCCTAGCATGCATGAAGCCCCTGAGTTTGATTCCTCAGTACCACATAAACACAAAAAGGTGGAAGTGGCATTGTGGCTCAAGTGGTAGAGTGCTAGCCTTAAGCCAAAGAAGCTCAGAGACAGTGCTCAAGCCTTGAGTTCAAGCCCCAGGACTGGCCAAAAAAAAGTAACATATACCTATCATATTACCCATGTTTTCTTTTCAAAGTATTTACTCCAAGGGGAATGAAAACCATGTCTTAAATGTTCCTATGAACTTTACCTGTAACAGTCAAAACCTGGAACACACACATGTCCTCTCAAGATAAGCAAACTGTTGTCTTTCCACATAACAGAAACCCAGCAGTACAGAGAACTAGGAACAACACATGTGAATCCTACAATAATTATACTGAGCCAAAAAGCCTGCCTCTTTCCTCCAAAAAGAATACATACTCGCCGGGCGCTGGTGGCTCACGCCTGTAATCCTAGCTACTCAGGAGGCTGAGATCTGAGGATCACAGTTCAAAGCCAGCCCAGGCAGGAGAGACTGTGAGACTCCTATCTCCAATAAACCACCAGAAAACCAGAAGTGGCACTGTAGCTCAAGTGGTAGAGTGCTCACCTTGAGCTGAAGAGCTGAGGGACAGCGCCCAGGCCCAGAGTTCAAGCCCCACTACCGACAAAAACAAAAAAAAGAATACATACTCCATTTGTATACAGAGTCAGATGCAAACTAAACTAATGACAACAGGTGGATTAATAATAGGATAGAAGTAGGGAAAGGGTATAATAAGGTAGACAATTTTAAGAGGAGATGAATTTACTCATTTTCTAACTGTGGTGATAGTACATATAGATATATATATATGTATATGTATATATGTATATGTATGTACATACATATAAAACTTCAAGTATATGCAACTTGTAGGTCAATTATACCTTTTACAAGCTCTAAACTTTTTATTTTGAAAGCAAGGAGTGGGAGAAATTATTATTGTTTTTCCATTTTTAAACTCTCTGACAATGATGCATCTTTGCAGAATTTAGAACAAAGTAAAGAGATACATACTTGAGAAAGTCTGTCTCCCTTTGAATCCTCATGACCTCCGTGCTTGTCAGACTCTTACGGCCATTTATGTGGGCAAATCCAGGGGGCTAAAATTAAGAGAACAAAGAGTTAATTTTACTTGGTAAATGCTATAAGACAGCAAACTTCTATTCAAATTTAACTTTAATGTTCAGTTCATAATACCTAGGTATCTTTTAATACCTATGATGGTGGCTCAAGTGGTAGAGCGCTAGCCTTGAGCTGAAGAGCTGAGGGACAGCACCCAGGCCCAGAGTTCAAGCCTCACAACTGACTAAATAAATAAATAAAACCTATGATGGAGATAGTCATAAGCAATTATGACTAAGCATTTATACTCTAGTATCTAACATTAAAATTACATCGTGTTGTTCATAACTGATATGTAAATTCATTGAAGAGGAAAGTTTTTTTGTTTTTTGGTTTTTTTTTTTTGGGTCCGGTCATGGGGCCTGAACTCTGGGCCTGGGCGCTGTCCCTCAGCTCTTCAGCTCAAGGCTAGCACTCTACCACTTGAGCCACAGCGCCACTTCCGGCTTTTTTCTTTTTGCTTATGTGGTGCTGAGGAATCGAACCCAGGGCCTCAGGCATGCAAGGCAAGCGCTCTACCACTGAGCCACCTTCCCAGCCCCAAGAGGAAAGTTTACAATAGAAGATATCTGACTTTGCCATCTGAATTTACCAGATTTTTTTCCATCGTGGGGCTTGAACTCTGGGCTTAGGTGCTCTCCCTGAGCTTTTCGGCTCAAGGCAAGCGCTCTACCAGTTGAACCACAGCACCATTTCTGGTTTTCTGGTGGTTAATTGGAGATGGTCTCTTAGATTTTCCTGCCTGGGCTGGCTTTGAACCATAATCTTCAGATATCAGCCTCCTCAGTAGCTAGGATTACAGGTGTGAGCCACTGGTGCCTCTCTGAATTTACCAGATTTAATAAACTGAAAAATCTAAGTTTTGCTCAAGGATTATGATACTTGAAGAAAATGCTAAAAGACTCACCCATCTGAATATACACTGGTTTTTCTGTTTTTGTTAGTCATGGGGCTTGAACTCTGGGCCTGGGTGCTATCCCTCAGCTCTTCAGCTCAAGGCTAGCACTCTACCGCTTGAGCCATAGTGCCACTTCTGGCTTTTTCTGTTTATGTGGTACTAAGAAATCAAACCCAGGGCTTCATGAATGTTAGGCAAGCACGCTTCCAATAAGCCACATTCCTAGCCCAATATCTACTTTAATATAATTTCAAATTTGCAGAAAAGAGTTATAAGGAGATCATAAATAATACCTCCTGTCTACCTAGCTTGATCAATTGTTTACATTACTACTGTTTTACATATTCCTTAATTCTCAATTTCTGAATTTATATGAGAATAAGCTTAAGTCATGGTGTGCCTTTGTCCCTAAGTAACTGAATGTGTTACTTGGTAAAGTACTTGTATTCTTGGTAAAGAACAAGACTGTCCTCTTACACAACCATGTAACAAAGTTAGAAAACTTAACAGGGATACAATACTATAATCTAACCCACAGATTTATACTTAGACCTCATGAGTTGTGCCAATGATGTCTTCAGCTAAATATTTTCCTGGTCTAGGATCTACTCTAGAGCCACATTTTGTATTTGGCATGTTCCTTTAACCATCCCTAATTTAGAATAGTTCTTCAGTCTGTTTGATCTTCCATGATTTTCACTTTTTTTTTTGGTCGGTCATGGGACGTGAACTCTGGGCTTGGGTGCTGCCCCTGAACTCTTCAGCTCAAGACAAGTGCTCTACTGCTTGAGCCATAGCACCACTTCCAGTTTTCTAGTAGTTTATTGGAGATAAGTGTCTCACGGACTTTCCTGCCGAGGCTGGCTTTGAACCATGATCCTCAGATCTCAGCCTCTGAGTAGCTAGGATTACAGGCATGAGCCACTGGCACCAAGCTGATTTTGACATTTTTTTAAAGAGTAACAAGCTAGATGTCCTTCAATTTAGTTTTGTTTGACATTTCTTTGTGATTGGATTCAATCATGTATTTTGTCACAAATTCCAAAGATAGGGTATTGAGGCCATCTCAGCACACCATATGAAGAGACACATATGTAAAACTCATGTTTGAGGGGAGGAGGTTGAGGCTCAGAAAAATGAAGTTACTTCCTTGAATTCATGTTAAGACTATGGGTACTACTCTCAGTCCTACCTGTCTCTTTAAATAACTCTTCTTAAATGCTTGTGTGGTAAGTTCAGGACTTCCACTTAATTTGCAAGCAATAAGAAGGCTTTTTATTGCATTTTTGTTAAATCTAACATGACTCATATCAGAAATCACAAACTGGCAGTCATTGGGCAAATATGATATATGGCCCAAATATTAGGTATACTGGTTCCTATGCCAATTCAGAGTTTGAATTATTAAGTTCAAATTGCACTTAATGACATAAGTTTCTCGCTTCTCATGCAATTTCATCATCAGATGTGGTAACATTGAACCTATAGTTCTTCCTTTCAGTGGTTGTTTTGTGTTAAGTGAACCATTTAGCTGGCTGAGGTCTTTCACAAGAACTCAGGGTCTGGGCACTGACCCTGAGCTTTTTTGCTCAAGGCTAGCATTCTTCCACTTTGAGTCACAGAGCCACTTCCAGTTTTCTAGGGGTTGACTGGAAATAAAGAGTCTCATGGACTTTCCTGCCTGAGCTGGCTTTGAACCGTGATCCTAAGATCTCAGCCTAGTGGCTAGGATTATAGGGATGAGCCACTGGCACTGGCCTCCTACTTTTATGATCTCACTAAAGTCAGGTATCAGTTGTCATTTATCCATGTTCGGCCCCAAAGGCACACCAAGCCAGATGCTTAGCTCAGAGATGTCTCATCTCCCTGGAAGTTACCAACATGTTGCAATAGAATAATGACATTAATTCTTTGATATTATATTATTAATGATATTAAAATACGATTATCAATGATATCAAGCATAATATGATTATTAGTATCATTAATTCTAATAGTTTCTGAAGCTCATTCAGATGGATAGAGCTGAAATACTAGAAAAATCTCTTACCAATATGAAGAACAAGAGTAGGAGAGAGCTTTTTTATATATATTTTCTGGCTTTCCTAGCTTTCTAAATGCTAGTCAAATTCCCAAAACTCTGTCCTTGACTCTATATTACAAGCACTTTGGGATTAAAAAACTTAAAGCCAGGCTAGGGGTGTGGTTCAAGTGGTAGAAGAGTTGCCTAGCAAGTGTGAGGTCCTGAGTTCAAGCCTCAGGACCAACTTTAAAAAAAAAAAAAAAAACTTAAAGCCTTGTATGTTATTTTACTCAGTTTTTCTCTTGGGAACAACTCTAAACTAAGTAGACAAGATAAATAAAATATTAATGCACAAAGAAAATAATACTTCTAGCCGGGTTCTGGTGGCTCACTTCTGTAATCCTAGCTACTCAAGAGGCTGAGATTTGAGGATTGAGATTCAAAGCCAGCCCAGGCAGGAAAGTCCCTGAAACTCTTATCTCCAATAAACCACCAGAAAACTGGAAGTGGCGCTGTAGCTCAAGTGGTAGAGCACTAGCCTTGAGCTGAAGAGCTCAGGGACAGTGATCAGGCCCTGAGTTCAAGCCCCATGACCAACAGAAAAAAAAAAAGAAAGAAAAGAAAAAAGAAAACAATACTTCTAGACACATTTCAAGAAGCAACCACATGAGATTGTTGTGCTGAAAACAATTATTGTGTTTTGTTCTTCAACCATTCATTTATCAAAACATGACATTTTACCTTAAAAGCTGTGTTTTTATTTGGGTCACACTACAGTGTACTGTCCCCAGGAGCTGAATGTAGTCATTGGTTCATCTGGTAACTAGGTAGACATTTTTCCCAGAATATTTGGAAAGGCAATTTTCAATTATAGAGATGTTATCCCTTTGTTTAGTGGAGTTTGCAAGCAGACTTTCCCAGATTTGTGATTCCCTGGTTTGGACTTTGTGGTCCTCAAAAAATATAGTACATAGGCACATGAAAGAACCCAGGAGATTGTGCTGAGTTCTACCTTGACATTAGAGACTGCTTATGAAGGCAATTATTTGGCCTTAGGATGAGGAGAGTCTTCTTGGCCAGTGATTCTCAGACTGGGCTGACCATAAAAGTCATCTGTGAATTTCATTTTAGGCTTATAGCTCAGCATATTGTAGAAGAAGCTAGCTAGAAATCTACGCATACATTTAAGGTTCCTTCTGGGTGATTCTAATAAGACAATCAGGTTTGGGAACCATGCCTTTTGCCTTCTTTATAGTTGATAGTAGATGCAAACAATTTAGAACAACGGGCACATAAGGAGCAACTGTTAGGAAATAAAATTCCAAGTATATGCTACTTGAGGTTCAACGGGAAGAGAGCAAGGCTACAACCTTGACCCAGTTACAATCATCTCTGTATCTACAATCAACCTGGAGGAAACACCTACCTTTAAAATGATTCTAAAATGATACTCACTTCTTACCCTGTAGCCAAAGAGAAAACTTTTGAATGGAAGTAGTATTACCAATTTACTACAAGTCTGGTTATAGTTTAGTATAAAACCCAAATAGAAGCTGGGCATTAGTGGCTCACACCTGTAATCCTAGCTACTCAGGAAGCTGAGATCTGAGGATCATGGTTCAAAGCCAGACTAGGCAGGAAAGTCCATGAGATTCTTATCTCCAACAAATCACTTAGAAAACAGGAAGTGGTGCTGTGGCTCAAATGGTAGAGTGCTAGCCTTGAGCTGAAGAGCTAAGGGACAACGCCCAGGCCCAGAGTTCAAGCCCCATGATGGAAAAAAAAAATCCAAATAGATTGCTTTACAAAATGAATAAAACCTAAACTTCTTACAATGAAACTAGCTTCCTAAGCCCCTGTAATTCTCAATCATGACTATGAGTAAAAACAAACAATGCCGCCACTACACCTCAGTCTAAGTGAATTTGAATTTCTCATATTAGGTTCCTGGGATTGGTTAGAAGCTCCTCAGGTGATTTTTAATCTGAGAACCTAGATGTTCTGGACCTAGATCACTATATCTCATAATTTGTTCATCATGTTTCAACCACAGCAGCTTCCTGTCCTCTCCCTTTGCTGTCCTTGTTATGACTATTGCTGAGTGTTTTCCCCAAGACATTTGCAGGAATGGTAAAGCCCTTTCATGGTTCAATTTGGATATTAACCTCTTCAGGGACTCTCTCTCTCTCTCTCTCCCTCCTCTCTCTCTCTCTCTCTCTCAGGAACTCTCAGACTTCAGTATCATCAGAAGGAGAGATAAGTAAACTACTAATTACTGGGCTCACTTGGTAATTATCTGTTTTCTCAAAACATCAACATGTCTACTCTATGAATATAAATTTTTCTTGTCCAACATAGCATTTCCAGTGATGAACCACAGTCAAAATCCTGGGAATCACTATTGTAAAATATTTTCACATGAATGGAAAAGGTGACATTGATCAAGATGTATTGTACTCATAAACTAATATACTGAATTGAAACCCATTTGTACAACTATTTAAACATTATTTTTAAGAAGTATTTCACCTGAAGCATTAAGATATGGGAAATATGGGGCTGGAAAAGAGGCTCAGTGGTAGAGCGCTTGCCTTGCATGCCTGAGGCCCTGGGTTCAATTCCTCAGCACCACATAAGCAAAAAGAAAAAAGCCAGAAGTGGCGCTGTGGCTCAAGTGGTAGAGTGCTAGCCTTGAGCTGAAGAGCTGAGGGACAATGCCCAGGCCCAGAGTTCAGGCCCCACAACCGGACCCAAAAAAATAAATAAAATAAAATAAAAATAAAGATATGGGAAATATCTTATAACCTTAAAGTTTTTTCATAGAGGTTACCTGTGACTGGTGGGTGGATGATCTAGAGATTGATTCTTCACGGTAGGCTGGGATTTCCAGGGGACTCTCTGAGAAGCGAAGATCTTTCAGAGTTTTAGGGACCATTCTTTCACCTGCCATGGGGTCTACAATTGTATTAAAAGAACACTGTTATGTGAGCATGTGTAATCATATAAAGCCATGAAAGTAGTTCTTCATATAAAAAACCTTCTTAATAAAGGGAACATTGTAATCATTCTTTCCCTAGAAATAAGAATTATATAAAGGACACCCTTCTCAACTCAGTAATTTAGAACTCATAAAGAAATACTATGCCTAAAATGAGAAAACAGGAAGTGGTGCTGTGGCTCAAGTGGTAGAGCACTCGCCTTGAGCTGAAGAGTGCAGGGACAGCACCCAAGCCCAGATTTCAAGCCCCACGACTGAGCTGACCACCCCCCCAAAAAAATCCCTGATATTCTGTAACATTCCACATCAGGATAGGAAAATAGACAAATCACTTCAGTGGAAATGTTAGCAGGTTAATATTATTTATTTATATATTATATTATAGTATTTATAATATTATTTATTCTAAAACACATTTCACCTGAAAAATTCATAATATTTTTCTCTTTTTTGCAAAAGGAAGTACTGGGGTTTGATAGAAAGATATTCTACCACTTAAGCCACATCTCCAGCCCCTTTTGCTTTGGTTATTTTTCAGATATCTGTCAGATTATCTGACATGATGCCCAGATTAGCCTCAAAAGACTACAATATGTTTATTTGTCCCTCCCATCTAGCATTACAGATGAATATACATTTGTTTTATATATATATGTGTGTGTATAGATATATGTATATTATATATACATAATATATTATACTAATATACTATATTAGTATATTTATTATATTATAATATATTATATGTTATGTTATATATTGTATAATATATAATATAAAATAATAAAATAAATAATAATATGTAATATATTATAATATATGACATATAATATTATATATTATAATATAACGTAACATATATAATGTATAATATGTAATATTGTATATATAATATATTGTATGTTATATGTAGGTATATGTTATATATAACACATATGTATATATACCTACATATAGTATATAATTTATATATTATATAACACATATATACTAATACATATACATATATAAATACATATATACATGGGGGGTTGGTGCTGGTCTCTTGATCTTAGGGCCTGAGCTTTTGTGCTCAAGGCTAGCATTGTACCACTTGAGCCACAGTTCCACTTTCAGCTTTTCACTGGTTAATTGGAGATAAGAGTCTCACAAATCTGGCTGCTGGTGTTACTGGCCACTAGTTACTGAGGAAACTGAGATCTGAGGATCATGGTTTAAAGCCAGCTGAGGTAGGAAAGTTTGTGAGAATCTTATCTCCACTAAACTACAAAAAAGCCAGAAGCAGAGCTGTGGTTCAGGTGGCAGAGCCTTGAGCAAAAGAAGGTCAGGAACAGTACCCATGCTCTGAGTTCAAGCTCCAAAACCAATATACACGTACAAAAGAGTCTCATGAACCTTCTTGAGTAGCTAGGATTATAGGCAGGAGCCACTGGTGCCCAGTACATATTTGTATATAGTCTGAGGTGGGAAACTAATTTTTGCTGAGGCTGGCCTTGAACTGTGTTCCTCTCAATCTCTGCCTCCTTCCCAAGTAGCTCAGATTATACATATGAGCCACTGTACCTAACCAATACTTTTTTTTTTTTTTTGGGGGGGGGTCCGGTTGTGGGGCCTGAACTCTGGGCCTGGGAGCTGTCCCTCAGCTCTTCAACTCAAGGCTAGTGCTCTACCACTTGAGTCACAGCGCCACTTCCGGCTTTTTACTTTTTGCTTATGTGGTGCTGAGGAATCGAACCCAGGGCCTCATGCATGCAAGGCAAGCGCTCTACCACTGAGCCACCTTCCCAGCCCACCAATACTTTTTTTTGAGTGACTATTGCTTACAACTAAGAAATTCTATTCTCTAACCTCATAGATTATCAGAAACTGCTTTTAAAAATCCTATTAGTGGAAGTGGTGCTGTGGCTCAAGTGATAGAGTGCTTGCCTTGAGCTGAAGAGCTGAGGGACAGTGCTCAGGCCCACAGTTCAAGCCCCATGACCGACTAAAAAAAAAAAAAAAAAAGAACACAAAGAATTAGGGGCTGGGAAGTAGGCTCAGTGGTAGAGCGCTTGCCTTGCATGCCTGAGGCCCTGGGTTCGATTCCTCAGCACCACATAAGCAAAAAGAAAAAAAAAACCCGGAAGTGCCGCTGTGGCTCAAGTGGTAGAGCACTAGCCTTGGCTGAAGAGCTGAGGGACAGCGCTCAGGCCCAGAGTTCAGACCCCACGACCAGACCAAAAAAAAAAAAAATCCTATTAGTTGCCAGGTGCTAGTGGCTCACGTCTGTAATCTTAGCTACTCAGGAAGCTGAGATCTGAGGATGGAGGTTCAAAGCCAGCCCGGGCAGGAAAGTCCCTGAAACTCTTATCTCCAATAAACCACCAAAAAAACCAGAAGTGGCATTGTAGCTCAAGTGGTAGAACTCTAGCCTTGAGCTGAAGAGCAAAGGGACAGCACCCAGGCCCAGAGTTCAAGCCCCACAACTAGAAAAAAAAATCCTATTAGTTGCTGGGCGCTGGTGGCTCATGCCTGTAATACTAGCTCCTCAGGAGGCTGAGGTCTGAGGATCACAGTTCAAAGCCAGCCTGGGCAGGAAAGTCCAAAATTTTTTTTTGCCAGTCCTGGGACTTGAATTCAGGGCCTGGGCACTTTCCCTGAGCTTCTTTTGCTCAAGGCTATCACTCTATCATTTGGGCCACGGCACAACGTCTGGCTTTTTTTGTTTATGTCATACCGAGGAATCGAACTCAGGACCTCATGCATGATAGGAAAGCACTCTACCACTAAGCCACATTCCCAGCACTTCATGTGTATTTTATAGTTACTGTGTAAATGAACCTCAGTCCATATCTGATATAACCCTTTCATACATACCCTAACTTTGCTTTGAGATAATCAAAACTCTACTTTCATTTAAATTTCACCAAACTTCACCCTTCTCTCAAACACTTTTTATTTTGATTTCCTGAAATATGGTCTCACTCAATACAATTAATCAATAAGACCCAACTTTGTTGTACATCATGGTCTTAAGCTGTTAGCAAGAACAGCACAAAATCTCATATCACAGCCTACTTTGCAGTGCTTTCTTAGTCCAACTTCTGCAGATAAGAAAATATGCAGTGAACGTACATGAGCCTGTTGAGTGAGTTTAGAACATGAAATCTTACCTTCATTCTATCAGATCATACCTGGAAACTTTCTAAGGTTAACATTCCAACTAGATTTATTCTCAGAATTCTTGTATTTCTTCCTTAGTTTTGATCCATCAAATCCATTTTTCAATTCCTAGGAAAGAATACACTGAGTATCAGTTGACTTGTACCCATTTAGAATGTAAAAATTCCAAGTCACAGGATAGAGACAATGTCATGGTGTATATTTCTTTTCCTTTTCTTTTTCTTTTTTCCCTGGTCATGGGGCTTGAACTCTGGGCCTGTGCGCTGTCCCTCAGCTCTTCAGCTCAACGTCAGTAATGCTCTACCATTTGAGCCACAGCACCACTTCTGGTTTTCTGAGTGGTTTATAAGAGTCTCACGGCCTTTCCTCCCAGGGCTGCCTTTGAACCTCAGTCCTCAGATCTTAGCCTCTTGAGTAGCTAGGATTACAGGCATGAGCCACCACACCCAACCATGGTGTACATTTCTTACTTGAAAGAGTTTACAGAAATTTTTACAGTGACCTGTATTTCATTTTCTCATAGAAATATAGAGCAACACATAACTTGGCTTTATGTTACTTGATTAGCAGCATATCTGGGCACATATCAAGTGGTAAAGGCAGGAGGCAGATTGTAGCACATATAGGAGGATATCATAATCATTGGAGGCAGTAATATCACGGAGTCACCAGATCTATAGATAGTGTGGAGTCAGACCAAAATAGGACTCATATACGCTACTTGCCCACACACAGTTCTGAAACATTATTCTTTCTGGACTTTCTTCCCTATGGACTTTATCCTTTATATCTGATTCCAACCTGAGCACCAGTAGATGTACATCTCTGCTGGCTGTCTTCACAATCACACTAAAGCCGGATCTCATGTCTATGCCCAATGACTTAGTTTTATACCCTCATCTCTGATTTTTCTGGCTACCAGTGGGTTTCAGAGACATTCCCACAAAACTTCTTCAGGGATCACTCCCAAGATCCTCATGTCTCACCCTCTTGATTGGATGCCTTCCAATAGGCTAGCCTATCTTCTCATCCTGCTTTTTGGATCTATCTCACTGATGCTGAGAACCCAGGGATTGTTTCAAATATCATTAGGTCAGATTGACTCTGCAAAGGGGAAGTTTTGTATATATTTGGGGATTACTTTTAAACATAATAGGAGTCTATGACCACTGGGGACCTCTATGAGTCTTACGATTCTATTCTCCAAACATATACTTAACCACCTTTCCCACTTTCCCCTGTGCAAAATTGTGAGTATTATTACAGCATGCCCTCTGCTCTAGGCCTTACAATTGATGGGGAAAGCTGATACGAAACCAAATGCTCAAAGCATTTTTGTAAAGGAGAAGCCCCAGTGCAGCAAGAGAGCAGAGTACTCAGTTTAGCTGGAGCTTATGTATATGTGTGGAGTCACAGACTCAACTGACCAAGGACAAAAACTGATCACCTAGCTAAAAAGCTAAACGTTTCTGCTTTCTTCAGTAGATAAAAGTCACTAAAGATGCTGGTATATGGGTAGTGATGCTGGGTTAGAATTGTAATCTTCAGGATGGAGGAAAACTTGACCAAAAAACAGCAAATCAGTGAAGATACTTTGCAAGGTTTGAAACGGACTTCAACTATACGGACCTGATTTATTGTGAGCAGAGGTAATGTAATGAAAGCAAACATAGGTCACTCAGAATGAAGGAAACAAGTACACAGTGAAACTATATATATATATATATATATATATATATATATATATATATATATAGTTTCATTACTTGCCTGCTTTGAAGAATCTTTGAGAACATTTTCAATGTCATCTTCAGAAGAAACTATCTTTGGTGGTTCATAACCCACTTGAAACACTTTTGTTACAATTCCACTCTGTCTGCAATCTCTGGATTATCATGAGAGATAAAGAGAAAGAGAGAGAACAGACAGACAGAAAGGCTGTTAAAAAAAGATTCAAAGAAATAGTGATTATCAATTTAAAAGACCCTAAAGTTCCTTAACATAACTACTTAATTCATTATGTTTTAACTATTTCTATTCTATAATTTGTGTGTGTGTGCTGGTCCTGGGGCTTGAACTCAGGGCCTGGGTGCTGTTCCTGAGCCTTTGTTGCTCAAGTCTAGTACTCTACCATGTAAACCATAGCTCCACTTGCAGATTTTTGGTGGTTAACTGGAGATAGTCTCATGGACTTCCTGCCAGGGCTTTGAACCATCATCTTGAGATCTCAGTTTCCTGAGTAGCTAGGATTATAGGCATGAGCCACTGACATCTGGCTAGCTTCTTAATTCTTAATAATTAAAATGGTTTGTTTTGCCCGGCACCGGTGGCTCACACCTGTAATCCTAGCTACTCAGCAGGCTGATATCTGAGGATTGCAGTCCAAAGCCAGCCCGGGCAGGAAAGTTCGTGAGACTTTTATCTCCAATAAACTGCTAGAAAACTGGAAGTGGTGCTATGGCTCAAGTGGTAGAGCGCTCATCTTGAGCTGAAGAGCACAAGGACAGCGCCCAAGCCCAGAGTTCAAGCCCCACGACCGACAAAAAAAAAAAAATGGTTTGATACAAGTGTCTTGGCAAGCGAGAAAATACTTTTCTATTAAATAAACTATATAGAATTTTCTGTTTAATAAAGAATATGTCATGTATAAATGGGTTGTTAGTTTAATTTGTGTAAAGATGTCAAAGCAGTTATCAGTGTAAAAGTTGTAGATCCACCCCAAAATACATGCAATAAATAGTTCAGCTAGGAGAGAGAGCCTAGAGAATCTTTTCAAAGTACCTGGGCCAGTGAGACATTTGATTTGCAACTTAAAGATATTCCCAGAATGTGGCCAAACTCACCTTTTTCCTCTATCATTTCCTAGATATTTAAGACTTTTCAAAAATCTATAATATATGATAAATGTTTTTAAATTAAGTGATTTCTATATTTGAAAATGAGGGAAAGTCCCCAAGTAGCACAAAGAGAATAAAGGAAAAATGAAGTGGCTCATGCCCACCAAGTTGAAATGAGAGTAGTTTTAAAGGACAGTTAAATCAAACAAAATCAACAAGAAAATGATGGAGGTAGTTGTAGGTCATAAAAGAACTATCTCTAAACACAGTGATTTCCTACTTCAGAGCCACATAAAGATCCTTAGAGGTCTCCAACCCTAGAAAGGTTTTTCCATCCCAGATCACCAGTGTGAAATATAAAATAAAAATATTATCAATATACATTATATCTTTTGAACTGTGGCTTATAATTTGTGCACCTTACAGTATACTTCAGCAAAAAGCACATAAAACAGAAAAGTGAATACATACGCTAAAATTAAAGAAAAATTCATGTGCCCTTCTAATGCAGCACTGATATCATAGGATGAACTAAATAAAGTTAAAGCAAGCTATTACTAATCAGTTTGATCAACTTACTTAGAGACTGCAATAGCTTTAACCTGTATTTTCCCATCAGGCAAAGTAATGGGTTTTGTATACTTAAATGTATTATTTTCACCATAACCAATTCTCTTCAGAAACTCAGGTTTGCTGCCATCCAGGGTATAATATATATTGACATCTGGGGTATCTGAAAAATCCACAACAGGATAACTGTAATTAACACTAAAGTATCAAGTCCCTGAAATAATAGCTATAGGTCAGGTATCTGAGTCAATGATAGTTTCTATTTGATTATTACATTTATTACACTGAGGACACACACATGACCACATTCCCTGCTCTCATAGAGTTTACATTTGAAGAATACACAAACAGTAAATAAATAAGTTCCTCTTGCAAGTGATAAGTATTATGGTGTGAAAGGAGGAGATATGGTACACCTACAAAGCAGGTAAAGGATGCATAGAAACATACTTTCATTTACTTCTTTATTTATTGGCAGTTCTGGGGTTTGAACTCAGGCCTTTACAATTGTTATGCAGACACTCTAGAGTTTGAGTCACTCCTCCAGCCCTGTTTTATTCATGTAAGAGACATTTATAGTTTGTTTCCTATGAAATGTCTTTTCATATCCTTTGCCCAGTCTTCCATCAGGTTATTTTTTTAGTATTGAATCGTGGGATCTCTGTGCATCTGATATTTAGATGTTAAAGAATTTGGATCCCCTGTCCTTCAAATCATTATTTGTCAACAATCATCCAACTTTCCCTGAATTATAAACACATACATTAAAATTTTTCTTTTTAAAAATCATATTAGGAAGCTGTGCTTGGTGTCTCATGCCTGTAATCCTAACTACCCAGGAGGCTGAGACCTGAGGATCACAGTTCAAAGCCAGTCCGCAGAGAAGGCTATGAGACTCTTATCTCCAATAAATGGCCAGAAAATGGTGGTTATAACCACCGAAGGTGGTGCTGTGGCTCAAGTGGTAGAGCACTTGCCTTGAGCTGAAGAGCTGAGGGACAGCACCCAGGCCCAGAGTTCAAGCCCCACAACCGACAAAAAAAAAAATCGTATTAGGAGGACATACCATAATGATGCATATTCTGAGTTGGAATTCATGGTCTAGGAAGTGAAGGGGTTATCCTACAAATGTAGTTAAGTAGTTTATTTACATTCAATTCAGATAAAATATTGTGCTCCACCAGCACACAAACTACAATTGGAATTATTATAGAGATGATTAGCATGCAAATCCATAAAGTATTACATATATTCAAATAAAAAATAGACATTGGATATAGAATTGAAATCTCAGTCAGTATTGATCATGTGTGTTATACGTAGGTAAGTATATTTAAGATTTTGTTTTTTGGGTCCGGTCGTGAGGCTTGAACTCTGGGCCTGGGTGCTGTCCCTCAGCTCTTCAACTCAAGGCTAGCGCTCTACCACTTGAGCCACAGTGCCACTTCCGGCTTTTTTTTTTTCCTGATTATGTGGTGCTGAGGAATTGAACCCAGAGCCTCAGGCATGCAAGGCAAGCACTCTACCACTGAGCCACCTTCCCAGCCCAAGATTTTGAAGAATAGGAAGTGGCACTGTAGCTCAAGTGTTCGCCTTGAGCTGAAGAGCACAGGGACAACGCCCAACCCGAGTTCAAGCCCCACGACTGACAAAAAAAAAAAAAAGAAAAGAAAAAAAGAAAAATATTTTGCAGAATAAATATTATCAGGAAACACATCCATTGCTCTACTTTTGTATTAAGACATTAAGATTTTTTTTTTACTATGCGCTTGCCACTATGAACCTCACATATGCCCAATTTACTTAGTTTATCAACTCACATATACCAGTATATACCAGCTCATTCAATCCTCAGTGGCTCTAAGTGGTAGATATAATTAGCCCTATCTTAGCATGAGGACACGAAGACTCAGAAAGATGCTCAAGTTCACTAGAAATTAACCAAATAGTGATTCAATCTCTAACCTGTCACACTGGAAAGTCTCTATTAGTCCATCAAATTTATTATCCCAGCATCTTGGGAAAATGTGGGCTTCTGGACATCTTACCTAGGCTAAGGTAAATTAAGACTGTTTCAACTATGTTCCAATATATGTTATTCCTACCTGATTTCATTTCCAAAAGAGTATTGTTATCAATTTCATGGTTAGCTTTTCCAGGCTGAGGAACTCGCAGTGGTATGATCTGAGGGACACACACTGAACCAGCAGTCATATTCTCCCCTTTCATAGAAAAACAGATAAAAATAAATCCCTTCATGCACCTATATCCCAACACAAAAACTATAGAGCCACAGCACCTATTTAAATGCAGAAAATCTAATAAAATGTAAAAAGGATATTGTTAATACACTACCTACAACTATTCCATTTTAATTGATATAACTATTATATTTTTGCTTGTGAGGCCTTATATGGGGGTTTCCCTAGTCTCTTTCTTTCCTAAGAAAGAAAGAATAAATGAAATGGGGGAAACGGAGTTACTTTGAATGGGTAATAAAAGAAATAGGCAGACAGAGACTACCATGATTGCTCTGATCTGTTTCCTTGGATCAGTATTACCCTTCCCTGCCTCCAGCTACAGTTCTATCTTGGCAAGTCACCTCAGGTGGGAACTTATCCCCTCAGGTAAAGGCATCACACAAGAGATAATAAGGCTATGTATACAGCAGGAAATGTTCATTTGCAGCCAACTCCTTTGGGAAAGCTTTGGGTCCATACCCTGCCTTTTCCAACACAGTGAGTTTAGTGCTGAAAAATTGCAGACACTTTAGAAGAATTGGAGTCTTAATTTTCAGTGGAAAGGTAGTTGGCACAGATATAGTGTGCAACAAACAAGCTTTCGATTCTACCTACTGTATTCGTAAATAATCACCACTAGGGAGACCTTTCTGGTCTTTCATTTTGGAAAGGTATCCTAATTTTTAATGCATAGGTCTCAGGTTGGGGGAGGGGAACAACCCTAACTCCACGTTAGTACAGCAGCCATTTATATTGCTGTATTGCCTTTTCAAACGTCAACAATTATGGATACTTTAATAGTGTGGTATTGTCATTCTCATTTTACATTGAATAATTTTCTATGATTTATATAAACTTATCTATCAATTTGTGATTGGGCAACTAGGCTATTTATAGACGTTTTTATTTTAGTTCTTGCAGTTCTCGTGTTGCTCTGAGCATGTTTGTGGTTTGAGTTTGGCCAGACTGTAGTCTGGAAATTGAGAGAACTAAATCAAAGAGGTGAACTCAATACCTTGTTGGATAATTCTTGATCAAGGGCCAATAATATAAACTGCAGATACTGATAGGGCAACATTTGATCCTACAGAAGTGAGGCTGAACGTGGGGGAACTTGGCCATAATCGTATTTCCATTCAAGTGAAGGGCAATTCAAATAAAAAATAGCTGACAATTCTAAATAAATACAGTGAGAGAGAGACGAATTCTCAGCGCAGGGACTAGTGACTGCCCTTGGGATGCTGGTGTGACCTCACACAAAGGGGTTGGAGGAAAAGGCTTATCTAAACGCAAATTGCCGCGCGCAATTAGTGGAAACCCATCACCCACGACCCAACGCCCTCCTCCTGGACCACCGCCATGCTCCTGGGACCAGAGCCCGTCTAGTTCTCACCCCCGCTGGGCTGTCAGGCCTGCTTCCTTACGGCTGGAGCGAAAGAGGCCCTCCTCTCTCTCCCCCAAATGCAACAAGAAATCAACTGCGTCCCCAGCCCCTTAAACCACCCCCAGCAAGGTCACCGCAGCTCGCCACCCAGTCACCCACCTCTGACCGCTTCAGGCCTCTTCCCTTCTTCACAGCCCGGTTACCACAGACGCCGCAAGATTTGCCCCGCCTACTGGAAGCTGAGCAGATGATTGGCGGGAAAATCAGATTCCTAGCAACTAGCCCCGCCCCTGTCTCTGGGACCAGCTAGGCTAACCTTTCCCGTGGCTTTACTATAGGCATCCAAGAATATGCCTTCACAGAATTTGAAAAACACTAGAAGGTGGAGCGCCTACCTAATGAGAATGAAGAACACAAGTTTATTCGTTCATCATATGCTGAAATTTCTGAATCACAACATTTTGGAGCTGTAGTGAGTGGGATGCAGCAGGCAAGGATTGGACGCCCCACGCCGACAGACAAGGAAGGACCCTCTGCGACGCGAAGGAGAAGGACCCGCTTCCCAGCTTGTAGTTTGTGGCCTCCCGTGGTTCCGGGGTTAGTTTCTTCCTTCAGATCCGGGAACTGAGCGCTATGGCTGAGGTGAAGGTGAAGGTGCAGCCCCCTGACGCCGATCCGGTCGAAATTGAAAACAGGTGAATCATTGAGGCTCCGTTTTTGACTCCAGATGGCCTCCACCCCTGTTCCCTGCAGGCGGCCTCCTGCAGGCCCCTGCAGGCCCTACGGGACTCCTTTCCTAAGGGAGAGGCTGGAACTAGTGGGGGGAGCACGAGGGAGCCGGGTTCTGTATGCATACCCCATTTGAAAGCTTGCAACTTTTGTAATTGGCTTTGTCGTAATAAGGTTCTCCCTTTCTAAGGGAGAAACAAGTAGTATCCATAAGTAGTAGGTTACTACCTGTAATCCAGGGTTACTCTATCACTCATTAAAGGAACTCAGGACTGGACGCTGGACGGATCAGGGCTCAGTTTGTGATTACAAAGCAACTTTAAGCCAAATCATTTCACTAATTATCCTGTAGCTTCTTTAATATTATGTGTGCTGTTACTACTACACTGCTGTTTATAGATTATCACAATATTTTAAATGACCTCAACTTTGCCAAGCTATTATGACTAATACATTTGTTGATTTTTAAGAAGACTTGGATTTACTTGATAAAGGTAATTCCTTCCCCAAACAGCCCCCAGTTATAGGGAATTATCATTAAGTTTTGGCTTCCCACCGGAAATGTTTGCCCTTGTTTCCTGCTGACCGACTAGTGGCCTAACGTTGTTCTTATTCCAGCAGAGAAAATTGATGTCGCAGCTTTAACATTTAACTCTACTCTTTGTAACAAGCAAACACATTGTTATTAATATCTTTGTTTCTAGAATTATAGAATTATGCCACCAGTTCCCACATGGAATCACAGATCAAGTAATTCAGAATGAAATGCCTCATATAGAAGCCCAACAACGGGCAGTGGCCATCAATAGACTGTTGTCTATGGTAAGATGAATTCCAACTACGTCCTGTCATTTCTAATATAGTGTTACCTTGTAGTTGTGATGGCTAACTTCATTGTACCAATTTAAGTGAGAGATGGAGCCTCTAAATTTAGTTTTCTGGTCCCACCTTGCCACCTGATGGGGCCGAGGGGAGGGAAGGAAGTGTCATAGTTCATCTGGTATGTAAGTAAATACCTAAGACTAATTTTCCAATGTTAAATATAGGAATGGGGCCCCTCCCATTCACAGTTTCCCAGAATGACCTGAAGTCCAATGGTACAGGCATCCAGGTTCTCTTGATGTCCTAAGGCAATTCAGAAGTATGTCAGAACATACTTTATTTTACTTTTGGTTCATTATATAAGGGAATACTACCATAAGCGTTTATTCATTTCTTGATATTTCTGCCAAATTTCATATAGCACAATAAAATTATGCATAAAGCTAGGCACTGGTGCCTCACACCTGTAATCCTAGGCACTAAGGAGGCTGATATCTGAGGATCATGGTTCGAAGTCAGCCTGGGTGTGAAAGCCCATGAGACTCTTATTTCCAGTTAACCAGCAAAAAGCTGGAAGTGGAGCTATGGCTCAAGTAATTAAGCACCAACCTTGAAAACAAAGCCCAGTGAGAACTTGAAGACCTGAGTTCAGGCTCAGATCAACACCAAATAAATAAATACAGTTGTACATCATTAAATATTATTGTTAACCTCATAATTTTATTTAGTCATTGTGGTACGGACCACACGTTTACCCTTTATCCGAACTTTTTAATTTTACAAGTTTTACTTTTATATTTGTATTATATGATGCAGATTTAGATTTGAGTATTGATTTTTATGTATTGTTCAAAATCTGCTTTTGGAAAATTCCTTAGGTATTAGCCATATAACTAACCTAGGATACAGCATATGAGACGTTGTTTTGTGGGGTTTTTTGTTTTGTTATGTTTTTTTTTGCCAGTCCTGGGCTTGAACTCAGGGCCTGGGCATTGTCCCTAAGGTTCTTTTTACTCAAGGTTAGCACCCTACCATTTGAGCCACAGCACTACTTCTGGCTTTTTCTGTTTATGTGGTAAAGAGGAATCTAACCCAAGGCTTCTTGTATGCTAGACAAGTACTCTACCACTACACAACATTCCCAGCCCTTGGGAAATTATTAATACTAGTATTTTAAATATATTGAAATAGTTAAGTTTTTAAAAATACATGTGACAAGCTGGGCACTAATGGCTTACGCCTTTAATCCTAGCTACTCAGAAGGCTGAGATCTGAGGATCGCAGTTCAAAGCCAGGCTGGGCAGGAAAGTCAATGAGACTCATATCTCCAATTAACCACCAGAAAACTGGAAGTGGTACTGTGGCTGAAGTGGTAGAGCACTAGCCTTGAGTTGAAGAGCTCAGAAACAATGCCCAGGACCATAGTTCAAGCCTCATATCTGGCCCAAAAAAACCCACAGAAATTCATGTGACAGAAAGCTAAGTCTCAAGTGGAGAGCTGACAAATAAATTTTAGTCTGCATAGTAAAAATATTAAAGAATACAGTAACATTTGTTATTAGAATTTATGTACCTTATAATTGACATCTTATTTTCTGTTTTTAAAATTATTTAGGGTCAATTGGATCTCTTAAGGAGTAATACTGGTCTTTTATATAGAATAAAGGACTCTCAGAATGCTGGGTAAGCAACTATTTTTTTCTTTTAATAAAGCCTTAATTATCATAATTGTAATGTATGTGTTAGGAAAAAAGGTAATGCAGAATTGCACAGTGTAGCCAGGTATGGTGGTGCATTCCTCTCACTCAAGCAAAAGGGTCAAAAGGGTCAAAAGTTTGAGGGAAGTCTTGTCTATATAGTGAAACTTTGTCTCAAAAACAAAAAGCAAACAAAAAAGCCAGGTGCCAGTGGCTCATCCTTGTAATCCAAGCTACTCAGGAGGATGAGATCTGGAGATAGAGGTTCAAAACCAGCCCAAGCAGAAAAGACCATGAGACTCTTATCTCTAATTAACCAGAAAAAAGCTGGAAGTAGAACTTCGGCTCCAGTGGTAGTGCTAGCCTTGAGTAAAAAAGCTAAGGGACAGAGCCTAGGCTCTGAGTTAAAAAAAGAGAGAAAGAGAGAGAGGGAGAGGGAGGGGAGAAGGAAAAGGAAAGAAGGAAGGAAGAGAGAAAGATAGAGAAAAAGGGAAAAAGGGAGAGAGAGAGAGAGAGTATAAATTTGTCTTGTATATCATTCTTGCTTTCTGTCATATATTTCATTTCCCAGAGTAACCACTCTTTTAAAAAATGAGATATGTATCCTTTCTTGTATATTTAAACTCATAAATGATTCTATATTTATATATTGTACATTCATATATAATCTTTTTTTTAAAAACAAAAATGGGATCCTGCTGTCCATATTGTCTTATAACTTATTTTTTTCACTTACTATATCTTGGACATCTTTTCATGTTGATACACACAGCTCTGTCTCATTCTTTTTAAGGTAAGCCCTTCTTTTGGTAAATAAGTTAATATGCTGGCTTTGATAATTTCTTTAAGTAGTCATTTAGATTTTTGTACATCCTATACCCCCTTTCTTCTTAAAGTCTGCTTCATTCCTCTGCAGGAAAATGAAGGGATCAGATAACCAAGAAAAACTAGTATATCAAATCATAGAAGATGCAGGAAATAAAGGTAAGCTTGTGAAGAATGGAGCAGAAAACACATTGGTTTGGGGTCGAGATATAACAAGATCCCAGCTATCCAGAGTAAAACTTAGTGCTGTAGCATTTGTATAAAATAGGAAGGAAAGGAATAAAACATACACTTATAAAAATACATGTGCTTGGGCTGGGAAGGTGGCTCAGTGGCAGAGCGCTTGCCTTGCATGCCTGAGTCCCTGGGTTCGATTCCCCAGCACCTCATAAGCAAAAAGAAAAAAGCCGGAAGTGGCGCTGTGGCTCAAGTGGTAGAGCGCTAGCCTTGAGCTGAAGAGCTGAGGGACAGTACCCAGGCCCAGAGTTCAGGCCCCACGACCAGACCTCCCCCCCCAAAAAAAAAAAAAATACATGTGCTTGAAGGATACATAGGAGTAATGTCATTGTTTCTGTGAGGAAGATGGGGGAATTAAACGGTTCTAAGCCACATTTATTTAAAACTTAAAGTTTTTTTTTTTTTAATTCTCACTTTTTTTTTTTTTTTTTTTAGCTATACAGCTACCTTAGCCTGTTTTCTGATGCTGTAACTATCACAGACTGGGTGGTTTTATAAAAGAAAGTATTTCTTAGAATATTAGAAGAATCTTGTTAAATCCTTCTTGCTAGTAGGGATTCTTTGAAGAGTCACAAGATGGCACAGGTTATCACAGTGAGACAAAGCAAGCCAGCAGAGAAACTTTTCTTTTGGAAGTTTTTGTTTGTTGCAGTACTAGAGATTGAAGGACCTTGCATATGCAGGGCATGAACTATGTATTGTACAAAAGATCATTTTTCACTGGGCACTGGTGGCTAAAATCCTAGTCACTTAGGAGGCTTAGATTTGAGAATTAGAGTTCAGAGCCAGCCTGGGCAGGAAAGTCTCTGAGACTCTTATTTCCACTTAACCACCAAAAAAACAGAAGTAAAGGTGTGACTCAAAGTGGTAGAGCACTAACCTTGAGCAAAAAAGCTCAGAGATAGTGCCCAGGCTCTGAGTTTAAGGCCCATGATTGACAGAAAAAAAAGTTCATTTTTTTCTAACAGGCATTTATTCTACTTCTCAAAAAACATTAATATATGACTGAAGATTATATTTCCAAACCATGAAATATGGGGAAACTTTCAAACCAAAGTGATGACCTTGAACAAATTACTTAAGCTTTGTGAGCCTTAGTTTTTTCATCTTACCTGTAAATTGTGGATAATGACATCTCTGGTTTTGCAAAGACCAGAGGATGCATACTGCAGCATGACAGTGTTTTGATATATGTTCTTCAATAGTTACACTTCCCTTCCTATCCCTCTTGAAGAACCGTATCAAGCTGAATGTGATAATACATGCCTATAATCCTAATACTTGAAAGGCTGAAGCTAGAAGATCACGATATTGAGAACAGCTTGCACCATGCTAAAATAACCAAACAAGCTAGGCACTGGCTGTTACTGGCTACTCAGGATGCTAGGGTAAAGGTTCAAAGCCAGCCTGGAGCCAGTGTCTGACTCATGCCAGTAATCCTAGCTACTCAGGAGGCTGAGATCTGAGGACTGCTGTTCAAAGCCAGTCCTGGCAGGAAAGTCCATGAGACTATTATTTGCAGTTAACCACCAGAAAGCTAGTAGTTGTGTCTAATGTGTTAGAGTGCCAGCATTGAGGAAAAAAAATCTCAAGGTCAGTGCCTAGGCCCTGAGTTCCAACTGCAGGACCAACACACAAAAAAATATTAAAACAAAAACAAAAAAACAGTCTGGGCAGGAATCTCCATGAGACTCTTGCCTCCAGTTAATAACCAAAAAGCTGGAAGTAGAGTTGTGGCTCAAGTAGTAGAGCACCAGTCCTGAGTGAAAAAGTGAGTGAAATTTGTGATTGGCCCTGAGTTGAAGCTCTAGTATTGATTGGTGCACGCGCACACACACACACACACACACACACACACACACACACTCACACTGCTATCAAGATTGTAGTTAAGCCTGTGCTGGTAGCTCACACCTTTAATCCTAGCTACTCAGGAGGCTGAGATCTGAGGATCGTGTTTCAAAGCCAGCCCAGGCAGGAAAGTCCATGAGACTCTTATCTCCAATAAACCACTCAGAAAACCAAGTGGCACTGTGGCTCAAGTGGTAGAGTGCTAGCTTTGAGCTGAAGAGCTGAGGGACAATGTCCAGGCGCAGAGTTCAAGCCCCACAACCGACCAAAAAAAAAAAGATTGTAGCTAATATGCCTTAGGATCTATTTGTGTCACTGACAATGGCTTGTAAAAATATTATTTGAAATTGTATAATTAAGTGTATTTTACAGTGAATTAGTGTTCTTTTTTTTTTTTTTTTTTTACCAGTTCTAGGGCTTGAATTCTGGGCATGCACTTTGTCCCTGCATGCTGTTCCTGAGCATGCTGTTCAAGGCAAGCACTCTACCACTTGAGCCAAAGCGCCACTTCTGGCTTTTATTTTTTTTTGGTAGTTTATTGGAGATAAGAGTCTCATGGGGTTTCCTACCCAAGCTGGCTTTGAACCACAATCCTCAGATCTCAGCCTCCTGAGTAACTAGAATTATAGGTGTGAGCCACTGGTACCTGGCTAAATTAACATTCCAAAAACAGTCCTACAGCCAGGTGCCCATGGCTCACACATATAATCCTAGCTACTTAAGAGGCTGAGATATGAGAATTGTAGTTCAAAGCCAGCCTAGGCAGGAAAGTCTTTTATCTTTTGAGCCACCAGAAAACGAAGTGTTGCCGAGGCTCAAATGGTAGAGTGCATGCCTTGAGCTGAAGAGCTCAGGGACAGGGCCTAGGCCCAGAGTTCAAGCCCCATGACTGACAACAACAACAACAAAAACAGTACTACACTGGAAAAAAAAGAAAGCAAAAATTTTAGTTATTGTCATTTGTTTTCTGAGACAAGATCTTACTAACCTAGGCTAGTCTTTTTTTCTTTTGGTCAGTCATGGGACCTGAATTCTGGGCATAGGCACTGTCTCTCAGCTCTTCCACTCAAGGCTAGTGTTCTACCACTTGAGCCAAAATGCCACTTCCAGCTTTTTCTGCTTATGTGGTGCTGAGGAATTGAACTCAGGGCTTCATGCATGCAAGTCAAGCACTCTACTACTGAGCCACCTTCCCAACCTAGGCTGGTCTTGACTAGGTCTACCTGCCTCCATCTCTCAAGTGCTGATTATGTTATCTATATTCTAGATGTTTTCCAGCATGCTTAACTAAGCAGAATATTTTTATTTACCTTTTTTTCCACATGTAATATTTATTTTCTCTTTGAAAGAATAATCATGTCTTCCCACAATTAGTTTTTAGTAGCTACAAAAATGAACAATAGGCTGGGAAGGTGGCTCATTGGTAGAGTGCTTGCCTTGTATGCATGAGGCCCTGGGTTCAATTCCTCAGCACCACATAAGCAGAAAAAGCTGAAAGTGGCGTTTTGGCTCAAGTGGTAGAGTGCTAGCCTTGAGCTGAAGAGCTGAGGGACAGTGCCCAGGCCCAGAGTTCAGGTTCCACGACCCACAAAAAAAAAAAAAAAAAAGCCAGAAATATTTTTTTTTAATTTTACAATGTAATGTGATATAAATAATGGATATATATTCAAACATTCAGCTTAAAAAAATTTTTTTTTCAGAGAGGTGGCAGTTGACTTGACCCAAATTAAAATGAAAATGAGGGGCTGGGAAGGTGGCTCAGTGGTAGAGCACTCGCCTTTTATGCCTGAGGCCCTGGGTTTGATTCCTTAGCACCACATAAGCAAAAAGAAAAAAGCTGGAAGTGGTGCTGCGGCTCAAGTGGTAGAGCGCTAGCCTTGAGCTGAAGAGCTGAGGGACAGCGCCCAGGCCCAGAGTTCAGGCCCCACAACCGGACTCCAAAAAAATAAAATAAAATGAAAATGATCAGAAACTATCAATGAAGCTGGGTATCAGTGGCTTATGCCTATAATCCTACCTACTCAGGAGGCTGAGATCTGAGGATTGCAGTTCAAAGCCAGCCCAAGTAGGAAAGTCCATGAGACTCTTACCTCTAATAAACCAGAAAACCAGAAGTGATGCTGTAGCTCAAGTGGTAGAGCACTAGCCTTGAGCTGAAATGCTGAGGGACAGAGCCCAGGCCCACAGTTCAAGCCTCGCAACCAGCAAAAAAAAAAGAAAAGAAAAAGAAACTAGTGATTAGTGTAAGGAATGGATGGAAAATACGTTAAAATTCAACAGTATTCATGTTTTTTCCCCCCAGTATAAAAATGTCCTTTTCATGTTTTGTTTTGTTTTGTCAGTCATGGGGCCAATCTCTGGGCCTGAATGCTGTCACCTCAGCTCTTCAGCTCAAGGCCAGAACTCTACCACTTGAGCCACTAAGCCACTTATGATTTTCTGAGCGGTTTATTGGACATAAGAGTCTCACGGTCTTTCCTGCCTGGGCTGGCTTTGAACCGTGATCCTCAGATCTCAGCCTCCTGAGTAGCTAGAATTACAGGCGCATACCACCAGTGCCCAGCTTCTTTTCATGTTTTTAAAAAGGTGCCTGAATGAGATTCCTAGAAATTTCTAGTTCTAATATAAAGTGTATGGCTTATTTACTATCTTTGTTAACAGAACAATGAATGTTTTTTAAAAAGGTTTCTTTTTCCTCTACGTTCCTTAAATTTCCTAACATTATTACATAAATTTGTTTTTTTTTCTAAAGGGTTTGCTGTCAATTTATTTTGATTATTTAGAATGAGATATAGGTAATGAATAGAAACACACATTGTACTTCAACTTGTTTTAATTTCCCATAGGAATATGGAGCAGAGATATTCGATACAAAAGCAACTTGCCATTAACAGAAATCAACAAAATTCTAAAGAATTTGGAAAGTAAAAAGCTTATCAAAGCTGTTAAGTCTGTAGCAGTGAGTAATTTTCCTTATATATGTTGTTATAAGTGTACTTCAGGGTTTTATTCTTCAGTCTATGCTATGATTTAAAGCAACTGCTCCCAAAAAAGGACTTTTAAAAAAGCACTTTTCTGAAGTTGAGAAGTTTTTTCCAGCTGGGCCCTTGTGGTTCATGCCTATAATCCTAGCTGCTCGGGAAGTTGAGATCTGAGGATCAGGGTTCAAAGCCTGGGCAGAAAAGTCCATGAGACTCTTATCTCCAATTAACCACCAGAAAACCAGAAGTGGTGCTATGGCTCAAGTGGAAGAACACTAGCCTTGAGCTGAAGAGCCAAGGGACAGTGCCTAGGCCCAGAGTTCAAGCCCCAAAAAAACAAAAAAAAGTTTTTTCCCCATCAAGGAACCATTCTAATCCTAAAAATTAGCTCACACTGGCCAGGGACCTGAATTTCAAGCCCCAAACCAGTGTGTTAAGTGTCCGCTGCGCTGAGCACACATGTGCATACACACCTATTAACCTGAGTTGGAGATACTATTTTTTCACTGCCTAATTGATGTCTTACCCATTCCAAACTAAAACTTCTTCAGTGAACTCATTTTGAAGAACACTTTTCCTAGTTTTTATACTGTGAGATCAAGTTTACTTTATTCTAACATGTGTTAGCATATATATTCAGCATATAGCTAGTGGTGTGTTCTAGGCACATACTCTGGGTGCTTGGGATCCTTAGTGAGCAAGTCAGAGATAGATGCCTTCCCTGGATCTTTTGGTAGTGTCTGTCCTGGATACCTGTAGTGTCTCCTATACTATATTGGTGTTTCTTATCTTTCTAACCAAACTGGAATGTTTACTGGTGTAAAGAAATGAGTTGCTATCCTAAAAAGACATGGAAAATCTTTAATTCATATTGCTCAGTGAAAGAAGCCACTCTGAAAAGGCTACATACTCTACACTCCAAAAACCTATCTAACTTTGTGGAATTCTAGCAAGACTGCAGACACAGTGATAAGCTAAGTGGTTACCAAGGTATCGGCATGGGAGTAGGGAGAAGTTGAATAAGAGAAGCATGGGAGATATTTTAGGGGCAGCAAAACTGTTCTATATGATACAAGCTTGCATTAAACATGTATCAAAATTATAGAAAATAGCTGGGCACTGGTGGCTCACGCCTGTAATCCTAGCTACTCAGGAGGCTAAGATATGAGTATCATGGTTCAAAGCCAGCCCAAGCAGGAGACACTACCAATTCACCACACGAAATCCAGTTTATCACAAGAAAACCATAAGTGGTGCTGTGGCTCAAGGTGGTAGAGAGTTAGCCTTGAACAAAAGAGCTCAGGTATAGCACCCAGGCTCCAAATTCAAGACCCACTACAAAACCACCAACAATAAAACCCCCAAAACTATAGTAATTGATAGCACAAAGAGTAATTTTAATGTGCATTAAATTTTATAAAATCATTTAGGAATTAGGCAGATCCCAGGGTACAATAAAACAAGGAACTAAATGTATTACAGAATGTAAGAAAACAACCTGAGTGAAGCAGGTAGAGGAATAAGGTGCTGTCCTGTAAAAAGGAATGTACATAAGTACTTTTCTGAGTTAGGAAGTTTTTTCCCTTCAGAATCCTTGTTAACCATTCCAATCCTAACTATACAGTGTATTAGACTTAAACATTTTATGAAAGTGAAGTGGCATGCTGGCAGCAATGTAATTCTGACACAAGTTAAAGGCAGTTTTACCCCCTTTCAGGACTGCCCTCACTGTAGACACCAACACAAGTTTGGGAACTTTCTCCACATATTTGTAATAATTCTTGTGTAGGTTTTTTTTAATATGTAGGCAGCCTAAGAAAGACAAAGGAAATATGCACCTCCTGTTCCCCAAAATATTTAGGCATGCCAGATGGTCTTCCAAGTTGTGTTTCTAATAATTCTGTACATGTGAAACTTTTTAAAATAAGAATTTAAAATAAGAATTCTTACTTTAAAAAGTATGTCATTTTAAAAAATCATTAAAAATACATGAACTGTGCCCCTTTTTTCCTAGGCCTCCAAAAAGAAAGTATATATGCTGTACAACCTGCAGCCAGATCGGTCTGTGACTGGTGGTGCCTGGTACAGTGACCAGGATTTTGAATCTGAATTTGTAGAGGTGCTTAACCAACAGTGTTTCAAATTTCTACAATCCAAGGTGAGACAGAGTTAAGAAAACCTTTCTTTTATGTGATTCATAAAAGATTCTTGATCTTGTGTGTAATACTTTATGAAGATAGCAATTTTTACTAAACAGAGTATGTTTTGCTGTTGGTTTGTTTCCGTATAAATTGTATTCAGAGCCAGGCATCCGTGGCTCACGCCTGTAATCCTAGCTACTCAGGAAGCTGAGACTGAGGATCACAGTTCAAAGCCAGCCCGGGCAGGAAAGTCTGTGAGACTCTTATCTCCAATAAACCACTAGAAAACCGGAAGTGGCGCTGTGGCTTGAGCAGTAGATTGCTTGCCTTGAGCTGAAGAGCTGAGGGATAGCGTCCAAGCCCAGAGTTCCAGCCCCACAACTGACCCCCCAAAAAAAATTGTATTCAGAAAGCATTGACTAGGCTGGGAATGTGGCTTAGTGGTAGAGTGCTTGCCCTGGGTTTGATTTCTCAGTACCACATAAACAGAAAAAGCCGGAAGTGGCACTGTGGCTCAAGTGGTAGAGTACTAGCCTTGAGCAAAAGAAGCTCAGGGACAGTGCCCAGGCCCTGAGTTCAAGCCCCAGGATCTACAACAACTACAAAAGCATTGACTAACATTCTTGCTTAGATCTTTTATGTTTCATCCCTTACAGGCAGAAACAGCACGAGAAAGTAAGCAGAATCCAATGATACAAAGAAATAGCTCATTTGCTTCCTCCCATGAAGTGTGGAAATATATCTGTGAATTAGGGATCAGTAAGGTCAGAACTTTCTTTCTTACCTTCCATGTAAAACCTGTTCTTCATATAGACACAGATTACAATGAATACCCAGCATATTTGACCTAGACCTCTTTCGGGTGAGAGCTGTGAATTTTCTGCACTAGTCACTTTGGGAAAACACTGTCTTAGTCTTAGTAAAGGCAGCCATTATTCCATGACATTGGTAAATATTGTTGAGCTTGGAACATAAGAGCAACAGAGTATAGAACTGGCAGTACATTTCACCACCCAAAGTCTGTCCTAACAAGTTCTTGACTCACATATGCATAGTTAAGTATGTGTGCAAAATATCAGCCATACCATCAGTTTTTATTGGTATTGGCAGCATTCTTTTGAAGACTTACACATGAGAACATTGATGATTTTAATCATCAGAAAAGTAGCCACATTGGCAATTGGACATATCTTTTTTATTTCCTGAGCTCTAAATTTCTCATTTATAAAGGAATAGGAACTTGGACTGTTTGATGTCTAAAGTATCTTTCTGTTAAAGCATTTTAAGAATCTGTCAAGTGGCGCTGTAGCTCAAGTGGTAGAGCGCTCGCCTTGAGCTGAAGAGCTGAGGGACAGCGCCCAGGCCCAGAGTTCAAGCCCCACGACTGACAAAAAAAAAAAAAAGAATCTGTCAAATTCTTGCCAAAGAAATGTTACTTTGTGAGATCTAGATTTTTCCTAAAATTATGACATCAGAATGTGTCACATTGAGCAAAAAGTTAGCCTTCTGCTCCTCGCATTTCAGCAGACCATTGTTTACCTTGTACTTTTTTTTTTTTTTTTTGGTCATGGGGCTTGAACTCTGGGCCTGGGCACTGTCCCTGAGCTCTTCAGCTCAAGGCTAGCACTCTACACTTGAACCACAGCTCTTCTTCTGGTTTTCTGGTGGTTAATTGGAGATAAAGAGTCTCATGGACTTTCCTTCCCGGGCTAGCTTTGAATCATGGTCCTCAGATCTCAGCCTCCTGAGTTGCTAGGAATTATAGACGTGGGCCACCAGCACCCAGCTCTTTTTGTATTTTTTATTAATCTCTCTAGCACATTACTTCTCCATTTCATAGAAGAACTTTGCTGCTTATAACATTGTACAAAAGGATTTCCTTATCCTTTATGCATCTTTCCTTTGTCCTTTCTTAGGTAGAGTTGTCCATGGAGGACATTGAAACCATCCTGAATACACTCATTTATGATGGGAAAGTGGAGATGACTATCATTGCTGCAAAAGAAGGCACAGTTGGCAGTGTAGATGGACACATGAAACTGTACAGGGCCGTCAATCCAATCCTCCTACCTACGGGTTTGGTCCGGGCACCCTGTGGTCTCTGCCCGGTACGTTAAAACAGCTTCATTTCACCCTTGACTACTACCAGGCTCAAATGCCACCTAGACAGAGCAACATAGTTGATTTCCCAGATTCTTGGGATTGACCAACAGTTACTCAAACCTCCATGTTCCCTAAGGAACAAATATTACCTCAAACTCAAAATAATCAGGTTAAAGACATCGGCAGTTTCTGCTCATGGCCTTAAAATGGACACTTAGATAAGGGCTAGAGACAAAAATAAGATTTGAAAACCTACTATGGGCTAGGCATGTTTTTAATGAGTTTTATGTTGTCTCATTTGAACCTCCATATGTCCTTGGAACTAATGGTGTTATTTCCCCTAATGAACAAGGGAACTTATGTTTGAGGGGTACAGCTTAGTAGTAAAGTGCATGCTTAGCATGTACAGGCCCCAGGTTCAATTGAAATCAGTTAAAAAGGGGGATGGTGGGACTTAGGCTTGAGAAAACCTAAGAACATCAGCTTAGTTATCTCTTTATTTAAGCCCAGATAATCTTTTTCCCAGCATGCCTTAGCAGTTCCATTAAATCCTATTTAAGTGGCTGGGAAGGTAGTTCAGTGGTAGAGCACTTGCCTGTATGCATAAGGCCCTGGGTTCAATTCCTCAACACCACATAAGCAAAAAGAAAAAAGCCAGAAGTGGCGCTGTGGCTCAAGTGGTAGAGCGTTAGCCTTGAGCTGAAGAGCTGAGGGACAGCGCCCAGGCCCAGAGTTCAGGCCCCATGACTGGACCCCCCTAAAAATAAATAAATAAATAAAATCCTATTTAAGAGTGCCAACCATATGCTGAAGGCACTGAGGCTGCCAAAGAGCAAGAGATTTCAATCCTTGTGGCATTATGTTCTTGAGCTGCTAGTATGCCATATTTTGTTGTATGCCATATTCCTTATACCTGTCTTTCTTTCCTTGGTTTCAAGTCCTAGACAGAATGTTAACAGGGGAAATTCTGTTTAGTTTCCTTCTTAGGAATGAAGGTAGCTAAATATGAAACATTTCTATGTGTAAGACTATATATTCCTATGATACCTGCTGATAGCCTTTTGTTTGGTGGGCAGGCAAACATGATCAGGCCCCACCATTAACTAATTGCATAATCACAAACCAGGCATTAACACACCATGTTCTTAAATACAATCCCTAGTTATTTTTAAAGTTTTGTAAAAATACTGCTTTAAATTAAAACTATTTTTAAAGTATTTTAAATGCTACTTTTAAAGTATTTTAAAGATTTTAAAACTTCATTTTGAATATAAACTTTTGTTTTTTAAGGTTTTTGATGACTGCCATGAAGGTGGTGAGATTTCACCATCTAATTGTATTTATATGACAGAATGGCTTGAATTTTAATATTTAATACAGAACTATGAACTTTATTAAACATTTTCAAATGAAGTTACTTTGAGACCGAATAATTCATGATGGAACATCAGAGTTCTTTGAAAATATACTTCACAGTAATGGATACAGACTTGCTGCTATGAAGACTTTTTTTTATTTATGAAGATTAAATTTATATTGGAAGAGTAGCCAACAGAAAATGAAACAGAACAGTGAAATCCATTCCTCAACAAATAAAATACATTGAAGCTCTGGAAAACCACATCTTTGAAGTTTCAAGACTTGGTTCAAGGAAAAAGAAGACAACAAACCTATATTTACTACTACTATGGTAATGATTAAAGCACTCAAGTTTTCATTTTAGGGCTAGGGCATGGGCTTAAGTGATAAAGTGCAATACCTTTCATTCAATATTCAGTCCTCAGTAGAGCCAAAGTAATAATAATCAAGCTGGGCCCTGGTGGCTCACGATTATAATCCTAGCTACTAAAGAGGCTGAGATCTGAGGATCACGGTTCAAAGCCAGCCCAGGCAGGAAAGCCCATGAGACTAATCTCTCCAATAAACCACCAGGAAACTGGAAATGGCGCTGTGGCTCAAGTGGTAGAGCACTAGCCCTGAGCTGAAGAGCAGAGGGACAGTGCCAGCCCCAGAGTTCAATCATCTTCACCGATAAAAAATAAGTAGATAATTAGCCAGACTTATTTAAATTAAGGGCTTCATTGGAAACTTTTTGTTCTTTTTTTTGGTGGGGGGGCAGGGCCTGGACACTCTCCTGTGCTCCTTTTGCTCAAGGCTAGCACAACCACTTTGAGCCACAGCACCGTTTCTGGTTTTCTGCTGGGTAATTGGAGATAAGAGCCTCATGGATTTTTCTTGCCCAGGTTGGCTTTGAACCTTGATCCTCAGATACCTGCTTCCTGAATAGCTAAGATTACATGCATGAGTACTAGTGCCCAGCTTGGAAACTTTCTTTATTGGGTTTGTTACTACCATTTGGGTTTCTTAATTTCTCTCTGTTTCATTGAGAAGAAACTAAAAGTGGTAAAGGTAGAAAGAGCAGAGATGCAGGAATGTATGCAAACTTCGGGCATGACTGGATGAGTAGAACGTCTTTTCTACATACTACTCCATTTTATATCAGTATTATTCTTTCAGAGGATTATGCTGCCATATACTTAGCCCAATCCCAAATGATGACTACTGTCAAGGGATATATTTTCACTGCATAAATATTAATGATTTGGGGCAGTCTTGGGGCTTGAACTGAGGGCCTGGGCACTAACTCTGAGCTGCTATTTTGCTCAAGGCTAGAGCTCTACCACTTAAATCACAGCACCACTTCCAGCCTTTTCTGTTTATGAGGTACTGAGGAATCGAACCTAGGGCTTCATGCATGCTAGGCAAGCACTGTACCACTGAACCACATTCCCAGTCCCTTAAGACTCATTTTCATTGTAAAGGGAGTATAAATTTCCCTCTTTGACATAATTATATTTGCTAGGATATCCCTTACCACCACCACCAAATTCATATGTTGATGGTATTTAGAGGTAGAGTCCTTGAGTGGAATTAGTGCCTTATAAAATTAGGCCCAAAGAGACATGTTGTTGTTCTTCTGTGAGAGGACACAGAAGATATCCATCGTAGAACCCAAATGGGGACCCTCATCAATGAATTTCTCAGCACCTTGATCTTGAATTTCTCAACCTCCAGAATTTTGAGAAATAAATTCCTATTGTTGATAAATCATCAGTCTGTGTTATCTTGTTATATAGTAGACAGAACTGAGACTGTTTAATCATTTAATAGACTCATCTTCAATTCATACTTTGAGAGGTCAACTAGAGACCATTGTTCTCCTACATATTTAGATTTGTTGTCTTTTTTGAAAAATGTTATGGCACTTTTAGATCTGGGCATTAGGCATATGGAAATACTAGGTTACTGTTGCACAGAAAATAGCAGTACACCTATTGTAATTTCACCTTGAAACTACGCTTCAAAGTTTCTATGTCCAGGGCTAAAAGCTTGTGGTAGGGTGCTAGCAGAGCAAGCAAGCATGAGGTTTGAGGTTCAAGCTCTGACACCAGAAAAACAAAAAAAAAATGTCTGTATCCAAGCCAACATGGAATCACAGAGTACCCTACCAAGGGGCTGAATCTTAACACCAGTTTGAAATTTAAAGGAAAGTTAGGAGAGGGAACCAACTTGGGTTCCAAATATAGACTATATTTTGGGGTTTTTGTTGGTTTGTTTTTGTCATTCGTGGGGCCTGAACTCTAGGCCTGGGCACTATCCCTCAGCTCTTCAGCTCAAGGCTAGCGCTCTACCACTTGAACCACAGCGCCACTTCCAGCCTTTTCTGCTTATGTGGTGCTGAGGAATCGAACCCAGGGCCTCATGCATGTAATGCAAGTACTCTACCACTGAGCCACCTTCCCATCCCCTGTATTGTGTTTTAATAAGCAGAAATTGAGTTCCTAAATTTACAATCAGTGACTAAAAATTTTCCTTGCCTCATTAAAATAAATAGACGCTTCAAACGATTTTCCCATATCATTTTTATTATTCTGAACATTAACTGAAGGAGAAAGAAAATACAGCACCTCTGATATACAGTTAGATTAAGTATCCTACAGAAGTAAAATAAATTGTGGACTCACAACAACAGTAAAAATTCAAGTTAGTCAATCTATATATAATATTAGGTACTTAGTTCAACTGACAATATTCTCCAGAGTGTTGAGGCCCCTCTATGTCAAATGGTGATCCATGGAGAGCTAAACAATTCTTGAGTCCATGATTCTAGTTTTTAATGAATACTTATGTGGCTCTTCACATGAACCTTCTGATTTAGACTGGCAGTGAATAAATCTTATATAGACTTATGGTCAACTAAGAACATTAACCAAAAAGAACCAATTTAGGGGCTGGAGATGTAGCTCAGAGGTAGAACACTTACCTAGAATATGTGAGGCAAGGATTCCTCTCCCCCTGACAAAAAGGTAATTTCAAATGGAGTCACTTGCTTTTTTTTTTTTTTTTTTTTAATGCTAGCCCTGGAGCTAGAACTCAGGGCCTGGTCACTGTCCCTGAGCTTCTTTTGCTTAAGGCTAGTACTCTACCACTTGAGCCACAACTCCACTTCTGGCTTTTTGGTGGTTAACTGGAGATAAGAGTCTCATGTACTTTTCCTGCCTGGTTTGGCTTCAAACCATGATCCTCAGATCTTAGCCTCCTGAGTAGCTAGGATTACAGGTATAAGTCACCAGCACCTGGCTTTGCTTTCTCTTTATTTTAAATTAGGTGTGGATGCAAAGTGTGCCCTAGAGCAGTGCTTCCCAAAAGCATTTTCTATAATAATGATTAAATTTTTAATTTTTTAACTGCTTGTGGGTACTGTTCAGATTGGGCAGAATTCAACTGTTTTAATTGTTCAATCATTAACATCAGGATAGATAGGTAGGTAGATAGATAGATAGATATTGGCATTGGAAGGGGCAGGTACCCTACCTCTTGAGCCATGCCTCTAGCCCCTTTTTGCATTAGTTATTTTCAAGGTAAACGCTCAGAGTATGCCCAGGCCAACCTCAGCTATGATACTCCTCCTTCTGCCTCCCGATGTCACTGAGGGTTACTGGCATGCACCACTGTGCCCAGCCACTGTGCTTCCATTGATATGAACCTTAAGAATATATATATCAATCCCAGCACAGGTGGCTCATGTCTGTAATCCTAGCTACTCAGGAGGCTGAGATCTGAGGATCGGCAAGAAAGCACAGTAATTCCATTTTTACCTTAAGTGGCTAAGATTATAGGCTCGAGCCACTTTAGCCTGGCTAAATTATATATTAAGGGGAGAAGGTTTCCTACAAAGGAAAAGAAACATTGTGGTCTATTGTTATTGTGTAAGTTTGTAGTTTTTTTTAGACTTCTGGAAAATAAGGTAGAGAGTAATAGAATTACTAATTGGAAATATTTCAAGTAGACTCAAACTTTGAGTACAGGTTTGGTAAAAAATTATTATTCAATTGATCTATTTACTTTTTACATAGTTACAAAATTTATTAAATAATTGGTAACAAATTCAGTAATCCCCAGGTGGATAAAGTAAAATAAGGATGTCCACTACACTATAACTAGTGAAATTCCCATCCTCCAAAGAGTTACAAGTTAAAGAGGATCTTTCCTGACTTAGAAACCAAAAAAGCTTCTCAGGCCACATCACCTTTAAGGGTAAAGTGGGAAGTCACATTTCTATACTCTGGTTCTTGCAAATATCAAGTCAGAATTCACTGGATGTTGTTTGAGGCAATATTTGGACATCACAATGGCCAACATGTTGGGAAAGTGAAAAAGGAAGTTTTTTGTGGTTTTTTTATAATCAGATGAGAAATCTTGGAATGAAAGATCTTCATATAGTTAAGAGGCTGAACTCTACAGCACAAAACTTGAAATACAGAAAGGATAAATAGGGAAGTGGCGCTGTAGCTCAAGTGGTAGAGTGCTGGCCTTGAGTTGAAGAGCTGAGGGACAGCGCCCAGGCCCAGACCAAAAAAAAAAAAAAAAACCAGAAAGGATAAATAATTTATAAGATTAATGACATTTAAACTGTTCCCATGTTTTCAATCCTTTACATCATGTTCATTTTGGTTATTTTAGGCTTTTCTTGAGTTTTATAATATAAAAAGCACTTGCTAAAGTTAAGGTTTATGACCAAGATCACAAATGGATAAATTGTTCTTTATCCTGTAGTGGGGTTTTTTTTGGGGGGCCCGGTCGTGGGGTCTGAACTCTGGTCCTGGGCACTGTCCCTCAGCTCAAGGCTAACGCTCTACCACTTGAGCCACAGCCCACTTCTGGCTTTTTTCTTTTTGCTTATGTGGTGCTGAGGAATCGAACCCAGGGCCTCATACATGCAAGGCAATGCTTTACCACTGAGCCACCTTCCCAGCCCCTGTTTTTGTTTTTTTGTTTTGCCAGCTACCATAATCTATATGAATATGGGCTGGACATAACTCACATACATATGGATTACATATAGATGCCTATATATTTCCTGAATTAAAAAACCACCATGTGAATGATGAATATTTTCCTTGAGTTTCCATATGAATTTTCCCTTGAGGGAAAAAAATATTGAAAGTGCCTTGTTACATTTCCACATGGTATGAACTTTCCACATGGCCCTAATACCAGACTTGGCCTACAAAAAGTTGGAATGCAGTTAATACACTGTGCTTCTGTTTCCTAGCAGATCCATGACTCAGAATCCTATGTGTCAGTCTGTCTCAACTTGCCTAAAGGACCTAAGGACAAGGGAGGATCACTGGTGAATGTGTGAATTTGGGCTAAATATCCTGGTCTAACTTGAACAGCAGCTTGTGTTTTAAACTCTAAGCCAGCTCTTTGAATCTTCTGTCAAAACAATCTTCCCCCAAAACAAAACAAGTTGTATTTTAAGGAGTAAGAGTCCCACTCTAGAACATACATGAAAATTAAATTTTAATCTAGACTGAGAATTAGGAAGACTGGGTTTCATTTCTGACTTACTCACTTTGAATAGAGTGGCTAACTGTCCTTATCTGTTATCAAATGGGGAAAATACGGTCTAGTTCATAGCAATACGGGAAAGTTTTAGATTCTATGGAAAATGAAAATGTTGCTTGAAACTTTGTGTGAACAATGAGACTTGAGAGTATTCCAGGCACTTTTGAAGCTTAACTGGTTGATTATATCTATTAATGGTCTGGTAGTAGATGTTATTAGTCTTCCCCTGTATTGGGATGCAAGATAGCAGGAGTTATCCTGACTATTCTGGTACTTGCAACATAGACTTAACCACACTAATCAGTTCATGAAACTCTGTGTTCTGAAAGTGACCTCGATCAGAAAACTTGTGTAATTTGGCATCCAACTTATCTGCCACTTCTTGTTGTTCTGTCCATGGAAGAAAAGGGTCATCAGTGGAGCCAAACTGCACGATGTGAGAGCAGTTGGTCTTGATCTTCTCCCACTGCCAGGGGCGGTTGAAGTATCCTACACAGAGGAGAAAAAACTATCAATGTCATGAATAACATTTTAGACATTTGGAAATACTTACGTGAAGACCATTACAGACACAGAAAATCAAAGCCTACATGAATTAGAAATATTATTTTGTTTTCAGATTTGTAGGAATACCAAGGTACTTGTGAAAAATGAGTAAAAATTTCAAAAAAACTAGCTATCTAGGATTTAGACTTTAAGTTGAAAAGAGGTCTGCAATCTCTCAATGTACCCAACTTAAATCAAAAGTGTGTGGTTCTGGCCCAGCTTAAACAGCAACTCATGTTTGAGCTTCAGGCCAGCACTTTGGACTTTTTGTCTTGTTTTCTTTCCCTGATAAAACCAAATTTTATTTTACAGAATAAAACATGTCAAAACCTAACTAGTTTTAATCTGGACTGAGAATCAGTAAACTTAGGTTTCATTTGTCATTGTGTTTCAATAAATTGAGTGTCCTCTGCAATTCTTTCTCATATGCTAGAGTTTTTGAAAAGCTTATCTGAAAAATAATAACTCTTAGAAACTGAATAGACAGCTGTATGTGTAGCGCAAGTTTTTCTAGATATTTGATCTCAGACTTACCACTTGCACGCTCATTTTCATCCCCCAAGTCAGATGTGTATGCAGACACCAATACAATAGCATATACTTGATGCGTCTCTGCATACCTGGAGAAAAAAATGTAATGTAAAATGTTACATCTACACAACAAATTATAAACTGCTTTAAAACTCATCATTTTAGAGCTGGGTGCCAGTGGTTCACACCTGTAACCCTAGCTACTAAGGAGGCTGAGATCTGAGGATCACGGTTCAAAGCCAGCCTGGGCAGGAAAGCCCATGAGACTCTTCTCTCCATTAAACCACCAGAAAACCAGAAGTGGCGCTGTGGCTCAAGTGTAGAGCACTAGCCTTGAGCTGAAGAGCTCAGGGACAGCGCCTAGACCCAGAGTTCAGGCCCCACAACTGGCAAAACAAAAAAACAAAAAAAAAAAACCAGTTGAATGTAAACTAATACAACCACTCTGGAAAGCAGTCTGGATGTTCCTCAGAAAACTAAACATAGACATACACTATTACCCAGCCATATCACTCCTAGGCATCTACTCTGAGCAACAGGATCCAGGATACAAGGACACCTGTTCATTGCTGCACTGTTCACAATAGCCAAGATATCTAAACAACCCCAAAATTGTGGTACCTATATACAGTGGAATTTTACACAGCTATTAGAAAGGATATAATAATGGCATTTGCAGGGAACTGAATGGAACTAGAACAAATCATTCTGAGCAAGATAAGCGAGGATCAGAGAGACAAATGGCACATGGTCTCCCTGATATATGGATGTTAGACTCAAAAACACAATGAGATATGACAAAGTAAACTCAAGATACCCATACACAGTGAAACCAAAAGAGGTTTTTATAGTACCCAAGGACCTCCTCATAGATGCATAAAATAACATACAGACTGAAAAGAAGACCCAAAGACAAGGAAACAAAGGACCTCTTCTTAATTTGTCGTATCATTTTTAGATGACTCTAAGTTCTTTACCTCATATATGGTGGATACACATGCACATCTGGGGGAAGTTAGGAGGAGGGCACAGAATCAGAGGAAAACTGGTGAAAAAATACAGCAGAAGAACTCATCAGCTGCACTGGACATTGATGAAAGTGAACTAAGCAATTCAAGGGTAGTGATGGGAGGGAGGGAATGAGAGCGAAAGAGGAAACAGCTGACACTAAGCAAAAAGAAAGAAATGAACATATCACCAGATTTGGAAGAAATAGTTTTATAAAAGCTCATAGAGTTCATAAGCTTTGTAGATTAAGATAATGATGATTATCATTGTAAAGGTTAAAATGTGTTTGTAACTTTAGCTAACTATACCACAGTACCATGAAATTTATGTAATCACTTAATCTCAATAAAAAAATATTTAGAGAGAAAAAAAGTGGAGATAGGAGATGCTGTTACTGTTTATCACCTGGGATTGTCTTGTATCTCCTCATGTTTCTTAAACAAATACTTTATTTATAAGAAATCTCTTTAATATAATTTTAAATATTTACTGGATGCCACTGGCTCATACCTGTAATCCTAGCTATTTGGAAGGCTAAGATCTGGAGGATTTTTATTTGAAGGTGACCTGGGCAGAAAGGTCTACAAGGGCTTGGTGCTATTGACTCATGCTTATAATCTTAGCTACTCAAGAAGCTGAGATAAGGATTGAAGTCCAAAATCATAGGCAGGACTGTCCATGAGACTCATTTCCAATTAACCCCCAAAAGCCAGAAGTAGAGATATGGATCCAGTATAGAGCACTAGCATTGAGCAAAAAACCTCAGGGATAGTGCTTAGACCTTCAAACCACAAGACCATTACCAAAAACAACTCACTAGATACTACACTGAAAATTCACTATACAAATTGTGGTTTGGGATTGGGAGGGGGGACTCTGGAGGGGGAACTCGGGGAGAGCAAAGGAAGGGGTGACATTGTCCAAAAAGAAATGTACACTTTATCTGATTTGTGTAACTGTAATCCCTCTATAATCACCTTTTAATAACAATTAAAAAAAAAAAACACCCACCAGCACTATACATTGCCCCTCCACCCCCTGTCCTGAAGCATGAATTCAGGGCCTGGGCACTGTCCTTGAGCTTCTTTTGCTCAAGGCTAGCATTCTACCACTTGAGCCATAACACCACTTCTGGCTTTTTCTATTTATTTTTTTTTAATTTTTATTTTTTTATTGTGAAAATACTGAACAGAGGGGTTATAATTACGTGGGCAAAATAATGAGTACATTTCTTATCAAGCATTGTAGCCTCCTCCTTTGTTTCCCCTTCCCATCCTTTCCTAACCTCCCACCGGCCCCCCAGCCAATCCTCCCCGCTTACCTCCTCCCCCCCTGGCTTTTTCTATTTATGTAGTATTGAGGAATCAAGCCCAGGGTTTCATGTATGCTAGGCAAGCCATATTCTCAGCTCTAGCACTAAACATTGTAATGACAGTTTCCCCTTGCTAAATAATAGGTCATCCAGGGTGGTCCTCAGTGAGTATGTCACATTCCTGTTTCCTAACATCCATACACAGACACATTTTTCTTCTTGTCTCTCTTAGATATCAGTTCTTAGATGATTGTTGACAATCCTACAATAAATTCAAGGACCTTTAAAACAAAGTACATATTACCAGGCTTAAGAAAAATTCAGCTAGTCTGGATTAGGACAGATTTCAACATTAAAGGGATCTCTCATATGAACATACCATAATTTGGCAGCTCTATACCAAAAACATTATTATTCCCATAGCTTTGCCCAGAGATGATTCCCTAACACAAGATATCCTGACTGACCACTTAGGATAAGCAGTTATACAAATAAAAACTCATTGTCATCTAGCCTAGGAAACAGAAAAGAAGCCCAATCCAGATAGGCTTACTCAGCCAGGTGAGTCCCTAACCTTCCATGCTAATGAAGAAGATGTGATGTTCTAATGGAGAGCATCAGGAATGTGTCCAGGAACCTCAAGGACTGTGTTAGGGGTGAGGTGGTTACAAGTAACAGGGGAGAGCAGCTCCCATCCTCTATCTAGTATTACTGAGCATCTCATATGCCAGGCTCTCATCTAAGCACTGGATTTTCAGTGTCAATGAACAAAGTCCCACATTCACAAAGCCTCCATTCTATTGATGAGACAGACAAGAAATAAATAGGATGCCAGAGTGTTAAAAATGCTATAGGTAATACGATATAAATAAAAGAAGAGCAAGCAGAGGCTGCTGTTTTCTGTAGAATGGTTAGGCAAGAGGACACTGAAGCAAAGACTTAAGAAAGCTCAGAGCAGGATATAGTAGGTATGTACTAGACATGTTCTGGGAACTACAATGAGGTCAGTAAGTCAGGCTGGGAGGACAGAAGGAGAGAGGCGGAGACACAAGACTGGAGTGACAAGAAACTGCAGGGGTTTGGGACCACTTAGATTTTAAAGGATCACTGCTTCCCAGGAAGGTAATATATATTTCAATTCACTAACCAAACAAGGAAGAAATAAGAGATTATGCTCTACTTTGGTGAGACAGCACTATTTTCTCTGCAACAAAAACTTAAGGTATTTAGTTATTTCCTAAGCAAGATGGCTGGAGCCCATGAAAGCAGTTCAATAAGAATCACACCTCATGGCTGCAATGGCCCCGGAACTGTGGCCTATAATGATGGTCTTTTCATCACACTGCAGCTCCGTCTCCATGAAGGGCAGCCAGATGCACTCTCGAGCAGTAACTGTGGTTCAGGATAAAGAAAGTCTGTCACTTGATATGGATAACCTCCATGTAATACTACCCCACCTTTCTAACAGATGACCATTCAGCAGCTCACAACTTCTAAAATGTGCAAGCACAATGGGAGATAGGTTGTTTTTAACAGAGCCTGGAATTTGTGAGTTATTGGTTGAAAGCTTTAAAAAGCTGTTTTTCAGACAGTCCTAATTGATTTTAAATTTTCAATCCTCTTACCTAAGCCCTCACTCAGTGCTGGAATTACAAGTATGTGCCACCACACCTGGCCTCAACTCTAAAGCTTTCATGTAAATATTCTTGAAAATATTTACAATTCAGGTATATATTCATTCTTTCCTGAAGCAGCTCAGAAGCATATCCAAAACAAAAGATGTAAAGTTTCATTTTTTAAAATATTAGGTTCTCAAATAGAGTCTATAGTTTAAGCATATCTCTGTCTCAAATGGAACAACCATAAATTCTGCCTGCAAATGTATACTTAAGAGCAAAAAAAGCCAAGTTGTTTGCAAAGTTCAAAATTAAATGTTATCAAACTCTGTTGCTTTTAATATTCTTTACTAGAATTTTCCTTTTTTTTTTTTTTTGGTTTATGCCCTCCTCCCCAGTCTACTTGCCTTATTCATTCTTAGGTATATATTTATCTTGGGGTTCTCTACAATTTTCCTGTTCTCTAATCATTTAGAGGAGGGAAAAAAAAAAGATGAGACCAAAACCCAACAAAATAAGGCTATTTAAAACAAGTTTAAAACTTACTTGGGTCAGGCATGTTTTTAGCCAAACACTGGAAACCAGGTATCTATGATATGAGGGGGGAAAAAAAGGCTATAATAAAGAGCTTAATTGCAACTAAAACTTTGCTAATAAGAAATGTGACACTTGATTTGTCCTTGTCAATTCACAGTTTGTTTACAGTATGAAAGGAAGTGGGTTAAGTGCTATACAATTACAAGGGACATATAATCTCTCCTCATAAAGTCCATCTGTAGTTTTCTATGTAGCCCGTTCTGTAGACCTCTACAGAGACTTGTATCTACATTTGCACATGGGTATTTTTCTTGAAAGCACCTGTTTGTAGACAAGGCAAAAGTGAATGTGTTCTAGATAGACTGACTTAGAGCCAAACACTGAATTCCAGACAGATAATACAGAAACATGGTAGAGAAGTTAGACATCCCATTCTCTAGGACAGCTCCAGCCCTGATCTTTTGGTTTGTAGCTCTGTTCATAGAGTTCAGCCACCACCCTGAAATTCTATTCTAGAGGTCAAGCCAGGAAATAGTTTTACTGTTGGATTATGGAAGAGTTCTTTGTTTTGTCAAGATTCACAAGGCAACTTAAAATATACTAGAATTTTCATAAGGTTCACATAGGAGCCAAATTAAATGACATACTGCCTGAAGGGCATACATAAGAGTTGTAAAACTATTTTAATTTAAAAAACAAGCAAACGAGGCATTTCAAGGTGGAAGGAAAATGGAATGGGAGACATAGTCATCCAGAAAATATTGAGAATGTTCTAGAATTTAGTCTGGGCCAGGGATATAGCTCAGTGAAATAGTGCCTGCAAGCCTGAGGGTCTGGGTTTGATTTCCAGTACAGGGGTAACTTTTTGTTTTGTTTTGAAGTTGGGTGATTTGTTACATTAGCTTCATAATCTACACACATTACATACAACCTTTATATAATATTATGTACTTCATATTTAGAAAACAGAAAGCAGGAAGAAATGAAGAGGGATGTAAAATTATTTGAGAAGTCCCAAATCAGAACTGACAGTAGATAGGGGGAAGGGTGGGGACTCATTTCTGTAGTTTGAAAAAGGATGTGTTGTTTTTGTTGTCTAACAACAGAGTTCTCAAGAGTAGTCTTCTAGGCAGTTTCTCAATCAAAATCTTGGCCCCTAGAGCTGGCCTTTAGGAGAGGGTGGCGGAAAAGAGGAATGGAAACATAGGTCTCTGCTGGAGGTGGACAGACACATGTGCTAACTTCGTTCTTGAGTATTCCTCCTCATCGTCCCCCCTCCCCCCCCACGGCTCCAAGCCAACTTCCCAGAGCCGTGAGGCCTGCATCTCTTACCTGCTCCAGCCTCTTTTTCACCCAGCCATACCAGCCGTGGGTGGCCACATCCCCACCTCCGTTCCCGGGAACAATCACTGCCTTGCTAGGAGAAGCCATAGTGTAGAATCCACAGCAGCAGGTCTTGCACTGCTGGGAGCCAAGATTGCATCCGGCCAGGAGCCTGCACTGAGGTCTTCTGGGAATTGTAGTTCTAGAAGTGTAGTTCTTTCTTTAACTAGCGCTCTATTTAAGACAGGCAGTGACAGGTTCAGAATGTGTTATCTCTTTACTTAAATATTTCTATAAGAAAAGGTGTTTTTAGTTGGGCTCTGGTGGCTCATGCCTGTAATCCTAGCTACTCAGGAGGCTGAGATCTGAGAATCTCAGTTTAAAGTCAGCCCAGGTAGGAAAGTCCCTGAGACTCTTATCTCCAATTAACCATGACACAATTGCAAGTGGAGCTGTGGCTCAAAGGGGTAGAGCACTAGTCTTGAGCAAAAGAGCTCATGGTACAGTGGCCAGGTCCTGAGTTCAAGCCCCACAACCAACAAAACAAAAAAAGATTTTTTACAAGCATGCAGAATATAAGCATTTTATAACTTAGGGACTCCTTAAATCCATGTTATTTTTTCCTTCTGATTTCCAATAGTTTTTTTTTTAGCTGAATCAGCTGTGGTTGCTCCATTTTATTGCTATAAATGTTGTCTTTATAAATGTTCTCATCTTCCCTGTAGGGCACATAGGTAGCATCCATCCTTAAACCAATTTAGAGCCTAGGGAAACTTTGAAACAAATAAAATTATTTGCCTATTAGAATATGGCAGTCCTGAAATCATGGGTCTGTCTAACATAAAAGTTTATTTAATAGAGTTGGACAGAAATGTGCCATACAGGAAAGTAAGTCTTTTTTGTGGGGTGCTGGTACTAGAGGCTTGAATTCCATCTCCTCCAGCTCTCCATCAACTTTTTCACTCACAGCTGGTGCTCTACCATGCCTCTATTTCTAGCTTTTTGCTGTTAATTGGAGATAAGAGTCTTAAGGATTTGTCTACCCAGGCTGGCTTTGAACCCAAGTCTTCAGATCTCAGCCTATGATCAGATAGAATTATGTGTGTCACTAGTACCTGCATTAGGAAAGTGCTTGCTTGGTTCCTTCCTTTTCTCTCTTTCTTTTTCTCCTTTTCTTCCTTCCCTTCCATTCTTTCTTCCTTTTGTTCTTTTCTTTTTTTCCTTCCTTCTTTCCTTTTTTCCCTCCCTCCCTTCCTTCCTTCCTTCCTTTCTTATGTGTGCTAGTAGCGGGGCTTGGCCTCTGAGACTGGGCACTGTCCCAGAACTCTTTTGCTCAACACTGATGTGTGGCTCCACTTCTGGCTTTTTGTGGTTAATTGAAGATAAGAATCTCCAAGAAGCCGGGTGCTGGTGGCTCACGCATGTAATCCTAGCTACTCAGGAGGCTGAGATCTGAGGATCTCGGTTCAAAGCCAGCCCGGGCAGGAAAGACTGTGAGACTCCTATCGCCAATAAACCACCAGAAAACTGGAAGTGGCACTGTAGCTCAAGTGGTAGAGCACTCACCTTGAGCTGAAGAGCTGAGGGACAGTGCCCAGGCCCAGAGTTCAAGCCCCACGACTGACAAAAAAAAAAAAAAATCTCCAAGAAAGCAGGAACGGAGAGAGGTAAGGAGGGGAGGGAAGAGGAGAGGAAGGGAGAGAGGGGAGAGAAGAGAGAAGAGAGGAGTTTTCTCCCTGAGGTCTGCTTCTGAGGCATCAATTGCCCCAACATGATAATACCTCCATAGCTTGGAAGCTTTTTGGAAGCTTCTTCAGAAACCAGCAACAAAGGTCAAATATTTTAACCTTATTGTTTTAGTCATTTAAAAAGTAAGAAAGCATATGATATTCATATACATAGGCCCTGTGCTTTATATAAACCTCAAGAAAATGCAATTGGCATGCCTACTTTCATTATCTCAACTGTAGCAATGGGTGTCAAACTCATCAGCTAGTACATATATGTATAGCTTCTTATACATCAACTATACTTCAATATAAAACACACAGATGCTGAGAAATCTGAGAACATAGGACCAAAGCTAGCGTAAGCAGAAGTCTATGAGACTTATCTCCACTTAACCAGAAAAAAGTCAGAAGTGGAGGTGTGGGTCAAGGGGTAGAATGCCAACTTTGGGAGGGGGGGGAATCCAGCCAAAGGCAAAAGTCCTGAGGTCAGCTGGGCACCAGTGGCTCATACCTGTAATCCTAGCTACTCAGGAGGCTGAGATCTGAAGATCATAGTTTGAAGCCAGCTTGGGCAGGAAAGTGTGAGACTCTTACCTCCAATTAATCACAGAAAAAGCCAAAAAGTGGTACTGTAGCTCAAGTGGTAGAGTACTAGCCTTGAGCAAAAGGAGCTTAGGGACAGTGCCCAGAACCAGAGTTCAAGGCACAGGACCAGCAAGCCCCAGTACTAGTACTAAATAAATAAATAAAACACGCACAGACATTTCAGTTTCCATGTTTGCTTGCTCAGGGGCTTAATTTGTTCAGGAAACAATAGCATTCCATTAACAGAAACTGGCTGAAAAAATGAATCTTCCTTAAGCTTTGGTTAGCTTTTCAAAGGAAAATAGAGAAGACAATGGCTTCTACTTTTCCCTTTTCATGGGTTGTTTTATGCCAAGAATGCTTATAGAGATTATATGATTTCATGTAGATCCACCTTGTTTTTAACACTTGGGCAAATATATTCTGAGATTGTTGTGCAAAACATTGTTTTTTGGGGTTTAAAACTGAATGTCAACTTTTTTATGAATTAAAAAATGTTCAAGGGCTGGGAATGTGGCTTAATGGTAGAGTGCTTGCCTGGCATGCATGATGCCATGGGTTCAATTCCTCATTACCACATAAACAGAAAAAGCCAGAAGTGGCGCTGTGGCTCAAGTGGTAGAATGCTAGCCTTGAGCAAAAGAAGCTCAAAGATAGTGCTTAGGCCCTGAGTCCAAGTCTCAGGACTGGTGGGGGGGGGGGGGGGGGAGAGGAAGCACAAATGCACATTTATATTTGGTACATTATTTGCTAATATGGAAAGCGTTTTTTTTTTTTTTTTTTGTCGGTCATGGGGCTTGAACTCTGGGCTTGGGCGCTGTGCCTGCGCTCTTCAGCTCAAGGCAAGCACTCTACTGCTTGTGCCAGTGTCACTTCTGGTTTTCTAGTGGGTTTTATTGAAAAATGAGTCTCACGGAGTTTCCTGCCCGGGCTGGCTTTGAACTGCGATCCTCAGATCTCAGCCTCCTGCGTAGCTAGCATTACAGGCATGAGCCACTGGCGGCCCGGCCAGAAAGCGTTCTTTAAGAATTTGTTGTAGGTGGGGCCGGGAAGGTGGCTCAGTGGTAGAGCGCTTGCCTTGCATGCATGAGGCCCTGGGTTCGATTCCTCAGCACCACATAAGCAAAAAGCCGGAAGTGGCGCTGTGGCTCAAGTGGTAGAGTGCTAGCCTTGAGCTGAAGAGCTGAGGGACAGCGCCCAGGCCCAGAGTTCAGGCCCCACGACTGGACCCAAAAAAAAAAAAAAAAGAAAGAAAAAGAATTTGTTGTAGGTGTAAATCAGTGGTAGAAGGACTTGCCTAGATTGTGCAAAATTCAAGTTTGTTTCCCAGCACCCTAACGCCTCCACTAAAACAAAAAGCCACAAACAAAACACACACACACAAACACACACACACAAACACACACTCACACACACAACATTACTGATTCAGTTTTAGTCTTCCTATGGAGTTCAGCCATCCTCCACTAAGGACTTCCAAAAAAGAAATCTTTCTCTGCCTGTATTTTTCTTTTCAGGTCATGATCTCTTCAGAAGGAAATGCATATCTTAAATCTTCAAACTTACTATACAAATGCTTTCTTCTCTTCTGGGATTGCTTTCCTATTTCTGTCATTGTTTTTTTTTTTTTTAGTTTTATTTTACTGTAAAGATGCTCTACAGAAGGGTTACAGTTAGGTAAGTAAGGTCATGAGATCATTTCTTTCTTTTTGTCGGTCGTAGGTCTTCAACTCTAGGCCTGGGCGCTGTCCCTCAGCTCTTCAGCTCAAGGCTAGCGCTCTACCACTTGAGCCACAGCGCCACTTCTGGCCTTTTCTGTTTGTATGGTGCTGCGGAATCGAACCTAGGGCCTCATGCATGTGAGGCAAGCACTCCACCGCTGAGCCACCTTCCCAGCCCCAGGAGTACATTGCTTGCCGCACATTGTTACGGGCTCCTTTGTTGTTCTCCCACTATCCTTTCCCTCCACCAAACACTGATTTCGTTTGCTTGTTTTTGTAAGGAGGCGTCAAGGGAAGCTTTCTGCAACGACTTGAAACGTGATGACTTTCGCCACTCGTAGGAAAGCGTACAACAGTGTGGTGGCTGCAGAAGGTCGTGTTCCCTGCTTCGTTACTCTCCTAAAATGAAGGTAACACTTCCCAATTGCTGCTTCCTTGTTGAAGGATGACAAGGATGTGGTCGCAGAAATTATCTGAGTTCCAGTGCAGAAGCCCTGACGGCAAACAAGAAGGAATTTCATAACGTGATGAAATTTAACCTAGGTGAGCCGGGCTCCCTAGAAAGCCAGTGCGCCTACGTCCCGACTCAGCCGCTGTCCGCCCCTTCCCCTAAGCTGACACCTTCCGCCAGTAGCGTCAGCTTACTCCCTCTCGCGTCCCTCCTGCTTCCGGGATTACACGTCATCGTTCTCGCTTCCTATAACCGAGGCGGTGAGAGCAACGTCCCACTTAGTGTAGCGGATGTCCTATGGAAGGAGGGGCAGCTTCTCAAGACTGCTAACTGGCGCCCAAGGAATGGTCCGATAGAAGCCAGCCTTTTGCAAAGAGAAATCTTTAGGGATGAAGAATCCTTCGGGGAAGCAAGTACTCTGAGCAGTTCTGTTGGAGGGCTAGGGCGCTATTGTCTTGCCCTATTCCAAGATGGCGACGCGGCTTCACCGAGTTCTCACTTCCGCTCCCCTCTCTAGTGAAGCGCTCTCTGAATGGCTAGGTCCTGGCGCCGTGGCGTGACGTCACGATCTCTTGACCAATCGGTTGAGAGCTGAGCTGGACTAGGCTGTGGGAACCGGACTCTGGCCCTCGTCGTGAGTGAGTGCGGACGGCTGTGGCCAGGTGAGTTGGGTCAGCCAGGTGAGTGCCTAGGGGTCGAGTGAATGGGGAGGAAGAAAAAGAGGGATAAGAACTGGGTCATTAAGGCCGGCCAGGTGGGGCTCTTCTCAGATGAAGCCTTTTCGTAGTAAGCAGGAAAACTACAGTGAATTGACGACCCAGATCCTTGCTGAAAGTGACTGGATTTACACGCCCCTTGGTGGCTGAGGACCGGATTCTGGCGCTCCAGCTGGCAGGACCCAACCTCTATAATTGAAGTTTTGCTTTGTGACTGACAGAGGTGGAACTAGAACCCGTGTTTTCAGACTGCCGTCAAGGGTTAGGCGTTAGTTAATGTTGTCTAAAGGTGTTCACTATGTTATGAAAAGTTATGCCTTTGGCGAGATGAGCGTGATTGATTTTATTGTTGTTGTTCTTGGACGTTCCCACAGTATCTTTCCAGATCATTTATTCATTCATTCATTCAATTTACTTCTTACGATACTCTTATGCTTTGAGAATTTGGCTTAAGCCGCCCTGGAAAAATGTACATTTGTTTTTCTGTGCACAGTTTTACATAAAACTTTGTACGAGTCTTAGACCCTTCGAAATCCTCTAAGAATTGGTGGCTTAGCCCAAGGGAAAGGAAAGGAACATCAGGTTTTAATATGTAGACACTCATGGGGGAACCTAGTACTTTATAAGAAGTATTTTGAGGGGCTGGGAAGGAGAGCTTGCTTTGCATGCATGAGGCCCTGGGTTCGATTCCTCAGCACTACATAAGCAGAAAAAGCTGGAAGTGGTGCTGTGGCTCAAGTGGTAGAGTGCTAGTCTTTATCTGAAGAGCTGAAGGACAGTGCCCAGGCCCAGAGTTCAAGCCCCATGACTGGCAAAAAAAAAAGTATTTTAAGATGGAAATAATCATTTAATGATGTTTTGCTAAAGTACTTGCTATATTAGAACTTGCTTTTTATTCACACTTTTGTCCTTCAGTAAATAGAAGTGCCTTCTGTGCAGAAGTACTTCAGCTTTCCACTTTTGCTAGAAACAGCAAATAGATGTCTTAGAGGTTTTTGTTGGAGCAAACATTTGGAATTTTTGTTGTGTGGGTTCTGTATAGCATAATTCATTTGCCTTCCTTGGAAACTTCTGTAATCTGAATTGGAGACAATTGTATTCAGCTTTGTATGAAGTGACATTAGAGGCCACTTTAATATTGTAAATTGTTTTCTCATTTTTTTAAGACAGTCTCAAGATGTAGGAGTCACTGTGTAGTTCAGGATGTCCTTGAGAATTTTTTATTTAATCACTGTGTGATATTTAAGCAAAATTGAATCTTTATTAAGCAAACATTTTTTTAAATTTAATTTTATTATTTTTTTTGTGAACATACTGTACAGAGGGGTTACAATTACATGGGCATAAGCAAACATTTTTTTTAAATTTAATTTATTTTTTTTTGTGAACATACAGAGGATACATGGGCAGGATAATGCATACATTTCTTATCAAGCATTGCAGCCTCCTCCTTTGTTTACACTTCACATCCCTTAAGCAAACATTTTTGCATATACTATCTTCTCTTTATCTTTCTGGGACTTTGTCTTTTATTAGACTTTGAGCCATTCTGCCCGGATGGCTTAATTTTCATGAGCGTTCATAAGATCAGCAAATGTTTCATCGTATTCTTTTAATTCTTGCCATCTGTTAAGTGCTGGAGTATAGTGCTGTGGTATTTTGTAGGTCTGTCTTAAAAGCTTTCAAATAACTGTCAATTACTCAATTACTCCTTGTCAATTACACATCTTCAGGTTTTGAGCACAGTCAGGACCCAAATAAGGATATAGGCTGCCGTCGGCATCTATCTGCTTTCTTTCTTTCTTTCTTTTTGCCGATTGTGGAGCCTGAACTCTGGGCCTGGGTGCTGTCCCTCAACTCTTTAGCTCGAGGCTAGCGCTGTACCACTTGAGCCACAGCACCACTTCTGGCTTTTTCTGCTTATGTGGTGTTGAGGAATCAAACCCAGGGCCTCATGCATGCAAGGCAAGCACTCTACCACTGAGCCACTTTCCCAGCCCCAAAATACCATGGAAATCTTTTTTTTTTTTTGGTTGTAAGGCTTGAACTCTGGGCCTGGGTGCTGTCTGTCTCTCAGCTCTTCAGCTCAAGGCTAGCGCTCTACTACTTGAGCCACAGTGCCACTTCCTATCTGCTTTTTCAAAAACAATTTTTGAACTATCCGCTTACCTTTAAACCTTTAGATTTTTTTTTAAATAGTTATCTCCCAGTTTGGGGATTTTTTTTCTTTTCTTTGCTGGTCCTGGGGCTTGAACTCAGGGTCTGAACACTGTCCTTGAGCCTTTTTTTTTCTGTCGGTCGTGGGCTTGGGCACTGTCCTTAGCTCTTCAGCTCAAGGTGAGTGCTCTACCACTTGAGCTACAGCACCACTTCTGGTTTTCTAGTGGTTTTATTGGAGATAGGAGTCTCACGGTCTTTCCTGCCCGGGCTGGCTTTGAACGTTGATCCTCAGATCTCAGCCTCCTGAGTAGGTAGGATTACAGGTGTGAGCCACCGGTGCCCGGCACCCCTGAGCCTTTTTTGTTCAAGGCTAGCTCTCTACCACTGATCCACAGCGTCCCTTCTGGCTTTTTCTGAGTAGTTTATTGGAGATAGAAGTCTCACAGGCTTTCCTGCTTGGGCAGGCTTTGAACCACAATCCTCAGATCTCAGCCTTTTCAGTAGCTAGGATCATAGGCATGAACCACTGGCATCTGGCCAGTTTTGGAATTTTGAAAAAGACATTCCAATGTTTTTAAACTCATCTGTTATTAGAAAAAATTTATATCTTTTAAGTCTACACCTAGATCCCCAGGGAAATATGAATGTCTCTCACCAGAGCTATCTTTTTAAAGTTTTCTAGAGACATTTTATTGCATTTATTGTACAGGAACATATCTGTACAATATTGCAAACTGAGTCCAGATTTGCTAGAGCTATCTTTGAAGCTATTCTCCAGCCATCCCTTCTTTCATCCCTTTCTTCCCACATTTTACAATAATGCACAATAACGCCACCAGTTCCTTTAATTAACTGGCTAACACATATTTCCTGTTCCCATGAGTATTTGATACTGTTGAGAATCAGCTGGGCACCAATGGCTCACACTTGTAATCCTAGCTACTTAGGAGACTTATAATCCTAGGAGGCTGAGATCTGAGGATTGTAATTGAAAGCCAGCTTGGACAAATGGTTGAGATTCTTATTTCTAGTTCACCAGCAAAAAAGCCAGAACTGTTCTGTGACTCAAGTGGTAGTGCTCCAGTCACGAGGGAAAAACAAAGTAACAGTAGAAGGCTCAGAGTTCAAGTACTGACACATAAAAAACCCTAAAAAACAAAACCTGAGAACTATGTGGGCATGGTGTCTCAAACCTATAACCTGGTTATTTGGGAAGCAGGCATCCTGAGATTGGAGCCATCCTAATTTAGGGCAATTTAAGCAAATTAATTAATAATTCTGAGTTTCCATTTTAACCAGTGGCTGCATGTGGCAGCTTGTACCTGTCTTCCCAGCTGTGAGGGAAGCCTAACAACTGAGTTTAGGGAAGCACAAGTGGGAGGATTTCAGGCCGGGCTGTTTAAGGAGGCATAAAGTGAGACTTTACCTCAAAAATAGCACCAAACAACGGGCTGGCCAAATGACTGTAGTGCAAGGCCCTGAGTCTAAATCTAGATGACACACACACACACACACACACACACGAAATTAATAACCATTTATATTGTGATCTGTGTTTGCCATGCTCAACAAATCCACTCAATCATGCTTATAGTAGACATTTTCATTTGCATATTTTTTACCATAAAATATTTTCTCTGCCTGTTCCATGCTGACTTAAGAAGTCTTCACTCTGAATTGTAATTTTCTTAATGACATCCTTTAAATGGAGACATTTGTATTTATATGCTTTTTTTGCCTTTTTTTTTAATTTAAATTTTTTTTTGGTCTGGTCGTGGGGCCTGAACTCTGGGCCTGGGCGCTGCCCCTCAGCTCTTCAGCTCAAGGCTAGCGCTCCACCACTTGAGCCACAGCACCACTTCCGGCTTTTTTCTTTTTGCTCATGTGGTTCTGAGGAATGGAACGCAGGGCCTCAGGCATGCAAGGCAAGCGCTCTACCACTGAGCCACCTTCCTAGCCCCCCTTTTTTTTTTGCTGTCCCCGAGTCTCTTTGTGTTCAAGGCTATCCATTACCACTTGAAACACAGTGCCACTTCCAGCCTTTTCTGAGTGGTTTATTGGAGATAAGAGTCTTATGTACTTTTCTGCTCAGCTGGCTTCAAACCACAATCCTCACATCTTAGCCTCCTGAATGGCTACAATTATAGGAGTGAGCCACCAGTGCCTGGCTATAGTACTTTTTTCTTTTAAACACTATGTACACAATTTTCCTGCAGTTTTGAGTATAACATGTGCTGTCCATGTCAAAAGAGACTAGGGATGCTGGGGTTGGATTTTAGGATATGAACAGAATATATAAAATACTCTACGCAATTGGGTTGGGGTTTGAAAGCTTAGGCTGAAGGACTGTTTTATTGACCAGAGTCTTTCAAGGCTTGAGTATAGCTGGTGAGTAGAGAGGTTCTGGTGAGACCCAGCATAATAGTAAACTTTGCTTTGTAACTTTGTTATATCTTCTAAATGTGTGGGCTTGGAATGGATTTCCATTATAAGCTGGACTCAGATCAGCAACTTGTTTTTTCTTTCCAAGGTTAGCAAAACCGGAGAAGAAAGAGTACAAAACCCAAGATTATTTGGAATATAAAATTTAATACAAGCCAGGTGCTGGTGGCTGTAATCCTAGCTACTTAGAAGACTGAGATCTGAGGATCCTGGTTCAAAGCCAGCCCAGGCAAGCAAGTCTGTGAGACTCTTATCTCCAATTAATCACAGAAAAAGCCAGAAGTAGCATGTGGCTCAAGTGGTAGAGATCTAGCCTGAGCTGAAGAGCTGAGGGACAGCGCCTAGGCCCAGAATTTAAGCCTCATGACCGAACCCCGCCTCCCTTCCCCCCCCCCTGCAAAAAAAAAAGAAATACAATATTTGCCTTTATTGAGCAAGGTAGAAAGGCAATCAGAGAGAAAGATAGGTAAATGCTGAAACAATTCAAAATGTACCCTTGAGTTAAAAGGCTGAAGTTTGCTTGTCTGAGCTGATAAGTCAGTCATCTCTGAGAATGTTTGAAGTAGCATAGTAAAGTTTGAAGGGGTATAACTGGGTAGTAGACTACTAGCCTGGATTCCATTCCTCACACTGCTAAATAAAGTAGTATTCAACCACATTCAGCTTAGAAGGATCAGATGATTAAACTTCTCTTCTTCCACCCTGCCCCCACCTTTTTTTTTTAATGTGTTAGAGTGGTTTGAGAAAGGAGTAGTAATCAAAGGTAACTGAGTTAATCAACTTTGGGGGGGTCATAAGGAAGATGGTTAACTGTTAGTCAGGGCATTTCCTGACTAAGTATTAAACACTGAATCTTTTTTTGAGAATTTCTTGTATAGCTAAAACTTTATCTTTAGTTCTCTTTTAGACCATGGCAACTTATCTGGAGTTCATTCAGCAGAATGAAGAACGCGATGGCGTGCGCTTCAGCTGGAATGTGTGGCCTTCCAGCCGTCTTGAGGCCACAAGAATGGTTGTCCCCCTGGCTTGTCTCCTCACTCCATTAAAAGAGCGTGCAGACCTGCCTCCAGTACAGTATGAACCTGTGCTTTGCAGCAGGCCAACTTGCAAGGCTGTTCTCAATCCTCTTTGGTATGAATTCTTTTAAAAACTGGTCCAGGGGCTGGGAAGGTGGCTCAGTGGTAGAGCACTTGCCTTGCATGCTCGAGGCCCTGGGTTCGATTCCTCAGCACCACATAAGAAAAAAGCCGGAAGTGGCGCTGTGTGGCTCAAGTGGTAGAGCGCTAGCCTTGAGCTGAAGAGCTGAGGGACAGCGCCCAGGCCCAGAGTTCAGGCCCCATGCAAAAAAAAAAAAAAAACTGGTCCAAAGACAAAAACAAAATTAATCACATCTTTATGTGATTCTTGTGAAAGTAATTTAACTCAGAACGTTGTTAAATTTAGATGCTGAGATTCTTTGGTAATGAATGCTCATAGAAATCTCCATGGGAAAAAAAAAAAAAAAGGAAGAAAGAAATCTCCATGGCCTAGGTGGGTATGGGTGGCTTAAACCTGCCATTCTAGCCACTTGGGAGATTGAAGTTGGGAGGATTGAAGTTTGAAGCCAACCCAGGCAGAAAAGTTTGAGAGATCTCTTCTCAATTGAGAAGGGGCCTGTACCTGTTATCCTCTTTACAGTGGGAAGCTTCATGTACTAGAGAGAAGACTAGATGCTTCCCTGGATAGGATTTGAGTGTCTATCTCAGAAATAATCACTGCCAAAAAAGAGCTAGAAGTAGGCTCAATGGTAGAGTCCAACTTGGCAAGAGCAAGGCTTTGAATACAAACCCCAGTAATGAGAAAGAAAAAAAAAAGAGAAATCTCCTTGGCCTGATACAAAGATAAAATTGAAATCTTGGAATCTTATGGAGAGGGTAGAAAGGAGGATTTGGAAATCCCTTTTTTTTTTGGTCCCAGTTCTGGAGTTTGAACTTAGGGCATTGTCCATGTGCTCAAGGCTAGCACTATACCACCTGAGCCATAGCTCTACTTCTGGCTCTTTGGTGGTTAATTGGAAATAAGAGGCTCATGGGCTTTCCTGCCTGGGCTGGCTTTAGACTGTGATCCTTAGCTCTCAGCCTCATGAGTAGCCAGTATTACAGGCATGAGCCACTAGGGCCTGGCCTGGGAGAAGTTTTAAACAAGTACAAAGTGTCATAAAATTTTTATATGAGGGGCTGGGAAGGTAGCTCAGTGGTGGAGCGCTGGCCTTGCATGCACGAGGCTCTAGGTTCGATTCCTCAGGACTACATAAGCAGAAAAAGCCGGAAGTAGTGCTATGGCTCTAGTGGTAGAACGCCAGCCTTGAGCTGAAGAACTGAGGGACAGTGCCCAGGCCCAGAGTTCAGGCCCCATAACCGACAGAAAAAAAATTTGTATGAGAAAACATTTTTTCACCTTCTTTGCTTTTATTTTTTGTAACTATTTAAAATGCTGCTGCTCTAGTTTTAAAATGGTAGCCACTAGTTGCGAATTTTTCCTTAAACCAGGGTTTGAATTCAGGGCTTCACACTTGCTCACCAATTAGCACTCAACCACTTGTCATGCCCACTTTTTGCTGGTTGTTTTGGAAATAAAGTCTCACAAATAATTCTGCTAAGGCTGGCTTTGAACTGTGATCCTATGGATCTCAGCTTCCTAATAGCTGTAATTACAGCAGTACTTCGGTTGCTTATTTATTTTCTAAAATGTAGAAAGCAGAAAAAGGTGACAGAAGCATTATATTGAATCAAGTCTCAGAAGTATATCTACCCAAACACATACCTTCAAATGTCAATTTTTTTTTTTTAAACTGGGCCAAGTAAGGGAAAAGTCTTAAGAGGTTTTCACATATGTGAAATGTCCTTTTATTATTGAAATTTAGTATTTTTACATAACTGAACCAATAAGAAATTATTCAAAAGGAAATAATATTTAATTTGTGAGAATCACATTTTTTAAAATCTAGGAAACTGGAAAAAACAAAAACTGATTTATTAATTCTTCATTGCAGCTGTTTGAGGGAAACATGGTGTACTTAATGAACAGAATTCTACCTTCAGTGCAGTTTTACAAAACTTTATATATTCATGTTCACACTTATATAAAGATATGTCTATGTAAAGTATTGAACTTGAAATTTACAGTTGAATGTTTTCTGCCTTAAAAATGGCACCTCGTTGAGATGTTTATCTTTTTTACAGTCAGGTTGATTTTCGAGCAAAACTTTGGGCTTGTAATTTCTGTTTCCAAAGAAATCAGGTATGTGAATTATTTCTAAATATTGTAGCTGTCTTACTCTGAAAAAATTGTGTGATTTTGAACTAATAGCTAGACTGGCAATCACCAGTTTTTGGTAAACACAAGAAAATAGCTTCTGTTAAGTACAGTGTTGAATATTGAACATTTGTGAATTTTCTGTTGAATGATTTTATTATGGAGTCTTTCTCATTTACTGTGGAAGGGACACAGAATTCTTTATAAGTTTTCTGTAGGAAGTGAATCTCTTACTGTAAGAAAATAAATCATTTCACTTGACTTCAGTAAATTGAATGGTAAATTGAACAAGATATTAGAACTGAATATTCTAATTAGGTTGTGAAATTACTGAATTTTCATTTTTCTCTCTAACTTTGGAATCCACATATGAGCTGCTTTTGATATAAAAAAATTAAAACTATCAAAGTAAAAGCTCACAAATGAAAAAAGAGATCTCTTTTTGCATCTCTCCCTCACCCCTCCCTCCTCTTACTTTCTCCTCTCTTCCTTGTTCCTTTTCCTTTCTTTTTTTTTCTCCCTCTTTTTTTTTTTTTTTGCCAGTCATGGGGCTTGAACTCTGGGCCTGGGTGCTGTCCCTGAGCTCTTTAGCTCAAGGCTAGCACTCTACCACTTGAGCCACAGCGCCACTTCCGGCTTTTTCTCCTTATGTGGTGCTGAGGAATCGAATCCAGGGCCTCGTGCATGCGAGGCAAGCACTCTACCACTGAGCTACCTTCCCAGCCTACTCCCTCTTTTTTAAAGAAAGAGTTAACTTTGAACTCAGGAGCTTTTTTTTTTTTTTTGGTTGGTTGTGGGCCTGAACTCTGGGCCTGGGCGCTGTCCCTCAGCTCTTCAGCCCTAGGCTAGCGCTCTACCATTTGAGCCACAGTGCCACTTCCAGCCTTTTTTGCTTATGTGGTGCTGAGGAATTGAACCCAGAGCCTGATGCATGAAAGGCAAGCATTCTACCTCTGAGCCACCTTCCCAGCACAAACTCAGGACCTTTTGCCTATTAAGTCGTATATACTTTCTCTCCAATAGATACCTTTGTCCAAAACTTTTCTTTAAAATTCATTGTGTGACAAAAGTGTTTTAAGACTGGATTTCGTTGTTCTTGTATAATACATTTACCAAAAGTCACTGAACTGTATGTTAAAAATGGGTAAATTTTTTTTTTTTTTTTTTTTTGGGGTCCGGTCGTGGGGCCTGAACTCTGGGCCTGGGCGCTGTCCCTCAGCTCTTCAGCTCAAGGCTAGCGCTCTACCACTTGAGCCACAGCGCCACTTCTGGCTTTTTTTTTTTTTTTGCTTATGTGATGCTGAGGAATGGAACCCAGGGCCTCAGGCATGCAAGGCAAGCGTTCTACCACTGAGCCACCTTCCCAGCCCAAAAATGGGTAAATTTTATGGTACAGAAGCTTTATCTAAAGAAAGCTGTTGTAGAGAACATAGCACAATTGTTCTGATAGCTCGTAAGCTGTTGATAACATGCATTTATTCATGTATTTGATCATAATTATGATTTATTTCATCTTCACATCTAGCCCAGTAATGAAAAGAGAAGTAATATAGGTTTAGAAACTATAAACGGTTTCTCTTCAGGAATATCTCCTTGAGTTGCTAGGGTACAGCTCAATGATAGAATGCATGCTTAACATGTGTGAGGCTCTGGGTTAAGCCATAACAAACATTTGCCTAAATGAAGACTCAGAAGTATATATAAATCTTAAAAAAACATTTTTGTGCCTTGTTCAGCCTTGAAATCTACTAATATAATTCATTATAAAATTATGAGTCAGGGTTGCATGCTAGTTGAGCCAGGACTTATAGGGCTAAAGGCATGACTCAAGTGATAAAGCACCTGCCTAGCAAGCAAGAAGAAGCCATGAATTCAAACCCCAAAACTGACCACCCCCACCAAAAAAAAGTCTTTAAATTGTATATATGTAATCTCAACTGTGCTTAAGTTGAAAAATTCTGAAAGGACATAGTCTAAGATGTTAACAGTAGCTGTTTCTAAGTAAGAGAATTTTGAGATCTTTTCTTTCCATATTCTTATATTTTCATCAACTTTTCTATTACTTTATTAATAATGGCCAAAGTAATTCTAAATAAAGGCTCTAGTCTTCTACAAAAACTTTTTACTGACGCTGGGTACCGGTGGCTCACGCCTGTAATCCTAGTTACTCAGGAGGCTGAGATCCTCATGAGGATCATGGTTCGAAGCCAGCCCGGGCAGGAAAGTGTGAAACTCTTATCTCCAATAAACCACCAGAAAACAGAAGTGGCACTGTAGCTCAAGTGGTAGAGTACTAGCCTTGAGCTGAAGAGCTGAGGGACAGCGCTCAAGCCTAGAGTTCAAGCCCCATGACCAACAAAAAAAAAAAAAAAAGAAAAAAAAAAACTATAAGAAATATAAATCTAGGCCTTTAATTTGCAGAACAAAGCTTTTTAAAATTGGTTTATATCATTCATATAGGAGTTATATGATTTCTGTTTGTGTGTTTTTGAACATATTAGGAGTTTGTGTGCGTGTGTATATGTATGTGTGTGTACACGCACTTATATCATTTATATAGGAATTATATGATTTCTGTGTGTTTTTGAGCATATTAGAAGTGTGTGTGTGTGTGTGTGTGTGTGTGTGCACGCACTCGCACGTATGTGTGTGCGTGCCAGTACTGGGTCTGAACTCAGGCTTTGGACACTGTCCCTTAGCTTTTTCACTCAAGGCTTGGTGCTCTGCCACTTGCGCCATAGTTCCACTTTTGGCTTTTTGGTGGTTAATTGAAGATAGGGGTCTTACATACTGCTCAGTGGTGGTGGTTCATACCTGTAATCCTAGCTATTCATGAGGCTGAGATCTGAGGACCATGGTTCAAAGCTAGCCCTGGTAGGAAAGTCCATGAGATTCTGATCATCAATTCACCACCAAAAAGATAGAAGTAAAGCTATGACTCAAGTGGCAGAGCATTAGCCTTAAGCACAAAGAGCTCAGGGATAATGCTCTGGCCCTGAGATCAAGCCCCAGACCTGGCATTAAACAAACAAAAAAATCTACCTCAGGTACTTTCCTGCCAGGACTGGCTTCAAACAACAATCCTCAAATCTCAGCCTCTCGAGTAACTAGGATTAGTTACAGGTGTGAGGACAATGATGCCTCACACCTTATGATGAGGCTGTCCTTAAAATTGAAACTTACTCTCTCTGCCTTCCAAAGAGCTGGAATTATAGGTATGTGGTACTACATCTGGCTTAGCATTTTTAGCATAACTTAAAAGTATTTGTTTGTGGGGCTTGAACTCAGTACCTCATGTTCTTGTTTTGCTTTCTTGCTTGTGCGTGGCATTCTACCACTGAGCCACACCTCCAGTCTAGCATTTGGCTGGTTAATTGAATATGGAATCTCACAGCTTTTCTACCTGTGGTGGCTTTCAACCTTGATCCTCTAGGTGTAAGTCCTAGGTAGTTAAGATTATAGGTGTGAGCCACTGGATTCTGCCTAAATAACTTTTTTTAAGTTGTAAAACGATATGTAAGACAGAATTTGAAGTCTTAAATATTCATTTTTTTTGTGGCTTAATTACATATTTTATGTTTTCTGAATTAATACATGGTTGCTAAGTTTTTTTTTCTTGCTGGTTCTGGGGGTTGAACTCAAGGCTTAGGCACTGTCCTGCTGCTGCCGCCTCCTTCCTCCCCCTCCTCCTCCCCCTCCTCCCCCTCCTCCCCCTCCTCCTCCTCCCCCCCCTCCTCCTCCTCCTCCTCTTTTTTAATGAAGAGGTTTAATTTCTTACTTTGCTGCAAACCTGTTGCAAACCCGTATAAAAATAGCACCAGCTGGGCTGGGAAGATGGCTCAGCGGTAGAGTGCTTGCCTTGCATGCATGAGGCCCTGGGTTTGATTCCTCAGCACTACATAAACAGAAAAAGCTAGAAGTGGTACTGTGGCTCCAATGGTAGAGCGCTAGCCTTGAGCTGAAGAGCTGAGGGACAGCGCCCAGACCCAGAGTTCAGGCCCCATGACCAGCAAAAAAAAAAAAAAAAAAAAAAGCACCAGCAAATGCAGCAAGTGCATCAAATGGAGCTAGAATTCTTTGTTAGAGGCTGTATGAGCTTCTTTTGCTCAAGGCTAGCACTCTACCACTTGAGCCACAGCTCTACTTAGAGCTTTTTTATTTTTTATTTTTTGGTAGTTTTTTGGAGATAGAGTCTTATGGGTCTTTTCTGCCTGGGCTGTCTTTGAACTGTGATCTTCAGATCCCAGCCTCCTGGGTAGTTAGGATTACAGGCATGATCCACTGGCACCTGGCTTAATTTTGAGACAAGTTCTCATCATGTAGTCCAGGCTGGCCTTATACTTGTGATCTTCCAATCTTAACCTCCCTAGTATTTAGAGTGCAAGTGTGTGCTCCCCCACCCAGCTTGTCATTACTGTTTTTATAAATGGAAAGTATAATGTATAATATCAGTATCTTTCAGCCCTAATGAAATACTATGTTCTTCAATTCAGTTTCCTCCAGCTTATGCAGGCATATCTGAGGTGAATCAGCCTGCTGAACTGATGCCCCAGTTTTCCACAATTGACTACATACTGCAGGTAACTTCTTTATCTTGTATTTAGTCAACAGTGTTAATTGATTTCTTTATAGAGCCTTTGAGGTCTGAGACTCTTACTAAGGGTCTAAGAACTTAGAGTTGTGTGGACAGCAGATCCTAGATAAGAGGTTATGGTATATGTATGGTATCTTCAGACTTGGATTTTGTTAGCAGTAAGCATATATCATGTTACTTCTCTGTTATAAAACCTCTCCAATGGTGAAAATGATTTTCCTTTTCTTTTTTTTTTTTTTTGGGACCGATCGTGGGGCCTGAACTCTGGGCTTGGGTGCTGTCCCTCAGCTCTTCAGCTCAAGGCTTAGCGCTCTACCACTTGAGCCACAGCGCCACTTCTGGCTTTTTTCTTATGTGGTGCTGAGGAATTGAACCCAGGGCCTCAAACATGCAAGGCAAGTGCTCTACCACTGAGCCACCTTCCCAGCCCGATTTTCCTTTTCACCCAAAGCAAAAGACAGTCTTCAAGATGGCTTAGGGGTAGAGTGCTTGCCTAGCATGCGTTAAACCCTGGGTTCTATTCCTCAGTACCACATAAACAGAAAAGGCCAGAAGTGGAGCTATGGCTCAAGTGGTAGAGTGCTAGCCTTGCTCAAAAGAAGCTCAGAACAGTGCCCAGTCCCTTAGTTCAAACCCTAGGACTGGTTAAAAAAAAAGAAAGAAAGAAAGAAAAGAAAAGAAAAAATAACCTGTAAGTACTACTATGCCTTAATTTAGCCCCATGGGACTTTGTGAGTCCTCCAGCATGCCCAGAGCATGTCTGCTTGAGGGCCTTTGCCTTAGCTTTTCCTCAAGCTGGAATTCTCTTTCTCCTGGATCCCACTTTAATGCTTGATCCTGCTCCCTGTCTCCACCTATGGCTGTTGCTGCCCCCCAACCTTCCTTAGAAAGTTTGCTTATTGGTGAAGGCAGGAATCTTTGTTCTGTTCACTGATGTATCCTGAGATCTGGAACAATACCTGGCACAATGTGTATATCCAAAATAGTTGAATATGTTGTTGGATTTGAAGAGTTGGCAGGTTCTGATTCTTTTAATAGTCATTTAAGGAAGCAAGTAGAAATTTATATAGATCTTATCCCCTAGGAAATGTAGATAGAGACTTATTATTTTCATACCTAACTTGCTTTGAAAATTGTATACTGATCATTATGTTATTTTATTTTTGTCTAAAGCGTGGTGCTCGGTCCCCTCTGATATTTCTCTACGTGGTTGACACATGCCTGGAGGAAGATGACCTTCAAGCCCTCAAAGAGTCTTTGCAGATGTCCCTGAGTCTCCTTCCTCCAGATGCTCTGGTGGGTCTCATCACTTTTGGGAGAATGGTGCAGGTTCATGAACTAAGCTGTGAAGGAATCTCCAAAAGTTACGTCTTCCGAGGAACCAAGGATTTAACTGCAAAGCAAATTCAGGTTTGTATCTATTGCACAGAAAGAAGCAGGAGCAAAGACATTTCTTAAAAATTCCAGTAGTGGCACTGTGGCTCAAGTGGTAGAGTGCTCACTTTGAGCAGAAGAGCTGAGGGACAGCGTCCAGACCCAGAGTTCAAGCCCCATGACTGACAAAAAACAAAACAAAAAAAAAAAACAAAACAAAAATCCAAGCTGGGTGCCACTGGCTCATACCTGTAATCCTAGCTACTCAGGAGGCTGAGATCTGAGGATTGCAGTTCAAAGCCAGCCCAGGCAGGAGAGTCTGTGAAACTCTTATCTCCAATAAACTACTCAGAAAAAGCCAGAAGTGGTGCTATGGCTCAAGTTGTAGAGCACTAGACTTGAGCACAAAGAGGCCCAGGGACAGTGCCGAGGCTCTTGAGTTCAAGTCCCAGGACCAGTCAAAAAAATATTTCCAGTCATTAAATTTTAGTGTTATGGGAAATGAATCTTTCTATTTTTTTAGGATATGCTTGGCCTCACCAAACCAGCTATGCCTATACAGCAAGCAAGACCAGCTCAACCTCAGGAACACCCTTTTGTTTTCAGCAGGTGAGATACTGACAAATAGTATTGTATGTGCTATAGTGGGCTGTAGCTCAGCCCTTGGGAGTAAGAGAAGAAAGTATTAGAACTCTGGTTTATTTCTTCCTTTTCTTTTTTTTTTAAATTGAGATTAGGTGATTACATAAATTTCACATATTTCACAGTGTTGTGGAATAGTGATACTTAAGTAGATACTTAACCTTCTTAACCTACTTAAGTAGATACTTAACCTTCACAAGGCAAATTGTTGTTATCATGGTCTATAAAGTGTGAATTCTATGAGCTTTGACAATACAATTATTTTTTTCCACATCAGGTGATATTTACATTTCTTTCCTTTTGCTTAACTGTTCCCCTTTCTTTCTCATTCCTCCCTTCCCATCGCTGTCTTTGGGTTGCTTAGTTCATTTAGAACTCTGGTTTCTTATTATTAATGGAAAAAAAGAAATGAACATGTTTGTGAATAAGATTTTTTTTGGTTGTTTTTTGTGCTTTTTGGAGATAGTCTTTGTATCTTAGAACTGTCCATAAACTAGCAATCGTGTAATCCTAGCCTTCTGCATACTAGGATTACAGGAATGAAATAACTCAGTTCATACTTTCATCTAATAGGTTTGAAGACTATTGTACTCAATCATTCCCTTCCTCTTGATTGAACACATACCTGGCTTCTTGATCCTTAAGTAAAACCGGAAAAACTGAACAAACCTCTTTGGAATACCCTCAAGTAGACCTCTGAGCAGATACTCACTGCTGCATTCAACACATTGAATGCCCAGGGCTGCACCATGCTAGGCTTATAGAAGTCTCAGTAAAATGTATCCTTTGATATGCTGAGCGTAGTCTCTTACTCTGGTAAGAAACCAGATGTTTCTTTTCTTTTTTTTTTTTTTGGTCCGGTCGTGGAGCCTGAACTCTGGGCCTGGGTGCTGTCCTTCAGCTCTTCAGCTCCAGGCTAGCGCTCTACCACTTGAGCCACAGCGCCACTTCCGGCTTTTTTCTTTTTGCTTATGTAGTGCTGAGGAATCAAACTCAGAGCCTCAGGCATGCAAGGCAAGCATTCTACTACTGAGCCACCTTCCCAGCCCAAAACCAGATGTTTCTTTATTATTGCCAAGGATCAAGAGTCATACAAACTGAAGTTTAAGAAAGATGAAAGCTGGGCACCAGTGGCTCACACCTGTAATCCTAGCTATTCAGGAGACTGAGGTCTGAGGATCCTGGTTCAAAGACAGCCTGGGCAGGAACATCCGTGAAACTCTTATCTCCAACAAACCACTCAGAAAATCATAAGTGGTTCTGTGGCTCAAGTGATAAAGTGCTAGCCTTGAACTGAAGAGCTCAGGAACAGTGCCAGGTCCAGAGTTCAAGCTCCATGACCAACCCCGCCCCCCCCCCCCCCCAAAAAAAAAAAAAAAAAAAGAAAGATGAAGAAAGATGAAGAGAGCCAGGAATGTGGCCTAGTGGTAGAGTGCTTGCTTAGCATTCAAGAAGCCTTAGGTTTGATTCTTCAGTACCACATACACAGAAAAAGCTGGAAGTGGTGCTGTGGCTCAAGTGGTAGAGTGCTAACTTTGAGCAAAAGAAGCTCAGAGGCAGTGCCAATGCCCAGAGTTCAAACCCCAGGATTGGGAAGAAAGAAAAGAAACAAGGAAGGAAGGAAGGAAGGAAAAAAGGAAAGAAGGAAGGAAAAAAGAAAAGAAGGGAAGATTGTCCATATAAATGGACTTAGGTGAACTGGGGTTCATATTATAGGCATGACCTTAGGATCACTGGTGTGCTAGTTTTGGGGTTTGAACTCAGGGTCTAGGTACTATCCCTGAGCTTTTTTGCTCAAGGCTCTAGTGTTTTATCACTCAAGACATAGCCTCACTTCCAGCCTTTTTTGGTGGTTAATTAAAGAGTCTCACAGTTTCCCCCTTGGGCTGGCTGTGAACTGAGATCCTCTGATCTCAGCTTCCTGGGCAGGTAGGATTATAGGCGTGAGCCATTGTTGCCTGATGATTTGGTTTTTTTTCAACTTGATTTTCTCTCATGCTGCATTTAAAAGTCACTAAGTATTAAGTTTTAAAATCTATGCTTCAATAAAAGTATTTTGAATTTCTTTTTTTTTTTTTTTTTTTGGGTCCGGTTGTGGGGCTTGAACTCTGAGCCTGGGTGCTGTCCCTCAGCTCTTCAGCTCAAGGCTAGCACTCTACCACTCAAGCCACAGCGCCACTTCCGGCTTTTTTCTTTTTGCTTATGTGGTGCTGAGGAACCAAACCCAGGGCCTCCGGCTTGCAAGGCAAGCACTCTACCACTGAGCTACCTTCCCAGCCCAGTATTTTGAATTTCTTAATGTTTATACTTAGAGGTAATTTAGAAAAAAACGCTGCAGGCTTTTTCTATTTGGAATAATTATCTGAAGAGTAGTTAGCTATGCGGCACACGGGGTTGAAGACTGCGGTACTTTATTAAACCATGATTGATATGTCTATTTAAAATCATGCAGATTTTTGCAGCCTGTTCACAAGATTGACATGAACCTCACTGATCTTCTTGGGGAGCTGCAGAGGGACCCATGGCCAGTAACTCAGGGGAAGAGGCCTTTGCGATCCACTGGTGTTGCCTTGTCCATTGCTGTTGGCTTGTTGGAGGTAATTTGTAATTTACAGGGATCTCTCAGATTTTACAGACTTGTTCTTAGAAATTTTATTTCTTGCCTCTGTTTGGAACTCTTTTGTGGCATAAGTCAGCTGACTTGTATCAGGAAAGTTAAAGCAGTAGGAAGCACACACACTTCCCACTTTTTCTCACAGAGGGAGAGAATATGTGCTGCTTTTTATATTATCTGTATTCTGCAATATCGTTAGTAGTAAGCAGATAAAAAGGAGCTGGAAGTACAAGAGAATTCATATTTGGAGTATATTTATCCCGAAATGGAAACTGCCCTAAGGGATGGGGCTTTGTTCTTCTAAAATGCTATTTATTGTTTCAGGGCACTTTCCCAAACACAGGAGCCAGAATCATGCTATTTACTGGAGGGCCCCCAACCCAGGGACCTGGCATGGTGGTTGGAGATGAATTAAAGATTCCTATTCGTTCCTGGCATGACATTGAGAAAGACAATGCACGGTTCATGAAAAAGGCAACCAAAGTAGGTACTCCTGGATATGAGCTATCCAGTGCCAGTTTTAGAATTCTCTGGAGTAGAAGCTACTTTGTTGAGGCCATATGCTCTTGAAGATTGAGTCTTCTATAATACTATTGAATTATTGCCCCTGAGGCAGTAAAAGGTTTGGGAATTGATAGCTAAATTCCTAATTTGTTGGATATTTTAAAGAATATAATCTCCATATTTCTTTATTTGATTGCTTCCTTTGGTATGTTAAAGCATACTTTGAGAATAAAGTTACTGTTTCCTAAAGATAGTTTTTTTTTTTCTCTTCACAGCACTATGAGATGCTTGCTAATAGAACTGCTGCAAATGGTCACTGCATTGATATTTATGCCTGTGCCCTTGATCAAACTGGACTTTTGGAGATGAAGTGTTGTCCAAATCTTACTGGGTATGTTGACAGTGAACACTTGGGAAATCTGAGTTATTTCAAGGAAAGAAATGAGTGATAGATTCCTAAGAGTTGGCAGGGTCAACCTAGGAGCTTTCATTGACTGCCTGGGGAGAGTATGTGGGTCTCTTGGAGGAAGAAGCAGTGATGAACAGGAGGTTTCAAGTGTTGGTGCAAACAAGTTATGTCAAGTAACTTTATTTCCTTCTCAGAAGCTTGTATGCAGACAAACTTTATTTCCTTCTCAGAAGCTTGTATGCAGACAAGGCCAAAAAAGAAAAAACAAACATGGAGTACTTCGCTTTTAGCAAAGTACTTCCTTGAGATAAGGGAAGAAGGTAGAGTCTGAGTGTCAGAGCAATTAGAAAAAACTTGGCTTGGTGGAGTGACCATACTTTGTGATTAACACTAAGTGTCATGTCAGCCTATAGCAAGCACTGACCCAGAGCCTAACTTTGTATTGTACCCACAAGTCCAAATGTAAAACTGTGGTTCTCAGCATGCAAGGGAGCCTAGCAGGAGTCTTAGAAGTTCAGGGGAACTGATTAGGAATATTCTTCTCTGGTCTTGTCCCAGACCGGAGTCAGAAGCTCTGGTATGCAGCTGTCTAGGAGAATCAGATACCTGTGAAAGAGTAAGAAATATGGATGTCAGGCTCTGATCTAAAGCCAAGCTAACCAAGAACTGTAAAACTTGTGCTTTGAGTCTTGTCTCAGAAATTCTGGTTTAATTTAACATTTGGTCCAGGCTTTTTGTTGTTGTTATTTGTGTTTTGTTTTTCTTTTTTGAGACAAGGTTTCTTTATATACCCAAGACTGATCTCAAACTTGGTGATTCTCTTGCCTAACCCCCTGAAGTGCTGGATTATAGTTCTGTGTACCATGCCTAGAGTAGGTGTCAGACATTTTTAAAGTTCCTCCAGTGATTCTAACAGGGAGTAGTGCTTGAATCCCATTTAGGATTAGCCTCACCTCTGAGCTCATTGGAAATGCAGCCTTTTAACCTACTGAATCAAAACCTACAATTGCACAAAGTCCCAGTAATTTACATACATGGAAGGAATAGTTTCAGAAGCACAAGCACAAGCATAGAACCCTGAACTGGGCTTATGACTAGCTGATATTACTTGTCCTCATAGAGGGGGTGGAAGGTAGGCCTGAGTTTCTTGAAGATATGCTGGGGAGCAACCAATGTGCTTGATGGAATTAGAGTCTCTACTAGCACTCATATTAATGAGGTACACTAAATAAGAGGGACTACTGCCAGGGCCCCATAGGAGTTCTGGATTTGGAGCATTCTTTGAGAAACTTTAGAGTATTTGTGAGTGCCTGGAGATTATGTGTCATTTTGTGTGTGTGTGTGTGTGTGTGTGTGTGTGTGTGTGTGTGTGTGTGTGTGTGTGTGTGTGTGTGTGTGTGTGTGGTTTCTATGGAGAGGAGCCATTATTTCCATCAGTCTTATTGGTATATATTTGACTCTAGACATATGTAACATTTAGGTCAAGTCATTCTGTTCCACAAATATTTCAGTATGACTAAAAAAAAAAGATAAAGAAGTTTGTATGAGAACTTAAGATGAGCTTGTTTGGGATCTGGAGATGTTTTCTCAGTACATGGCTGGTCATTTAGAGGGAAAATCAACTAAAACTTCGTTCCTCTTTCTTCATACAAACCCAGAGGTCACCGTTATAATCCCAAATGTTGGGGATTTTTTCCTTGCCAGCAACAAGCAGTCATTTCTACAGTAGACATATGTATATTTATATATATGTGTGCCATACCCACAGTAGCACATGTTCATGTATATGTGTATCAGAATGTTACATTGACAAATTTAAACTGATGAGTTTATTGATTGAAGAGTACTTATTTTTGAGGGGGGGTCAGGATCTTTCTATATAGAGTAATTATTCTCAAACTCACAATTCAATCTACTGACCTACTGAGTTGCTGTGCTTATATGCATGTGTCAACATACTCTGCATTTTTTTTATCCATTTTTTTTGGTCAGAAATAGAGATTTGTAGAAATTGCCAATGAGATAAGAATGCAGATAGGTTCATTCATACTCTTCTTACACAAATATAGTATAGTGTTAACATTAGAAAGTTGGAATTGGCCCACTTTAGTAAATTATACCTTTATAAGAGTTTGCCACCTTTTTTTTTTTTGGTGCTGGGGCCTATGCTATCTCACTTAGCTTTTTTACTTAAGCCTGGCACTGTACCACTTGAGCCACAGATCTACTTCCACCTTTTTGGTGGTTATTTGGAGTTAGGGATTTAATGGATTTTTTTGCCTGGTCTGGCTCTGAACCTTTATCCTCATATCTCAGCTTCCTGAGATGGTAAGGATTACAGGCCTGAGCCAATGACACTTGGCTTTTTTCTCCTTCTTTACATGTGAACATGTGTAATTCTATGAGATTTTAACCTCTGTAGCTTTGTGTAATTAGTGTAGTCATAAAAATATGAAGCGGTTATTTATATTATCTTTGTTTAGTGTGTGGAAAATTTATAAACTAAACATGCTGTTTTCCATTTAAGTTAGTAGTGATAGTATATTTTCAGGTTTTTTTTTTTTCTTGTTTATATACTGAGGGAGCATATGAATGGGCTTGTGGTCATCCTAACATCCTTTTTTTTTTTTTTTTAGAGGCCACATGGTGATGGGAGATTCTTTCAACACTTCTCTCTTTAAGCAGACATTCCAAAGAATTTTTAGTAAAGATTTTAATGGAGATTTCCGCATGGCATTTGGTGCTACTTTGGAAGTAAAGGTGTGATACACTTAAAACATGAATGGAATTAATGTTGTTTTGCTTTCCTTTCTCATTTTGTACTTATAGTCTTAGCCTCTTGCACACAGGCACCTAAAGGCCAGTTTTTAAAAGGATACCAACAGAAGGCTATCATGGAGTGTACTATTTACCTTGTCCCTTTACTTTTCAAGGATAGCTTGTATATTTATTAACATTCTACACAAGAAGCTGGTGGTTCCCCTGCAGGCCCTGCTCCACTCTGCTTTAGGACAGACAGAAGTTGAGAAAGGGTGATGGGGGAATTTGTTAGATGCACTATTGTGTCTTTACAGGAAGCCACACACAGGCCAGCATCTATCATCAGTGTGGGTCACCACACTGATCATCTGTGTTTATGTTTACTCCTGTCTGAAGACTAACCAGAATGTTCTGAAGTAGATAGCATTGTGCATTTTGGTTTTGTCTGTGCAGAAACTCAGTCCCTGATGGTGGACTCTAAGTCATTGAGAAAACATTAAAAAAGGAGCATTAGAAATGATAATTGGAGAATTAGAGGTGAAGCTAACTGTTAAACAACATTCTTAAATTAATTTTTTTTTAAGATGAAGACGAGTGCATTTTGTTGAAGTGAATTTAGATTTGAAAATCTGTTGGTCTTGTCATTATGTTGGGGTTCATAAATTAAATTTTGTTTTTTGTTTTTGTTTTGGTGCTAGTCCTGGGCCTTGGAATCAGGGTCTGGGCACAGTCCCTGAGCTTCTTTTGCTCAAGGTTAGTGCTCTACCACTTGAGCCACAGTGCCCCTTCCAGCTTTTTCTGTGTATGTGGTACTGAGGAATCGAACCTTGGGCTTCATGCATACTAGGCAAGCACTCTACCACTAAGCCACATTCCCAGTCCTTGCTGCAGCTTTGAAGGATAGATTTCACTAACATTTTAGTCAATATATAGGATGGGTGAGTAGTTGGATGCTGTAATCAATGTGGGGTTTTTCTTTTGTTAGAATAACATTAAAAGATTTTCCTTGACGTTTTTTATTGTGACTCTTGAGAGCAGGGTAGCTCTCAGTGTTGTTGTTGTTGTTTTTTCTAGTCCTGGTACTTGAACTCTGGGCCTGGGCCGCTGTCCCTGAGCTTCTTTTGCTCAAGGCTAGCACTTTACCACTTGAACCACAGAGACACTTCCAGCTTTATTTTTGAAGTACTTTGTTGGAGATACGAATCTCATGGAATTTCCTGTGCCAGCTAGTTTTAAACCACGATCCTTAGATCTCAGCCTCCTGAGTAGTTGGGGTTACAAGGTGTGAGCCATTGGTACCTGGTCAGTCATTTTTAACTTTAAAAAAAATACGTTATTTATTGTAAAGATGCTGTACAGAGGGGTTACAGTTACATGAGTAAGGTAATGAGTACATTTCCTATCCAGCATTGTTATTTCCTCCTTTGTTTTTCCCCTACCATCCCTTTCCTCCCCAGTCATTTTTAACTTTATACTCTTTTGTAATTTGTTTTAGACTTCACGGGAATTGAAGGTTGCAGGAGCCATTGGTCCCTGTGTATCTCTGAATGTAAAAGGACCATGTGTATCAGAAAATGTAAGGAAAATTCCATCATCTTCACTGCTGTATAGTTAAGCTTATAAGAGGAGTCACTGACCTTATAGTGTATCAGCTGTTAGGTGTATCCAGTGAGCGGGGATGGGATAGCCTTCACTGATGACCACAAATCTGAGGCATAGGCATCATCTGTCCTCTCTATGTATCTGTCTGAAGGACCAGAAAGACAGAGACAGTATGTTGAAATCTTTCTCAGAGAAAGAGATAACATGGAAAAGCTGTATCCCAGTTACTCTTTACTCGATAACCTGTACATGATTTGCTATACCACTGTGCCACAAACATTCAACAAAATATTTTAGAATAAATCTTTTGTGTTTGGTAACCGTTGAGGTGACAACTTGTCTCACTTTAGCTAATGAACCTAATATAACAGGGACCACACCCAGAGTTGGTTGAGCAACAGATGAAATACAGATGCAGACATCTGTGTTCTCTGGTATCACATAGTGAATTTATTTTTATTTTATTTTTTTATTTTTTGGGTCCGGTCGTGGGGCCTGAACTCTGGGCCTGGGCGCTGTCCCTCAGCTCTTCAGCTCAAGGCTAGCGCTCTACCACTTGAGCCACAGCACCACTTCTGGCTTTTTTCTTTTTTTGCTTATGTGTTGCTGAGGAATCGAATCCAGGGCCTCGAGCATGCAAGGCAAGCGCTCTACCACTGAGCCACCTTCCCAGCCCCCACATGATGAGTTTATGAGAACAAAGTTCGGTCATAACTTGGGATGGTGGGCTTTGCTGGTGACCCACGCCCTCCAATTATGCTATATCTGCCAAGGGGTCCACAGTTTTGTCTAATGAGTTCTCCCAAGTGGTCTAGTGGTAGTTATACAGTCAGGTCCTTCCCTCATTGTCTTCCTCACTAGGTAAGTGGACTGTACAGACAGTGTAGATGCAGGGCACAAGTCTACCACTTGGCATCTGTGTGGCCTGGCTAAAGAACTTAATGGCTGAATGATTTAATGTTATACTTGGCAAGTGAGGATAACAAAGTACCTATTTTCCAACAATATTAGGAGAACTAAACAAGGTAGAATTAAACAGTGCCTAGATCACTGGAGAGGCCTATGGGAGATGTCATCTTTCACATCTTCATTTTTGTCTTTGTGAGAATGAACTGTGCAGTGCAGGTGGATTCAGAGTGGCATGGATGACTCTCCTAATGCATAAGCACTTTACTTGGTAAGCACAGATGTGCTTGGGATCTGTTGTAATGTGTAGTGGCCAGCACCTCTATGAAGACAGTATATGTTTTAAAACTCTAGTAATTTCAGTTGGAGATTCTAGGTCTTTTTTTTTGTTTGTTTGTTTGTTTTTTTGGTCTGGTCGTGGGGCCTGAACTCTGGGCCTGGGCGCTGTCCCTCAGCTCTTCAGCTCAAGGCTAGCACTCTACCACTTGAGCCACAGCGCCACTTCTGGCTTTTTTTTTTTTCTGCTTATGTGGTGCTGAGGAATTGAACCCAGGGCTTCATGCATGCAAGGCAAGCACTCTACCACTGAGCCACCTTCCCAGCCCTCTAGGTCTTTTTTTTAAAACGTCTTTTCTATAAAATAATACTCAAATTCACATTTAAGTGAACCTTGTATTTTGTCTCTGTGTGCCATTCAACAAATCATTGAAAAAGGAGCCTCATGCTATTACATTCTCCTCCATTCTCACTGAGAATTTATGTGTAGCTTTTACATGAAAATGTTGAATTAGAAATTAGTATTTCAAAGCCAGGCATAGTGACATATGCCATTAGTTCCAGATACTTGGGAAGTTAAGATGGGAGGATCACTTAAGCCCAAGAGTTTCTGATCAGCAGGAGCAACATAGCAGGATCCTGCCTTAGCCTCCTGAGTACTAGGATTAGAGATATGTGTCATTGTATCAGGCTCTATCACAGTATTTCTTGTTCTAATAATAATAAGAAATTCATAAAACTTTCAAACTAAGCAGGTAACTATTCTTCTTACTGTATTTCTTCCCTACCTGACTTGCTTGATTCTTTGTTGAATTATATACCATTATATACCATTGTTATATACCATTTCATGTATATATGTTGTAATGAAAATAATTCATAATACAAATACGACAAATTTAAAGTATTGAAAATGTTATGCTGTTTGGTGCTCTGTTTCTCAGTAAAAAATATTTCCAATTTTTATTTAGAAAGAGATAAATTTAAGGGCTTGCCCTGCTCAATCAGTACTTTTCATAGATAGTTAATCACAGGATTTGAGTTTTGATTGTTTGTATATTTACATTCCTCTTTCCAACCCTAGGAACTTGGTGTTGGTGGCACAAGTCAGTGGAAAATCTGTGGCCTAGACCCCACATCTACCCTTGGCATCTACTTTGAAGTTGTCAATCAGGTATGCTAGATTTCTTCACCTGTCTTCATGTTACAGTGTTCTGTCTGTTATTTACAGACCAGTATTCTCTAGCTACTTACTTCATAACTTGCTACTATTGGATCAGGCATGATGCTAGTCTGGCATGGTCTTTTTTATTTCTTCTAGGGGTTAGTGGGCTTTAGATTGAAATTATTACTTTTACCAGCCATTATAATATTGAATTTTTTGAATGTGCCAAATCTTTCCCTAATACTTTGTTTTTTTTTGGGTCTGGTCGTGGGGCCTGAACTCTGGGCCTGGGCGCTGTCCCTCAGCTCTTCAACTCAAGGCTAGTGCTTTACCACTTGAGCCTCAGTGCCACTTCCGGCTTTTTTTTTCTTTTTGCTTATGTGGTGCTGAGGAATCAAACCCAGGGCCTCAGGCATGTAAGGCAAGCGCTCTACCACTGAGCCACCTTCCCATTCCTTTCCCTAATACTTTGTTAAGAAAAATTCCAAAATACAAAATTTAAATAATGATATAGTGAATACCTATAAACCCACAAAAATTAACATTTTACTGTAGCTACTTTGTCCTTTGTTTATTGGTCCAACTTATTTTTGATGCATTTCAGAGCAACTTGCAGTCATCAGTGTATTTCATCCCTAAACATTCCAGCATTCATCGATAATTGGAGTTCAGGTTTTTCCTCACTAGACATTGAACACAAGACCTCATTTTTGCTAAATAGGTGCTCTTACCATTGAGGCTATACTTCCCACCCCAGAAGTTTATAAGTAAATCTGCTTCTTCTTTCTTTTCTTCCCCCTCTTTTCTTTTAGGTAAAAGTTATATACAGTGGAGTTATGAACCTCCTTAATGTGTGGTTTAAAATGCTTCAAGCATCTTATCCCTAAAAGTGTTTAGAAAAGCCTCGTAGGCTCTGTAACTATGTTTGGATCATGCCTATGACAGTAACCATGTATGTGGCCTCTCACTCTGCAGCACAATGCCCCAATCCCTCAGGGAGGCAGAGGAGCCATTCAGTTTGTCACTCAGTATCAACATTCCAGCACCCAGAAACGCATTCGAGTGACCACCATTGCCCGCAAGTAAGTAACTCATTTTCTTCGTCTTGAAATACTGAAAGTTTTCCTATGAAAAGATGTTTGACCATCTTTGAGGTGGTTTTTCTGGTTTTATTGGATGGTTCTCACCAATCCAACTTGATTGTTTAAGCCTTTGTCTTAGAGGAATACCTTTCAGTAAGATATAGCTCGATGAATATTATTTCTTATTATCACATTTATTACATACATAAACCATTAAAGTAGAATGTAAATTCAGAAGATCTTCTGTATCTGTGGTTTCTCCATTTAGGGAGTTAATCAACTTTGAATGGGTAATATGTTTTAAAAGCTTATCTGTACTGAGCATATAGACATTTTTTCTTATCCATTTTCTTTAAACAATATAGTGTAGCAACTGTTTGCACAGCATTTATATTTATTATATATTCCGAGTCATATGTGGATGTTTGAAAGTATTATACCTTTTTTCTATTTTTTTGTTTGTTTTTGTTTTGTTTTTTGGTGCTAATATTGAGGCTTGAACTCAGGGTCTGGTTGCTGTCCTTGACTTTTTTTTGCTCGAGGCTTGAGCTCTTACTACTGGAGCCATACCTTCACTTTGACCATTTTTGATTGGTGATAAGAATTTATGGACTTCCCTGCCTAGAGTGGTGTTCATCTTTGATCCTTAGATATCAGCCTCCTGAGTAGCTAGGATTACAGGCTTGAACCACTAGTGCCCAGTTATATTATTCATTTTAGTGGTTACATAGTAATTCATAGTTTGCATGGATATATCACTTCTCTGTTAAAGAAGATTGTAAGCCCTTATAACAGTGCTACATATTTTTAGGTCTTTATACACAGAGGTATTTCTGTTTCTTTTCTCTTTTTCTGTTTTTCTCTTCCTTTTCTCTTTCTCTCTCTCTCTCTCTCTCTCTCTCTCTCTCTCTCTCTCTCTCTCTCTCTCTCTCTTTGTGGCACCAAAGATCAAACCCAGGACCTTTTGCATGCAATAGTATGCCTTCTGCCACTCAGCTACAGCTCTAGTCTCATTTTAGCTATTTTCTAGAAATTAAATTTTGGATACTACACAACAACATTCTTTTTTTTTCTTTTTGGTCGGTTATGGGGCTTGAACTCTGGGCCTGGGCACTGTCCCTGAGCAATTCCACTCAAGCCAAGCATTCTACTCCTTGAGCCACAGAAAACTTCTGGTTTTCTGGTGGTTAATTGGTGGTTAATTGCTTGGGCTGGCTTTGAACCAGGATCCTCAGATCTCAGCCTCCCGAGTAGCTAGGATTACAGGCATGAGTTACCAGCGCCTGGCACAACTACTTTTTTATTTGTACTCTTCCCCAGTACTGTAAGAAGAGTACTACCACCTTATTAACAATCAACATTATTATTCTTTGACATGTCAGTGTAGATCAGTATTTCACTTCCATTTGTCTTTCCCCATGTTATCATTGAGTTGAGTATTTTTTCTTTTCTTTTTTTTAATTTATTGTGAAAATACTGTAATGAGGGGTTACAATTACATGGGCAATGAGTTGAGTACTTTTTCATGTTTATACCATACAGACTTTTTCTGTGATAGCTTCTGTTTGTTTTTGTAAAGCTTATTTATTTTACTTGTTCATTGATTTACAGATATTCTTTATGTATTCTGGAGATAATAATCATGTTTGTTGTATGTATTTATTCTTGGTCTATCAGGTAATTCTGGGAAGTCATTTTGTAAATTTGAAATTTGACATAGAAGGAGGAACATTATATTCAGGCTTGTCTCTTGAGTTTCTGCTTTTGTATCTTGTAGATGTAGAGAAATTGTCCTTTATCATTTTTCTTTTGAGCTGAGAGTCTTCAGATGTCACCATGGATAATTAAAAATGTATGCCAGGTGTCCTTAGTATAAGTACAGTACAAAGAAATAAAATTTCTTTGTCTTCACAAAGAAATAAGATTTATGTTTATCAAAGTGGAGATCTGGCCTTGTAGTCACTTCTGAACGTATGCCTGGCACTAACTCTGGAATTGTCAGTTGGGCAGATGCACAGAGTCAGCTCAGGCATATAGAAGCTGCGTTTGATCAAGAGGCTGCTGCAGTCTTGATGGCACGGCTAGGTGTGTTCCGGGCAGAGTCAGAGGAGGGGCCTGATGTGCTCCGGTGGTTGGACCGACAACTCATCAGACTGGTAAGTTGAGAATAATAGCATTGGGTTCAATGTTGGTCTCTGCTGTACTTTTGAGAAAAAAAAAATTGTCAATTAAACCTATTGTTTTATATAGTCAGTTAGCAAGTATTTATCAGTTGTTTACCTTCTGCCAAACACTGGACATTCTGAGAGTGTATCAAACAAATGTTAAGTGCGCATTTATTCAAGAGCTGACATCATAGTTAGAAAGAAACAAAATGTATGGACTATTTGGTGCTTTGGTATTTTGGTATTTGGTAACAATTGAGTTATGTTAGTGATTTTGTGAATGTTACAGTCCTATATTTTTTCCCGGCATCTAGGAGGTGTTTTAGAAATTGGGATCCATGCATAGTGAGAGATGCCTCATGTATCAGGCCAGATCCAAGCAGGAGAGAGGAAGCAAGAAGCATTACAATGTGTCTTTTGGGAGAGGTTAGACTTAAGTGTGATTCTCAAGCAGGGTTGTAGCATAGGCATGTGTTCATGTTTAACATCCCCCTAGAAGGGAGAGTCCTGGGAGAAAAGACCATTGTTAAAGATGAAAGAGTTGGGAGCCAGTGACTCACACCTGTAATCCTAGCTACGCAGGAGGCTGAGATCTGAGAATCACGGTTCAAAGCCAGCCCAGGCAGGAAAGTCCATGAGACTTATCTCCAAGTAACCACAGAAAACCAGAAATGGCACTGTGGCCCAAGTGGTAGAATGCTTGCCTTGAGCTGAAGAGCTCAGGGACAGGGTCCAGACCCAGAGTTCAAGCCCCACAATGAACACAAAAAGAAAAGAAAAGAGAAAAAGATTTAAGGGGGCTGGGAAGGTGGCTCAGTGGTAGAGCGCTTGCCTTGCATGCATGAGGCCCTGGGTTCGATTCCTCAGCACCACATAAGCAAGAAGAAAAAAGCCAGAAGTGGTGCTGTGACTCAAGTAGTAGAGCGCTAGTCTTGAGCTGAAGAGCTGAGGGACAGTGCCCAGGCCCAGAGTTCAGGACCCCCCCCCCAAAAAAAAAAAAAAAAAAGATTTTTGCAGGCTCAAGGGAGCTGAAAGATTGGTAGCAGAGGGAACAGAAGCTGTGTAATTAGCAAGTATGTTGACAGAAGAACTGATTAAAACCATAGAAAAAGACTTTCAAATCCAAAATGGAAAAGTTAGTGTTAACTTTTTTTTTCTTTTCTTAATCTCAAGGCCTGGCCTAGTTATTGTCCCTTAGCTTTTTCACTCAGTGCTAGTGTTCTTCCACTTGGGACAGAACTCCATTTTTTTACTTTTAGCTGGTTAATTGGAGATAAGGGTTTCACAGACTTTCCTGCCCAGGTTGGCTTAGAATGGAGATCCTCAGATCTCAACTTTCTGAGTTGCTAAGATTATAGACCTGAGCCACTGGTACCCAGCTTTAGTAATGACTCTTATTTAAAGTATGGGTAACTCTTAAGACTGATGAAGGAGGGAGAAAATGGGTGAAGAAAACCTTGGGAGTGGATGAAAGCACATTTTCCTTTATTATTATTATTTATTAATAATATTAATTTCCAGCTTCCTAGGTCCGCTTTTTTTTTTAATACTAGAGATTGAAGTTAAGGCCTTGACCATACTAAATGCATGCTCTGCCACAGAGCCACGCTCCTAGTCTTGTATTTTAACAGGAACTCCTGGTGATTTATGTATGTCTTTGCTGTCTGAGAATGTTATTCTCAAACTCATAGGAAGAAGCAGTAAGATTACAATATAGCTCTTAATCCAGGTGACACTAACTTAGATTTTCTTTTCTTTTCTTTTTTCTTTATATTTTTAACAGTGTCAGAAGTTTGGACAGTATAACAAAGATGACCCTACGTCTTTTAGGTTATCGGATTCCTTTTCTCTATACCCTCAGGTAAGGAATACATGTTTTAAAAAATAAATATAGAAGAATACATTGTAATAGAAATAAACTTTGTTTTTGGGATACAGTGGAGACTTTTTACGCTTTGAGATACAGGCTATCGTTGATAAAGTTTATTTTCTGATCGTATAGCCTCATCTGTTAATGAGGAAATATGGGTGGTTAGGAGGATTTTATGAGTTTAGTCAAGTATTCCATATCTAGCACTGCTGGGTGTTGGTGGCACACGCCTATAATCCTAGCTACTCAGGAGGCTGAGATCTGAAGATCACAATTCAAAGCCAGCCCAGGCAGGAAAGTCCATGAGACTCATCTCCAATTAACCACCAGAAAAATGGAGATGGCTCTGTGGCTCAAATGGTAGAGTATTAGCCTTGAGCTGAAGAGTGTAGGGATAGTGCCCAAGCCTAGAGTTCAAGCCCCAAGACTGACAAAAAATAATCAAGCACTGTGCAATCTCTGTAAAGCCATAACATTCTTTTTTTTTTTTTTTTTTTTGGGTCCGGTTGTGGGGCCTGAACTCTGGGCCTGGGTGCTGTCCCTCAGCTCTTCAGCTCAAAGCTAGTGCTCTACCACTTGAGCCACAGCGCCACTTCTGGCTTTTTTCTTTGTGCTTATGTGGTGTTGGGGCATCGAACCCAGGACCTCATGCATGCAAGGCAAGCACTCTACAACTGAGCCACCTTCCCACCCAGCCATAACATTCTTTAAGCTTGTTTGGAAGTTCTAGCAGGGGAACACAGCTACTCATATACCTTTAAAGACCAATCCTTCAATATTGGGGAAAGTTGTTCTCTTCCACCAAGTACACAGTTTCAGGAGGGCTGCACATGGATCAGTGAGCAAGGAAGAAGAAGACATCCGCCTATTCAGCCAGATTAGCCAAATCAATCTTGGTGATCAGTGGGTGGCAGATGTCGCATCCAGATTGCTCTCATTTCCAAATTTCTTTCTTTTTTCTTTTTTTTCCCATCATGGGGCTTGAACTCCAGGCCTGGGTTGTCCTCAGCTCTTCAGCTCAAGGCAAGTGCTCTACCACTTGAGCCACAGTGCCACTTCTGGTATTCCAGTAGTTTATTGGAGATAAGAGTCTCAGACTTTCCTGTTGGGGCTGGCTTTGAACCATGATCCTCAGATCTCAGCCTCCTAGTAGCAAGGATTACAGGCATGAGCCACCGGCCTCCAGCCCCAAATTCTTTATTCCAAAGGACCGTCCCTCAAAAGACAGTGTGCAAAGCAGACAAAATTGGTGCTGCTCTGGTAGTGCCCACATAACACTCACCCATTGAGTCCCACCAGAGTCCCCATTCCTAGAAGGACCCAGGATTGGCCAAGCCTAAAGAGCACAGTTGGGAAGCCACCAGATGAGATGGAGTCTAAGATTTTTTTCTGACAAGGCATTCTAGGGTAGAGGTCAAAAGTCTAGTCTCTGTAGCTATAGATGTCCTGGATTAGTGTCCATCTCTACAGCTCAAAAGTAGGGTGACTTTGGACAAGTTGCTTACCTCTTTGTACTTCACTTCCTCATCTATAAACCGAGAAAAGAACCTTTTACATGGGCTTATTGGACAGATTATTTAATTCTTGACATACACTTTGTGCATTGTATATAGAATGTGTTGAATATCATCCCTGATTATTTAGGAACATATGACTTAATAGTTGGAGTTTTAGGATGCTTATAGTTCTCAAGGCAGTTCATTTCTCATTCCTTAGAGTCAGCTAAAAGTCTACCCCACCTTTTGTAATCTGTAGGGTAATGAACATATCTTTCTAGTGTAACCTATTGTTCTATTCCCTATTCTTACCTCACTCCAACCTACCAGCCTGTGTCCGAGTCTTTTGCCTCAGTCTTCTGGCCTTTCTGGTATATTCTCAGTCCTTGGGAAGTCTCCTGTTGGTTTCTCTTCCCTACCCCAAAAGTGCATTTTTTTTATACTGTGGCTTATAACTCAAAGCCCTGTGTGGTGCTAGGAAGGTGGCTCAGTGGTAGAGTGCTTGCCTTGCATGCATGAGGCCCTGGGTTCGATTCCTCAGCATCACATAAGCAAAAAGGAAAAAGCCGGAAGTGGCGCTGTGGCTCAAGGGGTAGAGCGCTAGCCTTGAGCTGAAGAGCTGAGGAACAGCTCCCAGGCCCAGAGTTCAGGCTCCACGACCGGACCCAAAAAAAAGCCCTAAGTGTACTTCTTTTTTCTATTGATTTAATTCCTTTGAGAATAGATGTTCTCTTTCTATAGCCCCGTCCAGGGATTCTGGAAATAAATGTTTCTTTGCTTTTCTCCTTTCATATGAGAGCTTTACCATATCTGTAAATTTCATATTTTAAAGAGGATTCCCCCCGCCTTTTTTTTTGGGCCAGTACTGGGCCTTGAACTCTGGGCCTGGGAGCTGTCCGTAAGCTCCTTTTGCTCAAGGCTACCACTCTACCACTTGAGCTATAGCACTACTTTTTCTGTGATTAATTGGAGATTTGGATCTCACAGATTTTCCTGCCTGGGCTGTCTTTGAACCATGATTCTCAGATCTCAGCCTTCTGAGTAGCTAGGATTACAGGTGTGAGCCACCGGCGCCCGGCTGTGAAGTTCTTTATTTGTTGTTTTTAAGTTCTATAAAAATTTTAAAGTGGTAAAAAGCACAACACAGAATTCACTACCTTTAATCTTTTAGGTGTATAATTATATAATATTAAGTACATTTATGTTGTTGTGCGGCAGAAATTTTATCTTGTTGTGTGTGCAGAAATTTCATCTTGCTATACTGAATTTCTGCACTTATTGAATTAACAATTCTCCATTTCCTTCTTCCACCAGTTCCTGTGCCAGCTTCTGCTTTCTGTCTCTGTGAGGCCAGAGGCTTCTTTTCCTCTGTCTGGGCTCTATACTGTTTTGGGGATCTAAAAGGGTTGGGATCTACTCTCTAATATATCCAAAGATACAGCTATATGCATTTGTCTTTTTCTTTTTTGTCAACGCAGTTCATGTTCCATCTAAGAAGGTCTCCATTTCTTCAAGTCTTTAACAACAGTCCCGATGAGTCTTCCTATTATCGACACCACTTTGCCCGTCAGGACCTGACACAGTCTCTCATCATGATCCAGCCCATTCTTTACTCCTACTCCTTCCATGGACCCCCAGAGGTAAGGCTGTGTGTATCTGCTTTTTTTTTTTTTTTTTTTTGGTGGCAGTTCTAGTTTTGAATTCAGGGCTTGGGTGCTGTTCCTAAGCTTTTTTTGTTCAAGGTTAGTGATGTACCACTTGAGCCACAGCTCCACTTATGGCTTCTTGGTGTCTGTTTGGAGATGTGTCTCATGGACTTTTCTGCCTGGTTGGCTTCCAACTGAGAGCCTCAGATCTCAGCTGCCTAAATAGCTAGGATTACAGGTGTGAGCCACTGGCTTATGGCAATATGTGTATGCTTTTCTAATAATTACAATCATCTAGTATGTATGTTTTTCTTACAAATATACTTCTAAGGCAAAACTGTTTAAAAGAGAAAAGAAAAGTCTTTGAGAATTATTTAACATTGTTTCTGAGTATTAAAAATTATAGGGAAAGGTCAAAGGACATAGAAAGGTATTCTTTGAGAAAGTAATAAATGTAAAAAAACCTTTTAAATATTAGAGTACTTTGCTTTTTTTTTTGAGCTTATATTACCTAAGCAATAATTCCATGTCTAGTATAGTATTTAAAGAAAAAGCTTGGGCTGGGAAGGTGGCTCAGTGGTAGAGCACTTGCTTTGCATGCCTGAGGCCCTGGGTTCAATTCCTCAGCACCACATAAGCAAAAAGAAAAAAAGCCAGAAGTGGCGCTGTGGCTTAAGTGGTATGAGCGCTAGCCTTGAGCTGAAGACCTGAGGGACAGCGCCCAGGACCAGAGTTCAGGCCCCACGACTGGACCAAAAAAACCCAAAAAAACAAAAAGAAAAAGCTTTGTGCAAAGAGGTAGAAAATGGACTACTATAAGTCTACATATAGATTTATTCTATTGACTATTTAGGTCACTATCTAATTCTTTATTACAGTAGTCTATTTTCTCTTTCTTCACACAAAGTAAATAACTAATCTAAGATATAGTCAATTTATGTAATATATGTCCTTATATTGACATTACATGAAAACAAAATAGAAACTTATTGAAAGGAATGCTTATTCTGTTTTATAGAATAGAATGTTGCCTGGTTTGCAAATAAAGCCATTTATGATCGTTAAACTAGTGTGAGAAGGAAAGAAAATCTTTTGTAAATTATGCTTTTTAGAAGCATAAATAAAGAACTATTGGTGTGGGTGACTCACTTCTATAATCTTAGCTACTAAGGAGTCAAAGTTTCAAGCCTGCATAGGCAGACAAATCTATGACACTCTTATCTTCAATTAACCAGTGAAAAACCAGACCTAGAGCTCTAGCTCAAGTAGTAGAGTAAGTACAAGCCTTGAGTGAAAAAGCCAAGTGAGAAAGTGAGGCCCTGAGTTTAATCCCCAATACTGGCACAAGAATAAACAAACAATGAATGAATAAATAAAAAATAATGAACCATATAGAAATAATCCAAATAATTATGATTTAAAATATTAATATTTGTTATGCTAGGGTTTAAGGCTTTCTTAAATGAGTATGAGTTACTTTTATTTTTGAAATAAAAGTCATTGAAAAATTGTACTAAATGCTCTAAGTTCTCCCATTTATTACAACCACATGTTGAGAGAAAGATAGTCTTGATTCAATGGATTTCTAGCATAAAACAGAATGTTCCAATTACTTCTGGTTCCTAGATCACAAGTTACTTACTTCCTCTTTGCAATTGGTGAGGGATTACTTTGAGCCTGTTTCTCCTGTACAGAAGAGATTTAGAACCACTGAGCTGGGGAGCAAAGAGTGGGAATGTGTGATGATGGAGTCCTATGCCAGAAACATTTGTGAACATCATTGGGTGTGGGATTGGGTGTGAGACTGGAGTGGTTGCCATGTGGGGAGAAGAAAGACCAACATAGCTCTTCCTTTTCCTTTAGCCTGTGCTCCTGGACAGCAGCAGCATTCTGGCTGACAGAATTTTGCTGATGGATACTTTCTTCCAAATTGTCATCTATCTTGGTGAGGTAAGATGGTATTATTAGTTACTTTCCTAACTACTGTTTTGGTTTTCTTGTTATTTAATAATTTTTTTTTTGTTTGATTGTTTATTTTTGTGTTTTTGTACCTGTCCTGGAGCTTGAACTTAGGATCTAGGTACTGTTCCTGAGGTTTTTTTTGTGCAAGCCTAGGCACTCTACTTCTTTATTTGTTGTTGTTGGTGGTGGTGGGGCCTGAACGCTGAGCCTGGGCACTGACTCCTCAGCTCTTCAGCTCAAGGTTAGCACTCTACCACTTGAGCTAACTTCCCAGCCAGGCACTCTACTTCTTGAGGCACAGCTCAACTTTGGCTTTTTGGTGATTAATTGAAGATAAGAGTTTTACAGACATTCCTGCCTGAGCTGGCTTGGGACTGTGATCCTCAGATTTCAGCCTTCTTTTTTTTTTTTTGGGGGGGGGGGGTCATTCATGGGTTACATTTTTTGTTTTGGTTTGGTTTTTTGTTGGTGGTGGGGCCTGAACTTGGCCTGGGCACTGCCCCTCAGCTCCTCAGCTCAAGGCTAGCACTCTACCACTTGAGCCACAGTGCCACTTCCAGTTTTCTGGCCATTTATTGGAGATTTGGAGAGAAGAGTCTCACAGACTTTCCTGCCCAGGCAGGCTTTGAACTATGATTCTCAGATCTCAACCTCCTGAATAGCTAGGATTATAGGCATGAACCACCAGCGCTTGGCAAATCTCAGCCTTCTGAGAAGCGAGGATTACAGGTGTGAACCACCAGTACCTGGCAATGTAGGTTTTTAGATGACATTTAAAACAAGAACTAGGACTCAGGAAACCCAGTTTACTAAAATGAGTATAACAGGGAGAGAATGATGAAAGGGGGCGACATTGATCAAGATGTATTTTACTCACAAACTGACATGTTGAATTGAAACCCCTTTGTACAACTACTTAAAGATAATTAAAAAATAAAATTAAAAAATAAAATGAATATAGTGGCTTTTTTCTGTTCAGTAAAAGCTTTTAGACCCCTATATTTGTATATTGTAGAAATTTAACAGGCTTTGCTGTAAACAAATCTCAGGTGATTTTTTCTGTTGTTGTTAGTCTTTTGGGACAGGGACAGAGGGAAGGTGCAGGTAGGGGGGAAGGGGGAACAAATGTAGTCAGGTGATTTTTTTTTTTAAATCAATGTTATTTATTTCCAAAATAGGCAACACCAATTTATTCTTTCTCAGTATGCTTTTTTTCCCAGTATACTTTTTTGTGTGTAAAAATAAAGAAAATGAACTACTGTAATAGAGAATTACAGTCAAAAGAAGGAAAGTAAATACTCTCCTTTCAGAATTATATAAGTTAGGTTTGGGCTGCAGTTTTTCTTTGATGATATAACCTGGCATAGCAAACATTACATGGAACTGTGGATCTCTGGGTTGGTTGTGGATGTTTTTCAAGGAACAGTCCATTTCTCATAGAAATGGACTAAATGCCCTCAAAAAGGAAGTGGCTTCTCTGATTACTTGCATCAGTTTTGGGGAAATTTTTTTAAAATATAATTTTAGGGTCATTATTAATGTGTTGTATAGAGATGAGGGAAATTTTTCTTTTGGTTGGTTGTGGGACTTGAACTCAAGCTGAGTGCTATTCCTGTGTATTTTTTTTTTTTTTTTGCTTAAGGCTAATACTCTACCACTTTGAGCCATAGCTCTACTTTCTGTTTTCTGGTAGTTAATTGGATGTAAGAGTCTCACGGACTTTCCAGCCCAAGCTGGCTTTGAACTGAGCTCCTCAGATATCAGCCTCCTGGGTAGCTAGCATTACAGGTGTGAGCCACCAGTGCCCAGCTCCATTGTTTTCTTTTTTAGTAACCGCTAAATGGCATGAGAAAGCATTTCAGTTTACTTACATTTTGTGATTTCTCATGGTAAAAGTTAAATTTCTCTAACCATTTGCCAAGAAATATTAGAAGAAGAATGAACGTATTTTGCCCCATTGGGGACACAAAATACCCCTATTTTTCATAGTTTATTATGTTGTATTCTCATTGCCTAGTTGACACTTTCTCTGTTTTCTTTTCTTTCTTTTTCTTTTTTTTGTCATTTCTGGGGCTAGAACTCAGGGAGTGTGTCCCTGAGCTTCTTTTGCTCAGAGCTAGCACTCTACCACTCTACTTCCTTCCTTCCTTCCTTGAAGCTACCACTTGAGCTATAGCACCACTCCCAGCTTTTTCTCTTTATGTAGTACTGAAGAATCAAACTGAGGGCTTCATGCTTGCTAGGCAAGCATTCTACCACTAAGCCTCATTCCCAGCTCCTTGACAGATTTTATTATAGCATTACCTTCACTGCCAAGAGTGTCCCAACTCAGGGCCCAGGAGGAGCAAACAACAAGATAGGTCAGATACATGCAGTCTGCATGATTGGAGGAGGGGATGTGAAAAGGGAATGGACAGCCTGCAGATAGTTTTCCTTCTAGGTGTGAAATAAGACACTAGATTGAGCCAAACAGTAGAAAGGAAATGAAGGATGGGTGATGGTGGCTCACACCTGTAATCCTAGCTACTCAGGAGGCTGAGATCTGAGGATGACAGATCAAAGCCAGCATGGGCAGGAATCTCCACGAGAGTGAGTGGCGCTGTGCCTCAAGTGGTAGAGTGCTAGCCTTGAGCTGATGAGCTGAGGGACAGCGCTCAGGCCCAGAGTTCAAGCCCCACGTCTGACAAAAAAAAAAAAAGAAATTGAAGAATGGCTTGGTTTACCCAGTCCACAGGCTTTGCTAGCTAGTTGTTTTGTGTAGTTATTTGACTGATGACTGGAGCTCTGGGAGAATTGTGTAACTGTTCCCCTTAGATGTACTCTTTTTTTTTTTGGGTCCAGTCGTGAGGCCTAAACTCTGGGCCTGGGCGCTGTCCCTCAGCTCTTCAGCTCAAGGCTAGCACTCTACCACTTGAGCCACAGCGCCACTTCCTGCTTTTTTCTTTTTGCTTATGTGGTGCTGAGGAATCGAACTCAGGGCCTCATGCATGCAAGGCAAGCGCTCTACCACTGAGCCACCTTCCCAGCCCTGGATGTACTCTTTTTGCCTACTACTGGGCAGCCCTGCTTTGCTTCTCTTGAAAATCCCCACCCACCCCCTTTCTCGTGTGTGTGTGTGTGTGTGTGTGTGTGTGTGTGTGTGTGTGGGTGTGGGTGTGGGTGTGTGTGGGTGTGTGTAGGGGTGGGGGGTTGTGAGTGTGGAGCTTGAACTCAGGCCCTAGGCGCTGTCCCGGAGCTTCTTTGCTCAAGGGTGTGTGTGTGTGTGTGTGTGTGTGTGTGTGTGTGTGTGTGTTTGTAGGGGTGGGGGATTGTGAGTGTGGAGCTTGAACTCAGGCCCTAGGCGCTGTCCCGGAGCTTCTTTGCTCAAGGCTGGTGTTCTACCACTTGAGCCACAATTCCATTTCTAGCTTTTGGTGATTAAATGGAGATGAAGTTTTGTTTGTTTGTTTTTTTGTCGGTCGTGGGGCTTGAACTCTGGGCCTGGGCGCTGTCCCTCAGCTCTTCAGCTCAAGGCGAGTGCTCTACCACTTGAGCTACAGCGCCACTTCCGGTTTTCTGGTGGTTTATTGGAGATAGGAGTCTCACGGTCTCTCCTGCCGGGGCTGGCTTTGAACCGCGATCCTCAGATCTCAGCCTCCTGAGTAGCTAGGGTAATCCTAGCCTATAATAGGCGTGAGCCACCAGCGCCCGGCGGAGATGAAGTTTTATGGATTTTCCTGCCTGGGACAGCTTTGAACTGTGATCCTCAGTTCCGAGCCTCCTAAGTAGTTAGTATTATGGGTGGGAGCTGCTGGTTTCTGACTGAAATTTCTCTTTTGTGACATAAAAGTTTCTCACTGGAAACCAGTTCTAGATGGTGGTGTGGTGATGGTAGAAGAATGTCAGAAGCATTGATGAAGGGGCCTTTGGTCTTTCAACAGCAGTTGTGTTTGCTTTGGTGTAGACTATAGCCCAGTGGCAGAAAGCTGGATATCAGGACATGCCTGAGTATGAAAACTTCAAGCACCTACTGCAGGCACCACTAGATGATGCTCAAGAAATTCTACAGGCACGCTTCCCCATGCCGCGTTACATCAACACAGAGCATGGTGGCAGTCAGGTGGGTGAGCTGAGTTTCAGCCAAACATTTCATGATCTATTTTTATGGCTATAAATCCAAGTATGGCTTCTTTGTCTTGCCATTCTGGGAACTGAACATGGGATTTGCTAGGCAAGCTCTCTACCACTGAGTTACATTGCCAGCTGACTTCTTTGTACATGAAGATGCTGACATCAAGGTATAGGATTAACAGTGTTTCAGCCCGTGGGTTTAAGCTAAAGAAATAGGTTCCTATATAATAAAATGATTTCTCATTTAATTAAAGAAATGGTATGAAAATTTGTCTTTCTTTTTTCTATTATAGTAATGGCACTTTTAATCTCTAACTTTTGTTTTTTTAAAGGCTCGATTCCTTTTGTCCAAAGTGAACCCATCTCAGACACACAATAATCTGTATGCTTGGGGACAGGTAAGAAATTGACAGATATTTGGGAAAGGTACTAGGCTATTTATTTTAAAAACTTGTTTTAAATTCCTATAAAATGGGACTCTTTTTGGGCTAAAGACAGGTTAACTTAGATTTGAATATTCCACTAGGATGGGAAAACTTTGAATGACATAGTTGCAGTGAGAGTTGGAGTGCTACCTGTGTAGATTCCCTTTTATAGCATACAGCATAACCTGCCAGGGTCAGATCAGGGACAAGTACTGCTGCAACTCACTGCTGATGTGGATCTTGGCTCCAAAGGAGTCCTCAGCACCATGGAAGGGTTAAAATAGAAAGGCATATCCTCAAAACCATGTTTTCAGTGGGCAGGGATGGCCTTGTTTATGTGGATCAGGAAAGGGTTTGCTGAGGAAAGTTGATAGTAGTTTGCTTGGCAGAGGTTGAGGTGGTGGGGAGTACAGGTGACAAGAATGTTCTGAGGCAGAAAGGTACTCAAAAGCACATAAATTTTTTATTTTTATGTTTTACGAATACAATATATCTTGATCAGTGTTATTCCTTTCAACAAAAACTCAAACATAAAGTCTCTGCCAGTAAGACTTTATTATTTAAAATTTCAGGAAACTGGAGCACCTATCCTAACTGATGACGTCAGCCTGCAGGTGTTCATGGATCATTTGAAGAAGCTGGCTGTCTCCACTGCCTCTTAAACTGAGGATGTGACCAGGATATTGGAGAAAACACAGTTGTGAGCAGATCATGTCCCAGTTATTTATAAAGGCTTAATTGCATTCCTTTAACTTTTCTGACAGATTTTAATAAATAACCAAAGGAGGTTTTGTTTGTAAGTCTGAAGATTATAATTTATTTGTAATCCTTTTCTATGTCCCACTTCCTGCCCATGAAATTGTAAGGTCGTAAATCTTTTGGTACTTGTAGTTGTTTACTTGCTTTTTGTAGCCTAACTTTAGAGTCTGTATAAAATCAGAGGTAATGGATTTTGTCAGCTTGTTGAAATGAAAACATTGATGATCATGCAGGAAATAAATCGTTGAGGAAAGAAAGCACTGGCTAAAATAATGCTAAAACAAATTTTACCTCCTGAGGTCTCTGTGTGTGATGTGACTCTCTCAAAATAGCTCTCTGAAAAACAGCAATCAGGCTGAGTATTATAGCAGGAGATCCTGTGGTTCTGTTTGTCACTAGTGTGTTATACACAGCCATTCATGAGAAAAGAAGCAGGTAGCTGAACATAAGCATCCTAGTGCCTTTCATCCAGGCCTGAAGCCAGCCTTCCTCAACCACTAAGCCTTAGATCCAACAGGGTGTCTCTGCCTCAGTATCTCAAATTCAAACTGCTAACTAAAAACACAGCAGTAATCACAGCCCATATTCTATATTTAAATCAATAGTGTTTCGGAAATAAAATATGAAGTTCTTCTTTGTGCAAAACAAAAAAGTGTTTACTGAACTTAATTCTTGTTTATATCTAAATGTTAAGGGGTCAAGGAAAAATATGGAATATGTAGGACTGTTCTGATAGAGCATGGATGGGGCACTGTGCTGCCTCACATGTAACTCTCATGTCAGCAGTCCTGCCCAGGGTAGACACCAAGAAGGGCTGGCTGGTGGCCTGATGCCAGTGGCTCATGCCTATAATCCTGTCTACTCAGGAGGATTTGAGGATTGTAGTTCAAAGCCAGTATGGACAGGAAAGTCTGTGAGACTGTTATCACCAATAAATTACTTAAAATACTGGAAGTGGAGCTGTGGGTCAAGTGGTAGACTGCTGGCTTTAATCAAAAAAGCTCAGGGACAGCACCCAGACTCTGTGTTCTAGCCCTGGTTACTGGCATACACACATAGCAAAAAGGCTAATGTGCATAAGTGGCTCCACCAGAGTGTGGCACACTTATCCTGGGCATCAAGTGAAATAACTTGTACAGGTACTATTTTTCCAATCAGTGTAATGTACACGCACACACAGACACACACACATATCTATACATACTACTCTGATATGTGTACACATACACATATATTACTTTTGATTTTATATGTGTTTGTTTAAAAACAAAATAAACATTGTATCCTAAAGAGCTTATAATTAATAAATGCTTTTTCCTCACTCCCTAAACTTAGATCTGCTCTTCAGAGGTTAATTGTTCAATCTTACATGTTTTTGTTGAATTTTAGCCAATTATTTTTCAATTCCTATTTTCAGTGGATGTAGATATTAAGACCTTCCTTCTACACTCCAGTTTGGATCAGCTATGCCTTTATTTTTATATTATTAAGTGATAAAATGTATATTCTGGCCTATAACAATAATTCTATTTTTTTGTTTCTAAGTTTATTGTGGAAACTAATAAAGAGCATATATACAGTTTAATGATGTAAATATTGTTCATATGTGTATTGAGTATGTTTTTTCTTTCTTTCTTTTTTGTTTAGTAAGTTTCTATGTCACTTGACAAGATCAGAGTCACTTTTCTTACATGTCATCATTTCACAAGTTGGCTTCCTTCCTATTTGGATTTGGATTTTCTTGTTTTGTGGGGCTTTCCTCCCAGATTTTCTTAGTTTTTGGTTGATGTTTGAGAGAAGTTTTTTGTTTTTTATTTACTAAGAGATTCCAGCTGCTTATTCTGAATGAAGTCCCTTCCTTTTTTTAGATGTCACTAATGTCCCGGACTTCCAATATGGGTCATTTTTTTTTTTTTTAGACCTGCTACACAACTGTCATGCAGGACTTTTCTTTTGTGTGGGATTCTTATTTAGCTCCATTCTTCCTATAATTCAATGCAACATTTGCTATCTCAAATGACTTGTCAAAATGAGAACATGGAAAATAATTCATTGGACTTGGGCATGTCTGCAAATCTATGTTCCTGTTTGACTATGGGTGTAAAACTAGGCCCACAATCACTTCCTGTCAGAACTTTGGAGCTGGTATTTGATTCACCCAACAAAAATTATTCTGCAGAAAGTTATGGAATCATCTGTGTGCTGGGAACATAGCCAATAAAACATGAATTCCTGATCTTGTGAAGTTTCTATTTAGGGTAGATCAATAGTTAAAAAATTAGAAGTAAGGGGGCTGGGAAGGTGGCTCAGTGGTAGAGCGCTTGCCTTGCATGCATGAGGCCCTGGGTTCGATTCCTCAGCACCACATAAGCAAAAAGAAAAAAGCCGGAAGTGGCACTGTGGCTCAAGTGGTAGAGCACTAGCCTTGAGCTGAAGAGCTGAGGGACAGTGCCCAGGCCCAGAGTTTAGGCCCCACGACTGGACCCCCCCCAAAAAAAAAAATTAGAAGTAAGTTATGTATTAGAAGTCAATGAGGGCACCTATGGCTCATGCCTGCAATTCTAACTTTTCAGGAGGCTGAGGCCTAAGGATCACAGTTCAAATCCAGCCTGGGGAGGAAAGTTTGTAAGACTTATCTCTAGTTAATCACAAAAAAACTATAAGTAGCACTATTGCTCAAGTGGTAGAACACTAGCCTTAAGCAAAAAGGAGCTCAGGAACAATGCCTAGGACCAGAAAAAAAAAAAAAAGTATGATGTAGACAAATGAAACAACTCCAATTAATTGGATGTTGGGCCATCTTGAGTGATTCTGATACTTTTATCTTTTGAGTTTATATTTTCTGTCTTCTGCTTCTGCTCTATATTTTTGGAGCATTTCCTATGTAACAGTTATCTTTTCCAGGAGTTCATATTCTCTGTCTTTTCCATAGGGTATTTTTATATTTTAGATACAATTTTTAATTGAGATACATCTTGAAGAAAGAGCACATAAAACTGTAAGCAGATTAAACCTAAAATTTTCTCTTTGGGACATTTATGTTTCACATTAATATAAAAAAAAAAGGATATGAGATGCCTAGATGGCTCTGACATTCAAGTATGCCAGGTGTGGTGCATAGGAAGAGAACATGTTTCTTGTTGGATGTGGCATTGATAATTCGGTTGTGGACATTTTAAGGAGCTTGTGGGATATGGATAAAAAATGAAGATGCCGCGGGTTGGCAGTGATCCATGTGGATTTGCTTTCAGATTAATAAAGTGGGTAAGCTTGGTGAGAAAAGAGAGTAGTGGGCTGGGAAGGTGGCTTAGTAGTAGAGCGCTTGCCTTGCATGCATGAGGTCCTGGGTTCGATTCCTTAGCACCACATAAACAGAAAAGGCTGGAAGTGGCACTGTGGCTCAAGTGGTAGAGTGCTAGCCTTGAGCTAAAGAGCTCAGGGACAGCACCCAGGCCTAGAGTTCAAGCCCCATGACCCCCCCCCCCCCAAAAAAAAAAAAGTCTCATAAACTTTCCTGCCCAGGCTGGCTTTGAACTGTGATCCTTAGACCTCAGCCTCCTGAGAAGCTAGGATTACAGGCATGAGCCACAGGTGCCCAGCACTCATTGGCTTGGAAATCAAGTCTAAGTGTGGCTGAAAAGTAATGTAAAAACAACAACAACAAAGAAAAACCTCTTGTTTTCATGTCTTGGGGTTCATTTTGCTTAACGTCATTTTTTTTTTTTTTTGGGTCCGGTCATGGGGCCTGAACTCTGGGCCTGGGCACTGTCCCTCAGCTCTTCAGCTCAAGGCTAGCGCTCTACCACTTGAGCCACAGCGCCACTTCCAGCTTTTTTCTTTTTGCTTATGTGGTGCTGGGGAATCGAACCCAGGGCCTCTGGCATGCAAGGCATGCGCTCTACCACTGAGCCACCTTCCCAGCCCCAAAACCAAGATTTTCTTTTTTTTTTTGCCAGTCATGGTGCCTGAACTCTGGGTCTGGGCACTGCCCCTCAGCTCTTCAGCTCAAGGCTAGTTCTCTACCACTTGAGCCACAGCACCACTTCCAGCTTTTTTTGCTTATGTGGTGCTGAGGAATCGAACCCAGGGCCTCATGGATGCAAGGCAAGCACTCTACCACTGAGCCACCTTCCCAGCTTAACATCATCTTATACGGTCATATGCATATAGCTATTGAGCTATTCTGTCCATCTTCTAGGATTATCCTAGACATGTCCTATTTTTTTTTTTTTTTTTGTTCTTTTGCCAGTCGTAGGGCCTGAACTCTGGGCCTGGGTGCTGTCCCTTAGCTTTTCAACTCAAGGCTAGTACTCTACCACTTGAGCCACAGCACTACTTCTGGCTTTTTCTGCTTTTGTGGTGCTGAGGAAACGAACCCAGGGCCTCATGCATGCAAGGTAAGCACTCTACCACTGAGCCACCTTCCCAGCCCCTGTGCTAATTATTACAAATGAGGGAAATAATGTTTTTTTTGGGGGGGTCTGGCTTGCTAAACTTAATATGATTTTTTCCAAGTCTTTCTATATCCTACAAATGGGTCTGTATCATTCTTTCTGATGGAAACAGAATTCCATTGTATATATGCATATATATATATATATATAATTTTTTTGATCCATTCATTTACTGAGGGGCATCTGAGTTGATTCCATAGTGCTGCAATAAACATAGTTGTGCTGGTAGCTTTAGTATGGCCGTGTTTGTGGTCATTTGGGTAAATGCCCAGAAGTGAGATTGCTGGATCATAGGGAAGCTCTGTTGTTTAGTCTTTTGAGGAACCTTTTTCTTTTTGTTTTTTTTTTCCCTCATGGTTTATCCCTTGTTGTTACTGCATTTGATTTTGGTACCCTGGGTATCATATATATGTTTCAAATTAGGGAAGGGAAGGGGAGCAACAAAATGGTGAGACAAAGGACAAAGGGTGAACCAAATGCAACAGCGATACTCACAAGACAGTATGTTGGAAATGAACTTGGGGGATGGGTGGGTAGGGAAAGTGGGAGAAAAATGAAAAATGAGTGGATAACAAGTTGGACAAGAAATGTACTCACGGGCTGGGAATGTGGCTTGCCTAGCATGAAGCTCTGGGTTCCATTCCTCAGTACAACATAAACAGAAAAAGCTGGAAGTGGTGCTGTGGCTCAAGTAGTAGAGTACTAGCCTTGAGTACAGGGAGGCTCAGAGACAGTGCTCAAGCCCTGGACTGGCAAAAAAAAAAAAAGAAAAAAAGAAAGAAATGTACTCACTTCCTTACATATGTAACTGCAACCCCTCTACATCATCTTGACAATAAAATGTTTCTAAAAAAGGTAATGTAATTCCTGCCTATCCTGGGCCTAACACATCAGCCTTGCTCTCCAGTGTTCACCTACTGAAATGTGGGTAGATTATGCCTTGAAGAAATATGAATAAGAGAATCTGACAGAATCAAAAGACATTTTCGTTTTGTTTTTGAGACATAGGTACATTTGTATGATGAATAGAATTCATGAGTGGAAAATGAGTGGGGTGAGTGCTGTTAGGGTGTAGTTAATGACAAAGGCCTCTGAGGAGGCTGCAAAGAGTGGGACCCAGAATACAAAGGTGAACTGTTTTTGACCTGCAGGCACACAAAATTCACCTACAGGGGGCTGGGAAGGTGGCTCCGTGGAAGAGTGCTTGCATAGGCTCTGGGTTCGATTCCTCAGCACCACATAAGCAGAACAAGCTGGAAGTGGCGCTATGGCTCAAGTGGTAGAGCGCTAAGCCATGAACTGAAGAGCTGAGGGACAGCACCTAGGCCCAAAGTTCAAGCCCCACGACCGGAAAAAAAAAAAAATTCACCTACAGGAATATGAGGAAGAGGGAAGAGAGAAATGGTATTTCTGCAGATCTGAGACCTGAAAGAAGAATGAAATTAAGCCTCTCCTGCATTTTCTGACCTATGGCAAGATAGGCATTGTTGTTATGCATTTGGGAAAGTTTCTGTCCAAAGAAGTTGTCATTTGCTTACCTTCACACGGTATGAAGTGTGGCTTGGCCTGTCACAGCTTGCCAAAAAGCCACCTACCCCAGAATCCATAGCCTGGAGCCCAAGGTGGACTACAAGTCCCAAGGTACATTGCGAGGTGGAGAAGGAAGTGACTGAAGAGCCGACTTCCCATTGGTCATAGCGGCAACGACCTCGACGAGACGACAGCCCGCCGATGCTTTGGGCCACCGTGGAGTAAAAGTTTGAACATGAATCCCCAAACAGCCTCGGTATGGTACAAGCGGTTATCTTTGGTGTACGCGTTAGGCGCCTGGACGCTGCTAGGCTCTGTGTTTTATTTGGATCGTAAACAGGCGCCATCAGGTAAGGTTTTCGACACAACCAACCGCAAGTAGGTCCAGGCCTGAGAGTCTAAAAGTCACTTCCCTGTGCTTAAGCCCCAAGGTTACTCTAAAACGAGTTGAAGCGGTTACTTAAGGGACCTGGGCTCTTAAGAGATCCGCAAAGAACTGGACGCCAGTAATGTTGACATGCTGAACGGTACTTAGCAAAGACGGCTGTCCTTACTCTCAGTTGGGAGAATGTGTGAAGTTCAAGGTGGGATTTCTTTAACGAAGTGCTTGCTGCCCAGTACTCTTAGCCCTCATCTCCTATGAGGAGCAAACAATCTCAGGACTAGTTAAAGAGTGCTAAAACAGCCAAAGAGCATTAAAAGCGAATCAGCTGCTGGGTATAAGAGGAAATCTCTTAGCCTTTTAATTATATGCTGAAGTCGAAGAGACCAGAACTGATTAATGTAGTTACTAGGGCCTGAGTGAAGAGTGGGGACAATGGAAAGTGCCTGCTAAATTATAGATTTCCCCCCCCCTCCCCCGCCCATGGATGAAAGTATTCTAAAAGCAACCCTGGTATTAGTTGCACAACTCTAAACATAGTAAAAGCCCACTGATGTGTACCTTTTAAGGGGAATTGTATGTAAGTTACTATCTCCAGCTCTTATGTGAAATCTTGAAGATTACACTTGTTCATGAAAAATATAAGTAGTCTGAAAATTAACATTCCCAGCAATAAGTTCCATAGCAGTTATGGTTTTTTTTTTTGGTCGTGGGGCTTGAACCCTGGGCTTGGGCGCTGTCCCTCAGCTCTTACAGCTCAAGGTAAGCACTCTACCGCTTGAACCACAGCACACTTCCACTTTTCTGGTGGTTAATTGGAGATCAGAGTCTTATGGATTTTCCTGTCCCGGCTGGCTTTGAACCATAATCCTCAGATCTCAGCCTCCTGCGTAGCTAGGATTACAGGGGTGAGCCACCAGCAGCAGTCTGTTTTTCTTCCTCCTCCTCCTCCTCCTCCTCCTCCTCCTCCTCCCCCTCCTCCCCCCCTCCCTTTCCCCCTCTTCCTCCCCCCTCCCTTTCCCCCTCCCCTCCTCCTCCCCCCCCTTTCCCCCTCTCCTCCTCCCCTTCTCCCCTCCTCCCTTTTTCCCCTCCTCCCCTTCTCCCCTCCTCCCCTCCTCCTCCTCCCCCCCCTTTCCCCCTCCCTCTCCCCCTCCCCTCCTCCCCTTCTCCCCTCCTCCCCTCCTCCTCCCCTCCTTCCCCCCCCTCCTCCAAGAACATGGTGATAGGCATCTATTGGCCTGATTCTAGACTTAGTTTATTTCCAAGACTTTAATTATTGCTTTCACAGTTAATCACTCAACTTTTTGTTTTTTTTTAAAGGTCATGAAGTAGAGCAAAAGGATGATTCAACAAGTGAAATGCCTGTCTCAATTGAAAAGTCTGAGCTCCTAAAAGGAATTTATGTGGAAACAATTGTCACATATAAAAAAGATTTTGTCCCAGTTACTGACAAAATCCTCAACTATTTCAAATCATGGACTGGTGGACCTCGTTAATAATTATGATTAACTGCTGAATTCTGAAAACAAAGACTTTGGTTCATTTAAGCTTGATAGATGATTTGTTTTTTGTTTGTGAAAAGTATCTATTTAATTTAACTTTGCTGTAAAATGTAATCAGTGGTAAACGCAGAGACTATTTCCTTGAATGAAACTAAACATAGTAATTCAGAAGGTATTTTATATTTTACTTGTGTAAAAGGTCAAGGTGAAGTTCCACATTGAGTTTCTATAGGCTCATTTTTCGAACTAGCTCATATGACTTCGCATTTTTTTTCATGTTGGTTATTAAAGCCTTAGGTTAAAGTGAAATTCAGCAAAATTTCCCAGTTCATTTTGGGGCTTACAACAGCCCTTTGGGTACTGTTGGATAGTGGGTTTCTTATGAGTTAGAATAAAATTCCTGAAGTAAATAGACTTTTTCTGTTCTTCTGGACCAGTACCTTCACATACATCTGAAGTATAGATTAAAGGCCGAATGTGGCTAGTGCTGATGCTGTTTTAGATGCTGGGGACATAAAGTCAGCATGATGCTATCAATATCACCTGTCCCATTTAGCTGCAAACAACAAACTGACACAGCCAGCTTAAATCACATGGGTGTTTGTCAAAATATGTATAGGAAGTTCAGAATTAAAACAGAGTTACTAGTGGAGGTCTTCAGAGGAACTGGAACACAGCCACTCACAGAGCCTGTTTGAGCTATATCCTGTTTCTTTCTGGCAACATATCAGTTTCTTTTTCTTCCCTAGAGTTAGCCCTGAAAGGAACTACTTTCTAGCAACAGTGCTGAATGCTGATCAGCTTCTCCCACCCATGTGTTTGGCTTTTACTCTTGTGAGAACCTCAGTTCAGCTTTTTAGCAGATCCCTGCTTTGTGGATTACTGATACTTCCTAAATTGTTAATACATCATTTCCCGTTTGAATTTTGCTTTTTATTCATTGTTACTTAAGACCCTGTGAGGCAAAAATACCATGTGACCTTCCATTCTGTAGTATTGGGAATTCTGTAAGGGTCTTTTACTACTGGCGATGTTAGCTTTGACCACTTCATAAAGATAATTTTGCATTCAGTATTTAAAATTCAAGCTTACTGGTTTGTAGATTTTTCTGAGTGAATGACAGCTCCTTGCTCTCTCACTCTCTATTTCTCCCTCTCTTCCTCTCTCTCTTCTTTTACTTTATCTCTCTTCCTTACTTTCATTAGGATCCTTCTTATACTATTCAGAGCCTGTGGGCTTAAGCATCTTTTTTTTTTTTTTGTCCATCTTGGGGCTTGAACTCTGGGCCTAGGCGCTGTCCCGCAGCTCTTCAGCTCAAGGCTACCAGCTCTCTTACCACTTGAGCCGCAGCACCACTTTCAGTTTTCTGGTGGTTAATTGGAGATAAAAGTCTCTCGGACTTTCCTACTAGGCTGGCTTTGAACTGTGCTCCTCAGATTTCAGCCTCTTGATTACAGGTGTGAGCCACTGGCGGCCGGCTTAAGCCATTTTTTAAACTCAGCTGGAGTAACTAAGACTTTATTTTCATTTTTTGTTTAAGTGCACTGTGCTGAAGTTGGCTAATTTTTAAAAAAAAAATCACCGACAATTTGTTTCGGTAGTAGTATAGTCCTTTGTACCTTCTAAGTATCTTCATGTAGTATATTTCATTTTAATTTCCTAACAGTTTTATGGCAAGGCTAAGTATTAGTATCTGTATTACAGGAGGAATTAAGACTTCTAGGATCATGCACCTGTTTGCTCTGTGACATTTCTAAGACAAACGAGTAGTTTACATGGTTAAATGGCTATTTTAGTTTTTTATTTTTTTTAAATTTTATTTTATTTGAGAACATACTGTACAGAGGGGTTACAATTACATGGGCAGGATAATGCATACATTTCTTACCAAGCATTGCAGCCTCCTCCTTTGTTTACCCGTCACCTCCCTTCCCAGCCTCCCCCCTCCCCCCACCCTTAAATGGCTATTTTAGCAGCTATTTTTGCACTTGGTATGATTAGCTGCAGAGACAAAAAACGGCAAATAAACTGGGAGGATCTGGGGGCAGAGAAGAGGAAAAGAGGAGAAATACAGAAAAAGAACTCCGGACAAAGGTGGGATTCGGCCTTGTGCAGGAGAGTAGAAATAAAACCCAGTGCAGATTAAGGTTGGTCAGGGCAGAGTGGCGTGTGCGCAGGCTGTGGGGAATTGGCTGGAGTTTTTCACACTCCCAAGGTTTGAGCAGAGCTTCTCCTTGGATGGGTCTGGGAGATCTTAGGGTCCAGGTGGGCGTGGCTGACGTGAGCAGGACCAATCAGTTGGTAGGCGTGCCGGACGTGGGCGGGACGCAGCAACCCGCTAGAAGAGGTCCTCCGGCGCGCTTCCGGATGTCACCCGCAGAGGGCGCCGTGGACGGAGACGCCTTGTGAGTCACGAAGCGGGACGAAGCGCGGCGCCGCCCCACTCGCCCCTAGCCGTCGCCATGAAGGCCGTGGTGCAGCGCGTCACCCGGGCCAGCGTCACAGGTCAGTCGGGCGGGGCCGGCCCCGGGAGGCGCCACCCCTGAGCCCCCGCGACCCGCGGGCCTGGCAGGGGTTTCCCGGCACGGGCCTCGGGCCCCCGCAGCCGCGCCACACCGGGCGGGAGCGTGCCCGCACGTGGCTGGGTCCCCGCTTTGGGCCCGGCATGAGCGCGCCTTGTTCCATCACCATCTTCATCGCGTCATCGAATCCTCCCACCCCCGTTTTTATCTGTCCTGAGTGCAGGCCACGGCCGTTCTCCAAGGAGCTGTTGCACACCACACGTGTGGAGCATTGGCGGCGCAGGGAACCCTCTCCCTTCCTTCCTCCCGCCCCTCTTCCCGCTGCCCCGTCGCCTTCGCCTCTCCCTGCATTTCCCAGTGTCTAGATGCAGCTTGACGCCCGGCAGACGGGGTACAGTGCTCGCACGCGAGCGGCTGCTTCCTGGCAGAGCTAGCAGGTGTACAAGCACGTTCAATCCTCCAGGGGAGGCCTGGCGGCCCCCGAGCCGGCCCGAGTGCCCTTTCTAACTCAGCCCTGCAGGTCATGGGGCAGAGCCAGAGAACCCAAGAGGACACATTTGCTCTTTTACACCAGTTTCTGTGGACTCAAGCCGCCCCACCTGTCGTCATCTGGTTCAGTTAGTTGGAACATCAGGGGTCCAGGTGACTGATGTAGGTTATGTAGTCACTAAAGACTCAGGCCACGCTTACTTAGAATTAAAAACATAAAACTAGTTCACGTGTGTGTGTGTGTGTGTGTGTAGAGGTAATGTGTGTGTGTGTGTATATAGAGGTAGGTAGGTACTGAGGCTTGAATTCAGAGCCTAGTTGCTTCTTCGCTTAAGGCTGGCACGCTACCTTTGAGCCCAGCTTCACTTTGAAGTCAGCCTTTTCTGCCCAGACTGGCTTCAAACTGGGGATCCTCACATCTCAGCTTCCTGAATAGCTAGGATTGGGGGTGTGAGCCGCCACCCTCCAACTCTTTAGTCTTTATGGGCAGTTACATTGTTTTAAGTTGAGCCTATTGTAGATAGTCCCAACTAATTGAAGAAGGCTGAAGAAGGAGGATCCATTGAGCCTAAGGAGTTAGAGGCCAGCTGGGTCTCCATGAGACAAAAAAAAAAAAAAGGTTTCAAGATATTCCAGTTATTCTAGGTGTTTTTGACTCCACCAAGTAGAAATCTAGGAATAAGACAAAGCCCCTTAAACAATCAAAACCGTGTATTTTGGTAGGAAATTTTACTAATGATTTGTAAGTTGCTCTGGTGACTATGGTTTTGAAAATAGTCCTGGAATAATAAGGACTAGGGTAGCACTCAGGTTTATGAAAGTTTGAAAGGTCTTACAGCATTTCAGTAAATATTCATGGAAATTGGGAAAATTGCTAGTGGAAGATTTTTTTTGGAAGATTTTTTTAATATCATCACCAACAGATTTATATATTGATCTTTTGTCCCATAAAGTCTATTGCTGATCTGGAATATTGAAAATATATCTTTATTTTGTGAGATTTGCTGAGTGGAGTTTGAACTACTTTTAAGTTGATATTTAAATTTTATGTTCTCTAGTGAAAATCAACCAACCAAACTATTTACTCAGTGTGTTGCACTTAGAGGTGTGGCTGAATTGGTAGAGTGCCTGTGTAACAGGTACAAAAGGCGGGGCTGGGAAGGTGGCTCAGTGGTAGAGCGCTTGCCTTGCATGCATGAGGCCCTGGGTTCGATTCCTCAGCACCACATAAGCAAAAAGCTGGAAGTGGTGCTGTGGCTCAAGTGGTAGAGCACTACCCTTGAGCTGAAGAGCTGAGGGACAGTGCCCAGGCCCAGAGTTCAGGCCCCATGACCGGACCCAAAAACAAAACAAAACAAGTACAAAAGGCCCTCAGTTCAATCCCACTACCACCAAAAAAAAAAAAAAAGATATGAATTGTGGGAATGTGTTATTTGGAAATTTGGGGTTGAAGAATTGTGGGATTCTCAGTATGGGAGTTGGCATATAGTGGAATAGCATATGTTGGGTCCTTAAAAAGTGGCCGACTTCACTGAAATATGACTGCATTCAATGACATTTTACTGTTTTAAAGTGCCACTTTCGTGTGTGTGTGTGTGTGTGTGTGTGTGTGTGTGTGTCTGTCTGTCTGTCTGTCTGTCTGTCTGTCTGTGTCCGTGTCCTCAGGGCCTGGGTGCTGTCCCTGAGTTTTTTTTTTTTTTTAATTTACCACTTGAACCTCAGCTCCACTTTCTGCTTTTTGGTGGTTAATTGGAGATAAGAGTCTCCGACTTTCCTGCCCAGGCTGGCTTTGAACTGTGGTCCTTAGCTCTCAGCCTCCTGAGTAGCTAGGATTACAGACATGAGGCACTGGTGCCCAGATGCCACTATGTTATGATTAAGACAGAATTGAACATCAGATATCACATATCTTATGTGACAGAATCTCTTGGGATTTTTCAGACACATTCCTATGTTAATTTAATCTAATTGTTTTTGTTTTGAAGTACTGGGAACTGAACCTGCGACCTTGTGCATGGTAGGCAAGCACCCTACCTCAGAGCTACATCCACAATCCATACTAGTCTTGCTTTAAAACCTTTATTAGGAAACATTTCAACCATATTCATTTGCTTGCCTATCACTAAATTTCAACACTAAAGTTTGGTGTGTGTGAATTTATGTATATGTATATGAATTCTTGAATAGGTCTCAAGGCATATGCCACTCATTCATGAAAAAAATCCAACTAAACTATCAACTCTTTTCCAGCCCCATGATCTTTTCATGAGAATAATGAGGCTCACCTTAAAGTAATGAAGCTCATGTTTTTCCCCCTCACGAAATGATTTGTTTATAAGAAAGATCCCTTTGAACCCTATGAGCAGCAATCTATTTCATATATAGACTTAGAAGTGTAATTTATTTATTTATTTTTATTTATTTTTTGTCGGTTGTAGGACTTGAATCTGGGCTTGGGTGCTGTCCTAGAGCTCCAGCACCACTTCTGGCTTTTTCGGCTTATGTGGTACTGAGGAGTCGAACCCAGGGCCTCAGGCATACAAGGCAAGCAGTCTACCACTGAGCCACCTTCACAGCCCTGTAATTTATTTTTTTATTATGATACTTTATTTAAAAAATTGGAGCTCTTGGGCTGGGCTTATGGCTTCGCATCGAGTATCCATGTAACAAGCACAAGGCTCTCAGTTCAAACTACTGTACTACAAAACAAAAGAACTTCCTTAGTGATTCTTTTTCTGAGAACATACTCTAAGAAGATAATCTCAGTTGTGGAAAAGCACTTTGGTATACAGAGTTTTTTCAGCGCATTGTTATTTATTGAAGGGAAAATCTGGAAACAAATCATATGTCCAGCAAAATGAGCTGGTTAGTACACTGGATAGGTTGCTGCTATTGAAGGTGTTTAGAAAATGAGCTCCAGGAAGTGGCAAAATAGTTTTTTTTTGTTGTTGTTGTTGTTGTTGGTGGTGGTGTTTGTTTTTGCTTTGCCTTTTTTTTTCTTTTTCTTTTTTTTGGGTAAGGAAAAGGGTACAGAAGGAGAGGAAGGAAGGATGAACAAATGCAGCCATGCAATTCAGTATACACTATGTGGAAAATGACCCATGTAACTTGTGGGCAGGGATGAGAGAGGGAAAAACTGAGGGAAAGCAAAAGAAGGTGACATTGTCCAAAAAAAAGTACTCACTACCTGACATATGTTATGGTAACCCATCTGTACCACACATTAATAATAACAATGAAATTATTTTTTATAGTATTTAGCGTGAACAAATGCAACAGCGATACACACTAGACACTATGTTGAAAACTGTACAACTTGTGGGTAGAGATGGGAAGAAAAATGGGAGGGCACGAGGGAAGGGGTGACATTGTCCAAAAAGAAATGTACTCTTCACCTGCCTTATGTAACTGTAACCCTTTTGTATATCACCTTTATAATAACAATAAAAAAATTTAAAACAGGTATTTAGAAAAAGCTTATAATTTGAAATTTCTTAGGCAATGTTAAAAGACAAGATACAAATATTAAAAATTATTACAGTAGCTGAAAACAAATATGAGGTAAAAATCTATAAATAAATACAGAAAAGAAATTTTTAAAAATATTGAAATTCTTGTCTTTGGGTAGTCTTGTTTTCTTCCCATTCCCTTATATTTTACAAGTTTTCTATAATGCATATACAGTATTTTAATGGAATATATATATTATTTTTTAAAATAACCTAGGAGAAATTTAGAAAGTAAGTTGAGATTTTAAGAAAATAATAATTTACTTAAAGAACAATTTATTTAAAGCCAGAGGACTTTTTCTAAAGCAATGCACATGAGCAAACTAAGCCCAGGATAAGCCCACGTATTTCAGGAAGGATTACTCTTATTTCTGCTTGTGAGTCACTGGCTAATAGGTTAGTAAGTCTCACATAGTCCATTATAAGAAAAGCAGCACTGAAGAAAATCTTTAAAATTTTCAGCATATGGGAAGGTGGCTCAGTGGTAGGGCGCTTGCCTTGCATGCATGAGGCCCTGGGTTCGATTCTTCAGCACCACATAAGCAAAAAGAAAAAAGCCAGAAGTGGTAGAGCGCTAGCCTTGAGCTGAAGAGCTGAGGGACAGTGCCCAGGCCCAGAGTTCAGGCCCCACGACTGGACCCCCCCCCCAATTTTTTTTTTCAGCATAACAGTAAGAGGATAAATGTACTCATTACCTTGCTCATGTAATTGTAACCCCTCTGTACAGTATTTTCACAATAATAAAAACAAAAAACAATAAGAGGAATTAAGTTTTGGTGTTTTTTTCAGGAATACATAGATCCTGGAGTCCTGTCAGATACCTGAAGAAAGAGGAGAGCTTTTTTCTTCTTTATTTTTTTTTCTTTTGGTGGTACTGGGGTTTGAACTCAGAGCCTTGTGCTCGCTCACTTTGTTGGTGTTTTACCACTTGAGCTATGCTTTTTTTCTGATTATTTTGGAGATGAAGTCTTGAGGACTTTTCTGCCCAGACTGGCTTCATTCTGCTATCCTCCATACCTCAGCCTCCTAAATAGCCAAGATTGTAGGCATGAGTCACTGGTATCCAGCTTGGAGTTTTTCTTTCCTTAGCTTGTAATATATTGCAACATGGTATGGTCCATGTTGCCTTGCTAGGCATATTTATATTATTACACAGCAGAAGCAAACAATAGGAAAAAGTCAAATTGACCTTCTATTCCTGATTGGAACATTAGGTCAGTACACAACAAAACAATAAGACAATAATAATCTAGTGAAATTGGGCAAAAAATTGACAAAAAGAGGAAGTTATCAATATTGCCATTTGAGATATGAATTTAGTTTCACTATCATAATGCTGAATGTTGGCTTAAATTCTGTGGCAACTCTTAAGGTATTGTCTAAAGTTAGTAGGACATACATTTGTTTACAAATACATTAATGTGGGCAGTTTTGCTTGGGGATTTTTTTAATGAGATACATAATTCAAACATATTTGGAGGCTGAGATTTGAGGATCAAGGTTCAAAGCCTGATTATGCAGGAAAGTTTATGAGACTCTTATCTCCAACTAACCACTGGCATGAAAAGAAAAAAAAAAAGATTTGCAGATATTGGCTTAGGATGTTACTTTAATACTAGAGTTTGCTGAGAGGAAGCTTAACATATAATCATGTTTTTGTTCTTTTTTTTTTTTTTTGGCTGGACATGGGGCCTGGACACTGTCTCTGAGTTTTTTACTCAAAGATAGTGCTCTACCACTTGTACCACAGTGGCACTTTTGGCTTTTGGATATCAAAGTCTTACAGACTTATCTGCCCAGGCAGGTTTGAATCACAGTTTTCAGAACTCAGCCTCCTGAGTAGCTTGGATTACAGGAGTGCCTGGATTATGGTTTTTATGTATATTTATCTTCTCTGTCGTAAGCAGGAAAAACACTTGTTTTTATGATGTGAACATTGCTCATGTGATACTGTGTTTGCTGATTTCCAAGAAAAGTAGGAACCTTCTTCCTGAGAATTAGATTAGCTGAGCTGAATTCTGTGGGGGAGGACAATATTGTTCTAGTCTTACAGACTGGCAAACTGGACCAGCAGAAATTTTAGGTTACACAGATGAAAAATATGTTCCTAGTCTTGCTTAATAACTTTCACTTTACAGCTCCCATTTATTCTAGATTAAGAGAGGATGGGATTTAATTGCCTTTCACTTTTAGCTTCTCACTAACTATTCAAAGAAGTTGTAAGATATATGTGTGATGTTGAAAACAGTTCTAAGGATACTAAAAAAGCATTTCATGCCACCAGGTTGCTTCTGAGTCTTCTCCCTCTTGGTTCCTTTCTAGTTGGAGGGGAGCAGATAAGTGCCATTGGACAGGGCATCTGTGTGTTACTGGGTATTTCGCTGGAAGACACGCAAAAGGAACTGGAACACATGTAAGATGTGGATTTCTAAACCCTAGATCTTTGTATGGGATATGTGCCCCCAGGTGCTGGGTGTGGGGCTATAGGATTTAATGTTTCCTTACTAGGTTTTGGTCTTGCTTTGATCCATTCTTCCTTTCTATGCTCCTATTACCCTCTTTTGGAATGGAAATGTTTATTTTATACCATTGTATATTAGAAGATAAAATTTTCTTTTTATTTTTGTCGGTCGTGGGGCTTGAACTCTGGGCCTGGGCGCTATCCCTCAGCTCTTCAGCTCAAGGCTAGCACTCTACCACTTGAGCCAAGCACCACTTCCGGCTTTTTCTGTGTATGTGGTGCTGAGGAATCGAACCCAGCGCCTCATGCATACAAGGCAAGCACTCTACCACTGAGCTACCTTCTCAGCCCCTTCTTTTTGATTTTACATGGGCACACAGGTAAGCATTTACCTTGAGTCTCAGAGTAGACTTTGAACTTTGACTTTCAACAGTGTTGGAACTGTTAAGAAGACATTGGGTTTCTGGGAGATATACTATATTTACTTTGAACTATAAGATGAACATGAGATGGGCAGAGCCTGGGTTGAATGTTATGATTTAAGTAGATGTGTTTAGGTGTTAAGCTGACAAGGGATGGATTTGTGATGGTTAATTGTGATTGCCAACTTAATTGAATTGAGAAGTGCCTGAGACATTAGTAAAGCATGCTTTCGTGTCTTTCCAGAGATGTAGAAAGACCTGTCTGGACTGTGAGTGGTATCATGCCATAGGCAAGGAACCCATATGGAATAAAGGGGAAAAAGAGAAAGCCTGTTGGCATAATCTCTGTCTCCCTCCCTTCTTCCTGCTCCCTCTTCTTCCTCTCTTCTCCTCCCCTCTCCTTCAATATACTTCTCTCCTTAGGGGCTACAATGATGCAGGCTGCTGTGCCAGACTCATTCTTACACTGTGAATCGAAAAAAACCACTGAAACTATGAGCAAAAATTCATAATTCCTTCTTTTTTTCTTTTCTCTTTTTTTTTCCCCCTCCAAGATAGGGGCTTAAACTTGGTACCAGATGCTTTTGCTCATTGGCTAGCTCTTTACCAACTGAGCCATGCCTCCAACTCCAAAAGCTTAAAGGTGTATTTTTCTCTTCTTCTTTTTTTTTTTTTTGTCGGTCGTGGGGCTTGAACTCGGGCTGGGCTCTGTCCCTCAGCTCTTCAGCTCAAGGCAAGCGCTCTACCACTTGAGCTACAGCGCCACTTCCGGTTTTCTGGTGGTTTATTGGAGATAGGAGTCTCACGGTCTTTCTTGCCCGGGCTGGCTTTGAACCGCGATCCTCAGATCTCAGCCTCCTGAGTAGCTAGGATTACAGGCGTGAGCCACCAGCGCCCAGCTCTTCTTTTTTTTGGTGCCAGTCTTGGGGCTTGAACTCAGGGTCTGGGCACTATACTTGAGTTTCTTTTGCTCAAAGCTAGCACTCTTTACCATTTGAGCCACAACTCTACTTGTAGATCTCTAGTCCAAGATCAGGACTCAAATTCAATATCTAATAATTGGCAGGTGCCCTACCACCTGAGCCACCCCTCTAGTCCCCTAATTCCTCCCATTAAGTTTTTTTTTCTCAGATATTTGGTCACAGTAATAATAAAACTAACTAACTGACACAATGGCTGTGACATACTAGATAACTAATATCAACTTGGCATTTAAGAGATGTGACTCACCATAAGATAAGCCTTGGTCTCAGAGCACTAGTAATACACAGTGACTGCCACAGAAGACACTGTGTAAAGGGTCAGTAGATGGAAACCTGCTTGCCATCAGCATTACAGAGTGACTCTCAGGTGGTAGAATTTCATATTTCTTGCTGATGATTCTTTCATGGTTCTTAAATTTGACCTATAACTATTACATAGTCCACTTCCTTGGTCCTTTGTCATTCACACAATTATGGGGGACTCCCTATGGGCTTGGGGAGTCTGTGATGATACAATTATCTGGTGTCATTTCCCAGAACTTTCTACATATTTGTAGTTCCTATGAGTATTCTCAGAATATTTGCCTAATTGTTCACATTGAACAGCCTAAGGTAATGCTTTATATAGGTGATGGACTTTCATAATGTCCTTACTTGCCAGGATGCTGGGGACATTTGAGAGTATAGAATGTGTTGGGGGCCTTGTGATCCTTCAGTTGAATTTCACTGCTCTTTTCCCTATAGGGTCCGAAAGATTTTAAATCTGCGTGTATTTGAGGATGAGAGTGGGAAGCACTGGTCCAAGAGTGTGATGGACAAACAATATGAAGTGCTGTGTGTTAGCCAGTTTACACTCCAATGTGTCCTCAAGGGGAACAAGCCTGACTTCCACCTGGCAATGCCCACAGAGCAGGCAGAAAGCTTCTACAATAACTTCCTGGAGCAGCTGCGCAAGACCTACAGGCCAGAGCTCATCAAAGGTAGGCAAGAGGGTTGGGATGTAGCTCAGTGCTAGAGCACTTACCCAGAATCTCTTGTGCTCTGAGTTTGCACTGAAGGGCAAGAATAGCCCCAGAAGGGAGCTTCTGGTAGTCCTCCAGACAGAGGGTGAAGAGAATCCACATTTCCTTTTGTCGAAAGTCATTGTTGATTTTATGGACTGCTGTGGTTGTGTTGCCATCCTTTGGGTGCCTCTAATACCTTCATTGTCTTCAGGCTTCTGTTAATACTCTGAAAATGTTGAGAAGTCCAGAAATGTGTCTGCTATTATGTTTTGTTTTTTTTGTGTGCAAGCAGTCTACCACTGAGCCACCTTCCCAGTCCCTAATTTGCATTCTTAAGTGATTCAATCTAGGACCTGTTTGAGATACAGATTCTGTCCCACTAATCCCAATACGGGTGTCAGTTGTGAGTATTCTTTTTTGTATTTACTGACCTAGAGACCTGAGTGGATCTATTTCCTGTCTGTCTCGTATCTGCTTATTCTTACATAATTCTTCTATTCTTACTTAGACTTTTCCTTCCTACCTGCTTTATGATATTCTCTTGTCACCTTTATGCCAGTGTGTGGAGAAGTCATCTCTGAAGTGATAAAGTTTCACCACAGAGAACTCCAATCTATCCTGTGTCATCCCATACATCCCATTATTTTATATTGGAATCAGGTATTGACTTTTAGAAGGTCCTCCTTATGTGGCTGCATTTGTGGATTTATCTTTAGAAAAGCTCCTCAAAGCCAGGGATCCATGACCAGATAATGGGATCATTCATGCTCCTTGATTTATGCAGCCACTCTTGAACTGTGTCATTATTAACTCTTTCATTCCTTTTTTTTTTTTGGGTCCGGTCGTGGGGCCTGAACTCTGGGCCTGGGCGCTGTCCCTCAGCTCTTCAGCTCAAGGCTAGCGCTCTACCACTTGAGCCACAGCACCACTTCCGGCTTTTTTCTTTTTTTGCTTATGTGGTGCTGAGGAATCGAACCCAGGGCCTCATGCATGCGAGGCAAGCAGTCTACCACTGAGCTACCTTCCCAGCCCTACAATGCATCTTAATATCACCCTTTCCATCATTCTTTCTCTTCCCAGGCCTATTTTTTAATTTGTGTGTGTGTGTGTGTGTGTGTGTGTGTGTGTGTGTTTTCCAGTTCTGCAGCTTGAACTCAGCACGTGGGTGCTGTCCCTGAGCTTTTTTGCACAAGCCTAGCAGTTTACCACTTTGACAGCTCCCTGTCCAGTTTTCTGTTTTTTTTTTTTTTTTTCTGGTTGGTCGTGGGGCTTGAACTCTGGGCTTGGGTGCTATCCCTCAGCTCTTCAGCTCAAGGTGAGTGCTCTACTGCTTGAGCCACAGCACCACTTCTGGTTTTCTAGTGGTTTATTGGAGATAAGAGTCTCACAGAGGGGCTGGGAAGGTGGCTCAGTGGTAGAGTGCTTGCCTTGCATGCCTGAGGCCCTGGGTTTGATTCCCCAGCACCACATAAGCAAAAAGAAAAAAAGCCGGAAGTGGTGCTGTGGCTCAAGTGGTAGAGCGCTAGCCTTGAGCTGAAGAGCTGAGGGACAGCGCCCAGGCCCAGGGTTCAGGCCCCACGAGTGGGCCCCCCCCCAAAAAAAAAAAGTCTCACAGACTTTCCTGCCCGGGCTGGCTTTGAACCATGATTCTCAGATCTCAGCCTCCTGAGTAGCTAGGATTACAGGCATGAGCCACTGGCGCCCAGGCCCTGTCCAGTTTTCTGATGGTAAATTGGAGAAAAGAGTCTCATGGACTTTCCTGCCTGCTGTCTTTGAACCCTGATTCTCAGTTCCTGAGTAGCTAGGATTACAGGCATGAGTCAGTAGTATCCAGCATATCTTTCCACAGTTTTTTTTTTTTAATTGTGAAAATACTGTACAGAGGGGTTACAATTATATGGGCAAGATAATGAGTACATTTCTTATCAAGCATTGTAGCCTCCTCCTTTGTTTCCCCTTCCCATCCCTTCCCAGCCTCCCCCTGCTCCCCCACCCAATCCTCCCCCCCCACCAAAGTTGTAAAGTTCGTTTTTGACGTGACAACTGGTACTTCTCTCATTGTTCCATCATATCTTATTGTGTATTAAGAGTTCTTTGTGCAGGGTGCTGCTGGCTCAGGCCTGTAATCCTAGCTACTTAAGAGGCTGAGATCTAAGGATCATGGTTCAAAGCCAGCCTGGGCAGGAAAATCCAGGGACTCTTTTTTTTGGGGGGAGGGTGTCTAGTCATGGGGCCTGAACTCTGGGCCTGGGCACTGTCCCTCAGCTCTTCAGCTCAAGGCTAGCGCTCTACCTACCACTTGAGCCACAGTGCCACTTCTGGCTTTTTTTCTTTTTGCTTCTAGGGTGCTGAGGAATCGAACCCAGGGCCTCAGGCATGCAAGGCAAGTGCTCTACCACTGAGCCACCTTCCCAGCCCCAAATCCAGGGACTCTTACCTACAATTAACCACTAAAAACCCAGAAGTGGCATTGTGGCTCATAGTGGTAGAGTGCTAGTCTTGAGCAAAAGGAGCTCAGGGACAGTGCCCAGGTCTCTCAAGCCCCATGACCAAACAAAAACAAAAAGGAAAAAAAAGTTATTTGTGTGTATTTTTAATATCAGTCTTTTTATTATTTATAAGATGTCTTTATCATTAGCAAATCTTTTCTCCCTTTGTGTGGCTTGAGTTTTAATTGCCTTGACAATGTTTTTCATAGAGCAGAACACTTTAGTTTTAGTGAAGAACAGCTTATCAGTTTTTTCTTTCATGAATTTGGCTTTGGTTTATGTCTAAAAAGTCATCATGTATCTATCATTATGTAGACTTTCTCATTGTTGTCTAAGAATTTCATAGTTTCCATATGTAAGTTAATGAACTATTTTGACTGATTTTGTGAGGAGAAATAGTAATGTTTAGCCTTTATCTAATTATTTCTCTTGCTTACTTTGGTCTGTGTCTAGATTCAGTTTTTATGCATGTGGATGTCCAATTATTCTAGCATCATTTGCTGAGGAGGCTCCTTTCTCCTTTTTCTTGTCTTTGCTCTTGTATCAATGAGCTGGTATATTTTATTTCAGTCTATTTCTGGGCTTTCTTTTCTCTTCCACTAATCGATATCTGTTCTTTTTCCAAGACCATACTGTGTTGATTACTGTCACCTTAGAATAAGTCTTGACATCATGTAGTATCAGTCCTCTAGCTTTTCCATATAAACTTTCCAGTAAGTTTGTATGTCCACAAAGTTACATGCTGGGATTTTGTTTGGGATGGAGATGAATGTATAGATCAAGTTTAGAAGACCTGACATCTTGATTATATTGAATCTTCCTCTCCAAAAATGTGAATTGTTACTACTTATTTAGTTCTTTGATTTTTAAAATCAGTTTTCTAGTTTTTCTCATACAGATCATGTACATATTTATAAATTAATATCTAAGGCCGGGAGCTGGTGGCTCATGCCTGTAATCCTAGCTACTCAGGAAGCTGAGGTCTGAGGATTGCGGTTCAAAGCCAGCCGGGGCAGGAGAGACCGTGAGACTTCTATCTCCAATAAACCACCAGAAAACCGGAAGTGGCGCTGTAGCTCAAGTGGTAGAGCACTCGCCTTGAGCTAAAGAGCTGAGGGACAGCGCCCAGGCCCAGAGTTCAAGCCCCACGACCGACCAAAAAAAAAAAAATTCATATCTAAGTATTTCATTTCTGAGGTTAATTGAATTGCATGCTTACTTTTAAATTCCATTTGCTTATTTATTGGTACTATATAGGAAAATGATTGCCTTTTGAGCTTAATCTTGTATCCTATAATCTTGTTATAATATCATAATCATTTTAGGAGTTTTTTAAATTGTTGTATTGTTGATCCTTTGCTATTTTCTCCATAGATAATCATATTATTTATGATAATTTTTCTTTCCCAATCACTATATCTTTTATTTCCTTTTCTTGCCTTATTTCATTTGCTATGACTTATAGTAAGATAAAAAGCAGTGATGAGAAAGAAATCCTAGACTTATTCCTGCTCTTACACTTTTAGTGGAAAGGAGTTTAGTTTTACACTGTTACGTATGATGTTAACTGTAGTGTCTTTTTCATTTTTTTGTGTGTTTTGTTTTTTGTGACATGATCTCATCCAGGCCAGGTTGAAACTTATGTAGCCAAGCCTTGTCTTTGAATTTGCATCCTCCTGCTTCAGCCTTCTGAGTTATTGGAATTTTAGGTGTGCATTACCATGCCTGGGTGCTGGCCATGAGCTTTTTCATTTAAGGCCAGTTCTCTATCACTTGAGCTACACCTCTACTTCCATCTTTCTTTCTTTTTTTTTTTTTTTTGGGTCTGGTCGTGGGGTCTGAACTCTGGGCCTGGGCGCTGTCCCTCAGCTCTTCAACTCAAGGCTAGCGCTCTACCTCTTGAGCCACAGCGCCACTTCCGGCTTTTTTCTTTTTGCTTATGTGGTGCTGAGGAATTGAACCCAGGGCCTCAGGCATGCAAGGCAAGTGCTCTACCACTGAGCCACCTTCCTAGCCCCCCATCTTTATTTCTAACACACACATTCTGTGTTATGTATTTCCCTATTTTCCATTTTGGACTAAGCCTTCTGACCTGAGTCCTTGAAATCCTGTGTGCAGTTTAGCATCACCTCTTTCTTTGGATTAGCCATGTTTCAAGTATGCAAAGACCATGTATGACTACTGTCTACCATACTGGATATTGTAAATTTAGGCCTTTGTTTGCTCATTGTGGAGGGTGCCAACCTAGTTTGATTAATTATGATTAGTTAAAAAAATGTTTCAGAATAGTGGTCCTGACTTATGAGAAGTGTGATTCTGAAACATTTTTTTTTTTATTGTAAAGCTACTATACAGAGGGTTACAGTTACATGAGTGAGGTTATGAGTACACTTCCTCTTGAACATTGTTACCCCCTCCATTGTTTTCCCCCTACCATCCCCTCCCTCCCTCCCTTCCCCGAGGTTCTTTTTTTTTTTTTTTTTTGAT